TGGCTAGATGGCTGGCTGACAGGCTCTATGACTAGCTGGCTTGCTTGCTGTCTGGTTGAGTGGTTGCCTGGCAGTTGGCCTTTCCTTTTGATTTACTTTTGATGCAAATACTGCGACTTCTGCTGCCTTTCTCGACTTTCGTACGTTCGACTGCACTGCAGTCTGCAATTGCCGTTGATTGCCCCACTTTTCCACATGCCTCTTGAATCGCTGCCTCTTGCTGCGTCACGGCCCGAGTGCCATCTTTTGTCACACAAATGGAAATTGTTTTTTTTTTCTCCCATTATACGCGATTTAATATTTGCTCTGCAATGTGACACATTTATGTATCTCTGCATTGTACTGTGCTTTAAAATCGCTCAGATGTTTTGGCAGCAATGCTATTGGTGGCTGCAGAAATCATAAATATATATAGAATATATAAGTGTTTGTGCATTAGAATCAACTATCGATAGAAGTTTTGATCTTGTAGACATACTCGGCCACATGTTAGCTGACTGTTTGAATTATTTAATGGATTTTAAAGCATTCACTAACAACAAGTGTATGTCGTTTAAATGAATACACAACATTTAGTCAATGATTAGATGCTATATGAAAACAAGAATTACTCTAAGATTATTCAATAGAAAGCGTAGGAGTATGTACTGCTGGCGTCCGATTTAAGTCCTAAATATTTTATTGAAATTCGACTTACAATTCGCACAATATCGTTACATTTTTGTTGAGCTAACAGTTCAGAAATAAATATGTTGTAGTCTTCAATGCGTAGTCACAACTGTGTTTGAATTATAATACCCATTCTTAAATCATGTCCTTAATATGACAACAATTTCTTAAAAATTATGGACAATCGTTTTTCGGTAGAAAAGAGCTCTAGTTTAATCTCATATTAAAACGAAAATGCTGCTATACCTTTAATGTGTGATATAATGACATTGAATTCAAAGTCCATCTTCTTGCTGAATATTTTATAGCTAATGAACTTTTAAAACTAAATTATTCTTAATAGGGATAAAGAGAAAACTATAATAAATACAAATATCTCATAATCGCTTAATATCATATCCTTATCAATTAATTTCCTTTGAAATGTGAAAAGGATGCGCGTTTGGATAATGAAGTAAACAACAGCTCTGCAATTGCAACTAGAATTATCGCAGTCATGGAAGTGTCGATTCTAAGGCATATTTCCAAAACAGGTCAACATTTATTTTGAACAACTGCTTTGGGGTTGCACTCGCATGGTTAAACGCAACAACTTTGCATTATACAGAGAGTCTTAGAGGATGGGGCAGGCGGGCAAAAACTAATGCTGGCAACGACAAAACGCAAATCTGAAATGTAAACGGAACTAAAACCATTTCGAGCACAGTCAACAAGCCGGCGCTGCTAACCGGAGAAAGGGGAACAGTTATGGGTTACGGGTTGCCGGATGTTCATACATATACTGTTGTTTTTGTTGTTGTTGTTGTTGTTGCTCTCAGCGAGATTGTGGGTGGGTGGATGCTATGCTGAATGCAATCACAGTAAGCCAAACATTAACATTCCAATGCAAATCTGAGCACTATATGTAAATGGCAAACGTTTTGTATACATATGTGGGTGTGTGTGTGTGTGTGTGAGTTTATTGTGGTTGGTTAGAGTCAAAATGTAATCGGCGCAACTAAATTTTACAAAAATATAGTATAGGAGGCAATACGAAGCATTGACAATGTGTCCTACTTTCTGGCATACATACGCATACAAAACGTCAATGTTCCATGCACATTTCCCCTACACATGGCAGGGAGAGCGGAGAGAGCGCGCCCAGAGAGGCAACCGCAGTCGACGGTTCGCAGCAGCCGCCCCTGTGTGCGCCGAATCTGTAATGGGCTGCGACGTTGGCAGTGGCAGTGGGCAGCGGGTTGCGGGCTGCGGGCTGAGGGCAGCAGAAGTCAGAGCATCCTTAACGGTACTCTTGAACAGTTTGGGCGCCTGGCTGGCTCAACGCTAGCAGCCTCGCAGGCTCTGAGCAGCGCAGTCGAGGCAAGCCTTTTCAGTTGTAGTTGGATAGTAAAGGTTCTTAGACGTGTTGTGAAACGTGCGTCAGGTAGCAAAGCGGCCAAGTCAGCTCAGTTCACAGCTCAGCAGCAGGCCAAACAATTCACTGTTTTTTTTTTTTATCTGTTCATCTTTTAACTGAAGCACTGTATTAAAATACTTGGTGTATGCGTGTATTTGTGTGTGAAATGAAAATTGATGGTGAAAGAAAGCGCTAAGAATTGCATTAAACATAATACGAATTTCATGCAAAATTGTATTCAGGCATGTACAGATACATATATACAAAAAATCGGTGTATATACCTACACTTATAAGCGCTTGATATACACAAAAATGCAAAAGGAAATTCGTTGAAAATTACATAAAAATCTGAACATATATTAATTGTGTGCCAATTAAAATGAAACAAATCCAACGGAACTGCTGGCAATAAATACTTTTAATTGTTGTTAATTTCATGGAGTGTGGAGCGCGTAAACATGTTTTGCCAATTTGGAAATGGACCGTTTTTATCGCACCGGGCATCACACACACATACATGCATTCTATTATACACATACGAGTACACACATACATACATACACATATCTAAAAACACATACACACATGTACAAATGCACACACTCGTGAAGAGCAGCATTCAAGTTTCTAAAATTGGTCTTCAAGCATGCAAGAATGAGAAAGCATGTGAGAGCGAGGAGGAGAGCAAAATAACTGTCTATGTGTATATGGAGTTGAAAGCATACACACACACATTCACATATGTACTTCCTCGCTCGCTTACTCACTCACTCACTCAGTCGGAAAGCAGAGACGTAGTGGCTCCAAAGAATCCAACAAAATAAAAAATTCAAACACAACAAAGCGCCAGTCACAGCATCCTTTTGTTGCTACCAAAAAGGCGCTTCCCCAGCTCACTTGCTCTTTCCCTTCCCCCCTCTCTCTCTCTCTCTCTTATTCGCAATATTCGTTCTCCTGCTCCAGCCCAGGGCTGCTGCGCGCTCTCAGCAACATACATGTAATTTCTCCGGATTTGTCGGAATGCGTGAGGCAGTTAGGGTTGTTTGTGTGTACATAGCTCCTTCTGCACAAAAACAAACACACAGTCTCTCTCTCTCTCTCTCTCTCTCTTACTCTCGCTCTCTTCCATCTGCGGCGCTTCGGCTCAGCTTTTCTTAAGCCGAGTTTTTTAGTCATTTTTGCTGTTGCTTGCTTGTTTACTTATACTGGAGAGGTCACTGGGTCGTTCCGGGAAAGAATACCCCATATACACACACCCACACAAATATATATATGTACACTTATATGATGTATATATATATTAAAAAATACACAACTATATAATATTTTTTAAAAAGCCTAGCTTAAAGCCTTATCATAAATTTGTTGTTGCTATCATTGTGGGTGCCATTGTGGCTGCCACACCTAGTTATGGAAAAGAAAAGGCACCATTTCAAGGCTGTGCATTTGCAACATTTTAGCCGATAAGTTGTTGACACGCTTCAAGCCTATTACATGGAATGTGTGCATTGTGGCGTATACGCAACTTTTCTCCGCCCTGGCCAAAATGCGTTCCACAACACGAGAGAGAACAGAAGCTGCGGCTGCGTAGCTGAGATGGCGCCAAGCAGTGATAGCAACAACAACATACATAATAATGCTTTCGCAGACACACACACACACACAGAAACACCACCACTCACACATATTCAAATATTGTTGCATATACTTAGGCGCAAGATGCATTTCATGCCCAATGAACACCATTTGTTTCGTTGAAGTTTCATGCGACAACACGAATGCAGTGTTCAGCTAAATGCAAAAACAGAACAAAAGCATAAATAACAACAACAAAAAATAAAAACAAAGAGGAAAAAAGTGAGAAAAAAAAACAACAGTGATTTCAAGAAGTGCAAGTGTTTACTTTAAAAAAAAAAAATAAATAGCCAATTGTTGCCCAACGTTTGGCAAGCAGAAATCAAGAACCCAACCGGCCAGAGCAACAACCACAACAGCCACAACGGAGACCGAGACGGAAACAGAGACAATGGGCGGTGGTGAAGTGAAGGTCGCAACCGTCGATGTGGAGGGCGGCGACAATATGGCAACACTGCCGGTCTCGCGCTCCCACACGGCCGGCAGCAATGACAGTGCCGAAAAGAATAATGCGGCCAATAAGGAAATGGAGCTGAAGAATGTTATGCCTCAGCCATTGCAAAGGTGCGCAGGGTACGGGGCTAGCTCTGCTAGAACCATATTGGTGATCACGATGATGATGATGATGATGTTCTGTTTGGGAAATTGGATGGGAATTAAAATCTGTGTGCGTGCCAATGCTCTTCATTGCACATTTTACATTTACAGAGACACATACGCGTATACACACCCAAGGCCGTGTGTGTATTCACATGTACATAAGAGGCCATGCCTAAAACAGCTACTTATTGGCTAACACTCACGTACTCACGTACACCCACACTCTCACACATTCACACATTCACTTACGATTAGATACACACACATTCGCATTGTATATAATGTGTTTTTGTATATACTCGTATTTATGTAGTATGCTCTTTTTACTATCATATCATGTACATATATGTATATGTACAAGTATAGCTGTACATATGTGTTAGTGCTACTACGACTTACTATAACCACAATGCTTGCCCCGACGTTGCCCGCCAAATGCTAATACGCCCCCTCCGATGCTTGGCCTTTGTTTGGGCTTAGTAGAAATTGTATGAAGGACTACCATGCCGCCCATCTCTCTTCCCATCCCCATCCATTGCTCACATCCACCTACAATTGCTGTACTCTCTCTTTCACTCTCTCCGCCTTTGTTGGCCCCACCTTTTCGCTATGGCACCAAAATACAAACAACCATTCTCCAAGCACTAATTCCCAACAACAAATATGTTACAATCTATTGTTGCATTGTCGTCTTATAGGGTTTGCTACACATTCAAGCCAAATCCAAATAAGCACAGTTTTATGCCAGCGAATATAACGGTGCAGGGCACATATCAAACCAATCCAATAACGGGACCAATCGAACTATGGTAATATACAATGAAAAAGTAAAAGAAAACAAAGCAACACAACACGCTCACAATTACCGCCCCCCTCCACATTCTTCCAAAATGTGAACAAAACCAATATCTTATATAAACAAGTATAAGATTTAAAAACTAACGATGAAATATATATGTATATGATTGGGAGCTCAAAAATTTAAATTGTTGCCATAGAATCAAAGATTTTCAGGAGCGATCTGGAAAAACGTTCCCAAGCCATCTTGAAAACTACAAAACTTTCTCAATTTGCTTGAAGTCTAATTCAAGTGCTTTTTCTAAATCTGAATAGATCTTAGGTCTCATACTATATACTTGTATGGGGGATTTGAAATGAAACGCAGCTAAAAGATTAGCTCAAGAGTAATCTACAATAACTTATATTTCAAACTGAACATTTTTTAGAAGGGATACGAACCTCAGCTCTGCAGCTATTCTCAACATCGACACTACAACTATTACTCCTTATTACTTACAGTGATGGAAAAAATAATAGAAACAACACAATGTTCTTCGTTTATTCGAATTTTCTTCCATAAACATAAATTTTTCTTTCAGAATGTAATTATTTTTACTAAACATTCATCAGATTACATGTTTAAATTTAAAAACAGATAATGGTTTTGTAAATTTAGATCACGAAAAAAATGTATTTTTTTCTGTTTAGGCTGGAAAGAAATAGAAACAACATAGTTTAAACTGAAAAACATTAATTTTGTAATTCCAAGGAATTAACCATATATACAATGTGGGGTTATTATTACTTAATATTTGGTAGTGCCACCATGTTTTTTGACAGCTTCTGCCCCTGTTTGGAACAAATTAAGGGGCATTAATGGCATAACATATGTTCTGCACTTTTAGCCATAACTCATTTCTGTGATTGGAATTAAGCCCAAAAATATTCCTTATTATTATGTATAAAGGCCTCCCCTTTTGAAACGGTGTTCACGTGTTTCCATTTAGACACCTCGTTGTATCATCTTCACATAACCAAATCACACATGCGAGTATGGTGATGAGGGTTCATGGATGCTCTAATGAGGTAGGTCGAATCAGCTTAAGCTGCATTTGCTCAGTCTATTTGACTGGTTATAGGAGGAGGGCAGGGGGGGCTTTCAAACTGAATGAGTGTGGCACACATGCATATGTTAATGTGCTACATTCACACACAAACACACACACACACAAACACACACACGCTTACAAGGCGACTCCGAAACACAAACACATAAGAAATTGTGCAAATATTGCCATACATATGTATGTACATACATACATAAGCGTATGTACGAGTGCCAGCTACGATTACTTTGCTCGTCATAAACATGAGTGAGTGTGCGAGTGTGCGAGTGTGTGTGAGTGTGTCCAAGTGCCTGTCTGTGGCACAGCAACATTTGCTGTTGATGCTTTTATCTGGGTCAAAAAATGCAAATGAGTCGCGCACTAAACTAGACGAGACACAGTGGAGATGTGGCAAATAAATGCGAGCACAATTTTCTAACATTTAATGTGAAGCCTAATTGTAGATTTCTTTCATTTCCCGCATATACTTCCTTCAGATCGGTCAGGTGTTGATAATATCATCCAATCTAGATGATGGTTACTTGGCGGCCAACCCAAACAAATTTAGCAATGGTTTAAAATGTTGCTGAAACTGAGTGGTTAGACTACACTATCAAGCCTCAATAAGGCTAATTATGGCCAATAACACTATCTATTTCATAGAGTTTTACAATTATATATTTTAACTCATTAATGGAGAACACAAAGCTTAGTTCGAGACTGCAATATATTGTACTTGTACCATCTCTCCATATTCGTTTTATAAAACACAGTCCATACAATATTAGAAATATTGCAAAATTAAATCATGAAACTAAACAGTGGAAACAAAAGCATCAAATGATGCTCATCGGAATCCATCCCATTGATAGGAAGTAAAAATATAGTTCTGAATACAAATTCAATAGATAACTTAACCAAGATCTGCAAGAAAAATCGTAAAGAAGCTGTTTAGAATTATATTCAAAAACAAATGTCTTTAACGATTGATACAAAATATTTCAAATTATTTTTAAATGCATTTTCAATCAATCAAATAACAATGAATTTTGAAAAAAAAAAACTACTGATATTTTAAACTATTTTCTTATTACTTAAATAAGTCAGTTTCAAGTTACGTTCATACAGGTAGACAAATTATTTTCCAAGCTTCAATAATGAGTTAAGCTGTAGCTTCTCGATATTATATCTGTATTCGGCAATTGTAAACTAAAATTTGGTGAAAAACACATTTAAGAGTGTTCGATTGATAACTTGACAAATATTTATACACATCATATCGTCTTTGGGTTCAAATGACGAGCATTCCTTTTTTCTCTATTGCTCACACAATTTTTGCTAAACTTTTGTGATCCACGGTGGCGAAAGCCCATAGCATAGAAACAGGGTGGGTGTGGAACTGCAATCTCTGTTGCAGTGCAGATTTGATCAAAAATCAAATATGGGTCCCAGGAGGCCAATTATCCATGTAGGTTGTGTTCTCGAACTGCTAACAGGCGCTTCAAGGGGGAAAAGAAGAGCTCTCTTTACAAGTTTGTAGTTTAATAATCACCAAGAACACACACACAAGCACACAAGCTGAAATGCATGAGAAAACACACACATAGTCTCTGCAATAAAACGGTATTTTATTTACATACTCACACACATAAACACACACACACACCCTGAACTATAAAAGTAGGAAATTGACACTTAGCCGTAGGCACACAGTCCACACATCACGTAATTATCATCGCAATTATATCTTAAGACTCATTATGATCATCAGCAGCTGGGCCAACTCACAGTCTTGTGGCTTAATGTGCCGGGTGGGCTGCGGTCTGAGAGGTCTAAGGGGTCTTGGCCTCTTGTGGCTTTGCAAAGAACTTGTGTACAAAATTGTGTATATAAATGAAAATCAAATTGCCTCATGCTTGGCAATGTTTTTGAGTAATACACCCAAACAAATAGCTGCACAAAACACACACACACAAATTTATAAACGCGAGCACAACCTATCAGATCAGATCAGATCAATTACAATGCCAACTAATGTTAACAACTTAATTCAATTCACAGGACATCGCTCTTCATTGTAACCAGTCTGGTATATGCGATTCTTCTGATTGTTGTGTGCATTGCATACGTCATCAGCGATGTGACCACACATCGTCTGCCGGTGCTCTATTACGAGACATTCTTCACGTATCTATACGGAACCAGCATTCTCTTCCTGTTGTATGTCTTCTGTTTTCTGCTGCAAGGTAAGTTAATACGAGAGAGCACCCCCCCATGGAGTTCTGCATTTCATTTGTTTCCATAGAGAGTTCTTGCTGTAATGGCGGCAATGGCAGCAGCAACAAACCGAAACCACAACCCAAGGAGAAGAAATCGAAGAAAACAAAGAACCCGGATCCAGCCGATTCGAAGGATGCGAAGGGCTCAAAGGACTCTGGCAAAGCTGGCAAAGGCGCCGCATATCAGGTGAGCGAATGGCTGCCATTAAACTAGAGAGTATGTGTGTGATAATAATTTCAAATAATACGGACTATTCAGCATTACTTGTACAAGTATAATACAAATCTGAATATATACAAGTATTTGTAGAACCTCAAAGCAGAATATTTACCAGAACCAGCAAATAGGTTCTGTTGTGAAAAAAATCACTTAAAATGCCAAACACACAGCAGGTTTTGTATTAATACATATGTGGCATGAATAGAAAGAAAGAGCCTCATTGTGTTCTCTTACACAAATTCAGAAATTAGTTGAAAACATTTCTTTACAATCGTAGTCAATATATTCAGGGTTATAGCAGTGCGGCTCACATGATGAGGGGCCTCATGGGCGCTCGTTAACAGAGTTGCGCTAATTAGGTTGCCCAGAGGCCACATCAATTGTATGGCATTTGTGAAATCTGCTTACTTCTCTCACATGCATTCTCTCTCTCTCTCTCTTCATCTGTGTATAAAATATATTCATATATATGCATATATATATATGTATGTATCTCTTGAATGCAGGAAGCACCACCCGTTGATGCCGAGGTGGCTGTTACACCAAAGAATGTACGAAAACGCAAGACCACACACAGCGATCCCACACATGGCAGCTTCTTTCTGCGCGTCGGTGCCATCGGTAAACTATAATGCATATTGCGCATACGCACTGTGGTGCACAATTGCTTTAACATTACTCATACGCCTATTACGATATACCCGTATTTATTGGTTTGTTCGTTTTTGTTTTCTTACGTTTCACGATTTCTTTTCGTTGTTTCGTTGTTGGGTTTTTTTCTTGCCGTTTCGGTTTTTGTTGCATTTTTAGCTTTTGGCCTGGGCGCCATGATCTACATTGGCCTCGAGTTTGGCTCGTTCTTTGAGATACCATTCGATTCGCCGTGCCATCACATCCTAATTGGCGTCAATCCGTTGCTGCAAATGATCTTCACCTTCATGCAAATGTACTTCATATTCATGAACGCACGGGTAAGTTCAACAGTCCAGGCACACAGAAATGGGGAAAGCAGCGAATGCGTCCCTCCAAATTAGATAATGCAACCCATGTCAAGTAGCACACACACACACAAGTGTTTTCTCTGAACTCTCTATCTCTCTCCACCTCTCTCTAACGTAAAACTAAAACAAAACAAAAAAAAAGAAAAAAAAGAGAAACACCGTTTTAAGCGTAAACCTACTTAATACTATATACATACTACTACTACCTACTACTATTACCTATTCGTTCTACTACTACTATGTACTACTACTACTAAATACTACTAGAAATTCTCTGTATGGTATGTTAAGTACACACAACCCCAGCGCACGACAAACAGCCAGCGTTCCCCAACAGCTCATTGAGGTTAGTTTCTAGCTTAAGTTACGAGGCATTGGTTCAAGCAGAGATCTCCAGCACATACATACTATACATACGTGTATGTGTGTGTGTATAGTATATGTATGTATGTATATGTATGTCTGCAGTTCAAAACAGTTTCAAATCCATTATTTCAAGTTAGTTGCAGTTGCTAGCCCGCCAGCCAGCCAGCCAGTCTCCTCACTTCCTTGCTCTCACACTCGTCCTCGCCCCTGTCTTCCCTTTCGTTCTCACTCGCTTTCTCTCTCTCCCGCTCTGTCCCTCTCTCTCTCTCTCTGTCCATGTCTCTCTCGATCTGGTTCATTGCTAAGTCGAATTGGCGTGTCAATTGGCATTCAATCATTCATTATTCATGAGATATACACGCATTCGCTTTCGATATTCACATCATCATCTGCGATTATTCTTGTTCATTTTTACGCTTGCCATGCTTCAAAACACTCGTTCGTCATGCCGCTGTCACAATATTTCGTTTGAATTCGCAATTAAATGTGCGCGAAATAAGAAAACATTGCCCTTCGCGCTCCTCATATTTGGGGAGGCGATCGGTGCAAATTTTCTTGTTTTCTTCACATAGCATTCTTCCTTTAGCATTCGGCCAAGTCGAATGCGCATCATAAGCTCAAAACAAAAACAAAAAAAACACACACAAACATACACTATCAGAGCCATATCCATATACACACGCATTTATTTTATAGCATTTTCATCCATCATCCTTTTTAAAACAAAAATCATAAGATCTCACTAACTACTCACTCAACAAAACAAATTTCGAAATTTTGCAAGTAGTTTTTTAATGAAACAATTTTGTTGTGTACATAATCCTTCAACTCCGCCCCATTCGCAATGCAGACTAGGCCACCATTTCAGGTACGATATACAACTCATTTTCTACTCTCTAACTCTTACCCTACTCTCATTTCTCACATTTAAAAAACAATTAAAAAATACAAAAATAACAAAACATATGTTGTATGTATGTATGTATGTATGTATGTATGTATGTATGTATGTATAATGAATGATATGATAACCAATAATAGCTTAAATTTAACTTCCGTATACCTACACATACTATACATATACTATATAGTACTTTACTCATACACGCTCGCACACTGGCGTACAATTAATTAATTAATGACAAGTCTCAGTGGAGAAGTCGGTGCGAGTGGTTAGTGTTTGATTTTGATTTTTACTTTGCTTTGGTTTTGTGTGGATTCAAAAATGAATAAAATTAAAGAGCAACTATACTCGTATGCAATACATATACAACTATTTATGCGATCTATATGCAAACACAGCATTGTCCAACACTGTGCGTCGTACTCAAGTGCGCTTCTGCGCATGCGTCTCTTTTCTCTCTCTTCTCTCTCGACTCTCACATTGCAGCTGAACATACATCGCTTTAAGGTGATCGCACGCTTCGGCCTCATGCATGTGGTGGCCACCAACATATGCGTGTGGATACGCACACTGGTCAAGGAGTCCCTGCTGGAGATCACGATCTATCATCAGAAGCGCGAGGCCGACCCAGATGCCTCCTCCATCGCCCATTCAATACGCCAACATGCTTTACGTCATGCCGGCACTGTGCTGCGCACCCATGCGGGCCCCAACACCGAATTCGAGGTCCTGGATGGCGAGGATCTGCTGCCGAAGAATGTGTACAAGAGCGACAATGTGCTGTCCAAGCTAGTACGCAATACGGTCGATGGCATCTCGAAGAGTCTGGGCATGGGCTCCAGCGATGTGGTTAGCAGCAGCAGCACCACCACAACCACCAGTACACGCGCGCCGTACACCACCCCTGGCTATCAATGGCACAGCACTACTATGGCACGCAAGCTGAAGAAGTTTATCACTAGCACCACCGCCGCGACCAGCAGCAGCATCAGTACCACCGCCAGCACCACACTGAGCAGCGCAACAAGCACTAGCACCGCTGCATCACCATTGGCTAATGGGGGCTATGCCTATGCCACAACCACGACCACCGAATCGCCCTTCAACGGCTTCCAGCGCACCTTCTCCAGCGCTGCTTCAAACATACCCTTGAACAGCGGCAACAATTTCGGCGTTGATTCGTCCACCGCGCCCGCTGCTGCCTCCGGCGATGGATCCACCGCTGGCAATTTGGGCACCGGCCTATCCTCATTTTTCAACAATCTGGTCTCGTCGACGCCCAGCGCGGTCGTCAGCTCCAGCACGCCGTCCACCACCACCGAGGGCGCCGTCAACGTTATGAACAATCTGTTTGGACCGGGCATGGAGAACAGCTTCCAGACATACTCGGATATATCGCATGATGAGTCCAACGGCCTAGTGGCCTTTGAAAATCTGGAGAGCCTGGACAATATATATCCGGCCGCGCTCTCCTCAAACATTGCCACACTGAACTCAACGGCCTGTGGACGCATCGATATTATGGGAACCATTGTGTACGATTCGGCGCCCTATTTGTATCCTTTCATTATTGAATACTCGCTTATTGGCGCTGTGGTGCTGTACGTCATGTGGAAGCACATCGGTCGCTATCCGGGCCGCATGAACGATGAGGATCTGGAACACCGGCTGGAGGTGATGCTGTCACGACGGGCCGTCGCCATGGCGCAGCAGGCACGCTCGGGTCGCGTCGACTGTGTGGGCTCGTCGAAGGGACTGTTCTTTGGTCTGTTGTTGTTGGTCGGCGCGCTCATTTGCTTGATACTCTTCTTCGTCTTGGTGCGTCATCAGCAGTTCTCTCTGTTGGCCATTTATCTGGCCGATGCCAGTCACTGTATTCTCATGGCATTCGCAATACTCGCCATTATTATCGGCTTCATCAGGTAGGTGCAACAATCATCTCCAATTCACAGCCAACCATCGACGAGAGCACACACACTTCATTCGTCATTTCTCTATCATCTATCTGCATCCATACAGGGTTAAGAATCTGAAATTCCGCTGTGAGGAGCAATCAAATCTAAACGACATCTTGCTGCGCATCTCGGCCTTTGGCCTGTTCACCTACTCCGTGTTCAGTATCATTGCCGGCAGCCTGAAGGTGCTCGAGAGCGAGCCCAGCCTTCTGGTGACGACCACGGGCGGTGTTGCCGTCTTTCAGGTCATCTTGCAGCTGCTCTTCATTGCCGATGTCTCGCGTCGGCGCGTCCATCTGCCGGAGCACGATCGCAGCAAGCCCGGACGTCAAATTGTCACCTTCCTACTCATCTGCAATGTGGCCATGTTCGCCATCTACACTTTCGAAGCTCAAAAAGTATTCGCCAATCCTGTAAGTAGATATGTACGTAAGCGAGACTGAGTTAAGTAAGACGATTAACGCTCTCGTTCTCTCAACGTTTGTTCTCTAGTTTTAACACTATACTCTCATTAACTTAACACTGAAGTAATATGTAGATATGTATATATATATATATATACAAGTATATATAGTATATAGATGACTTGCATGTGTCACTAATTCTCAGTGGGATAGTTGCGCCCTTGTCTTCGATTCCAAAGTTCTAAGTTACATCGGGGTCACCAATCTTAGGGTACTTAGGCACAAGCTAAACAGGATCACGATTTATATTTAACCGGAAAGCTTAGTTCGTGGCTCGTCAAGGCCAAATATATGGATACTTAGATGCTGACACTTACAAATAGCTTTAGGAATATATAGCTGATATCAGAAGCGCGATTACAGGGGCGCCCACTTTTTAAAGTTGCGTTTCCATCACGACGGTCGAAAGCATTACTCTCTCTATCGTGGCAAAACGTTTCTATAAAAATATGTCCCAACTCAAGAAATAATAATATTTTCTTTTTACTCTTTATTTAAATTTATTGAATCATGATCCCTGTTATGATGGTTGCGGGGTGATTCGAACCGAGGAACGAACTCACATTGTGGGACTCCTGCTTGCCCCAAATAATAATAATTGAGAATAAACAAAATTTTACCTTAGCCTCTCCCTTTCACTTAAACACAATTAATTTATTTATTTATTTAATATCTAATATGGCCAATATGAGCCGTCAACGTAGACAGGAAGTTACGTACAAACATACTAGAAATACTATCATCGATCCACCGAATTTCTGAACTGGATTTCTGGATTTATAGTATTTGAAACTATGTACATATATATTTTTATGGTTGTTGTTGTGAACTCCTTTGTGCATGCCGTTTCTCTATGTTCATCTCTCCTACCTCTAACAACTATTTTTAACAAATCTATTGTACGTTCTCGTTCAGGTTCAGTTGGAATTCTATGGCTTTGTGCCCTGGTCCATCATTCAACGCATCACACTGCCCCTCTGCATTTTCCATCGCTTCCATAGCGCAGTCACACTCGCCGAGATCTGGAAGACCACCTATAAGGCGCGCTTGGAGTAAGGAGCCCATTGCTACATAGAACAGCAAATGCATGGGAAGAAATATAAAATGCACCAAAAAAGAAAATGTAGCGCGAGGAAACGCAAAGAAAAACAAGTTAAAAGTTAGTTTCTAAAAATACATACTTAAAAAAAATATATATATATATAAAAGTATATATTATATTTTGTTTTTAGTTACGCATACGCATAGGTTAACTAAGTTCAAACAAAAAATTACTAACTGTATCCAAGAAAGCTAAATCCCAAAGTAAATGGACCATTTGGCGCAACACACACGCCGCCGTCTGTGTGTGTCTATCGAAAACAATACATACATACATGGACAACTACTTATGGCGCCATGCATATGGTTTAAAACAAACAAAAAAATAGAAAACGAAAATCAAGCTAAAGATAGGTACCAAAAAATGGAAATTGAAAAGATTATTGAAAAGTAAAGGAATCAAAACGATGCAAAAGCAGCAAGAAAACGCATGCACAATAGTGCTTCGATTTGCCATTTGCGTTTTTTATGTTTGTTTTAATTCTTGTTCTTCTTTTTTCAATAATTGAAATTTGTGACATGTGTATTAAACATGGAAAACTTATGTAAGAACTAAGTCATAGCATTTTATATAATTGTAAAAGCGAATTCAGCCCAACAACTGCATTAGGCACGGCTTAAAAACAAAACCCAAACCGATAAGGGAAACAAACAGTAAATCATTTTTGCATTAACATTAAAGTACACATCTAAGACGTAACAAAACAACAAACAAACAAACAAGAAAAAATACAAGAAACAACCAAACAACAAAAGCGAAGAAGCAAATAAACATTTTTACAAAATAAACATATGATTATTATTAGCTTTTAAACTTAAATGCGATGCATAATTAGCTATTAATTGCAATTTTATGTTAAAGCCATTTTTTTTTTGTTATTATTGTTTAGCTCGCTCCAATTTCTCGTTACTAAAAACAATAGTTATTTTAAATATTTTTTGTTGTTTGGCATAATTGCATTCGTTTCACTTAAATGTTTTTCTTTTTGCTAAATTTATATAAATGAAGGAATGAAATCAATTAAAATAATACAAATAAGCCCAAATATAAACGGTTTTTTATTTTCTCACTATTTCTCGACCCGCTCAGTTCAGTGTTGAGAAGTAAATGGGGGCCGATTCGCCCGAAAGCATGCAACAGAATTTGTCAAGCTGCGCCCCGTTTTAGAAATTCTAGACTTTCTGCTCCAACATACTTCCTCTTCATACATTTATTTGCGAAAATGCATAAAACACGATATCTTTACCCAACAGCCGACATCAACAAGAACAACAACAAACTGTGATGAATTAACATTGTTTATTAATGTTATGTTGTAAATCGTACTACAATTTTTCATATTCCACATAGTTTTGATTTGTTTTTCAGATTTGTTTAAACACTTTGAAACACATTTAACAACTTCCATATATTTTATATCTTATGAATTTACATGAATTACAGAAAATCGATAAAAGAAAAACATACTAAAAATGACATGAAATGAACAAAATAAAAACGAATCAAGACGTTTAAAGCAAACATTTGCAAAAACCATGATACACGACAAAAGAAAAAACCAGAATAATATGAAATACGAAAGTAAAAAAAAGTAAAAAAAAAAACAAACGAGCAAACATTTTTAATAAATATATATATATATATAAATAAAGTTTATAAATGTCCATTTTTTGATTATTAGTAGTGATGTTAAAACCAAATGATAAGAAAACTAAAATGCTAACAATAATAATTGAGAAAAGCGTAAAACCAGCGACCGGAAGCATTCAAGTGAAAGGACAACTCAAGGCGACCTTCCGGACGTCAGAAAACCGAACAATGAAACGCATTTAAGATGTCATTTTAGCAAACCAAACACAAAACGAACAAAAATGCAAAAAGAGATCGAGATGACGAAAACAAAACAAACATTTACAATTAAAAGTTAAGAAGCATTTTTAAAGATATGCATATGTATATCTATAAATATATATTTAAAAAAAAATATATATATATATATATGTGTATACTAACCCACCAAATTCAAAGTATTTCAAATTTTATATGGGCAAGCGAGCTGGCGGGCCAACTGAAGAATTAGGACAGCAACCTGAGCTTGCCGCTCTGCATAATGATGATGATATGATCGATCGATTGATCGATCACACACAAGAACTTCAAGAAGAAAACAACACCAATATAACTAACGAACAAATCCGTAAAATGGCGTAAATAAGCAACATATTCAGGTAAAAGTTGAAGGAACGACAGAAATCGAAATGTAAAGTTATTTGAAAACTTTGCCTGTTGCTAAAGACCAAAACTGGTGAATAAGACAGATGAAAACACCATACATATGCCTACATATAAGGTATATGCACAGTCATATATATACATATATATATATATACAAGTATATATATGTATGTATGTGAGTGTGTTTGTGTTTTTCGTTGGCACTTCATATACACTGCCATCATCTAATATGTTCTGCTCATACTTACTTGTATATACATGTCTATATAGTAATATGCATATAGATACATACATTCATATATATATATATTTACTATATATATGATACATACGTTAATATTATGTATTAGGGCAATACGCGTTTAAAAGCAATTCAAGCAATTTGACAAACCAAAGCAGACCACTCATATTTACATAACAAATAATATGTATTACTCGTAATCAATCCAATGTACCGTAGACAAAGATTAAAATGTTTGAATACAGTAAGTAGCGAACAGAACATATACATACATATATAGTACATACAGATACATATACTATATATATACATACAAGTATATAGTACTATATGCAAAAAAGAAATAACTTCAACTTGAAGCATTATGTGTAGGCCTATTTCTCAGCTCTCGTTTTGTCCAAAATCTGTTGTTTTCTTATTGAACAGAACAAAAGACCAAAACTAATGTTGGTAAATGTTTGTTGCTAACACTAGTTGCGTAGCATGCAGCTATTTGCATTTCTTTCTCTGTGTTAGACTGCAAGCATTCTTCTTCAGCATATTATTGTTTGAGAGAAAGAACATAACGGGAAATAAAAAAGTAAAAAATCATCATATTAATTGCGAATCAAATTCAGTCGTACGTGTGTACTTGTGTAGCTCTTAGTAACTGAACAAAAAAGTAAATTTATACATATACATATATATATTATACATATATATGCATGTATATTTAATTGTTTTTTCTTACACATATAGTTTTACGTAAAACACACACTTAAGAAAATTCAAAACCTAAGGAAAATCCAACAACAAACAAACAAACAAATCATATTTTATGTAATACAACAAAAATTCAGAAATATTTATTAAATGTTTCAACTAAGTTGTATAATTAATAAGTGAAGTTTATATGTCGCGTACCAAAAATAAATAAATAAATTAAAAAACAAAAAACAACATTACAAAAAAGGAAAACATAATGCAATTATGTATTTAATGAAATCACAATTCGGACAACAACAGCAACCAGACAGTGAAGAAGCAAATCAAGCAACATTACGCACAATTTGAACAACAAGAAGAGCATCAGCAAAACCCATAAGAAATACATAAATACATATAATAATATACATATAAATACATACGTATATACCTAAGTATATAGGAAATTTATATAAATAAAAGCCCGAAAACGAAGGAAAAAAATTATATTGAAAACAACAACAACAACAAAAAAAAAAAAAAAAACAAAACAAAAGCAAACTTTACATGCATTTAAAAATACATTTTGCCCATAACCGCTAAAATAAAATACGAGTATATAAAAAATTAAAACGATGGAGAACTTTAAACGAAACGAGATATGAAACAAAAGTTGTATGCAATTTTTAAGTCACTCTCACATTTTCATAAGGTGTAGGACAAAGGACATGCTTCATGATCTGATCGAGTAGTCAGTCATTAATCCAATTGAATGTCCACACACACACACACATACGTACACATATATACAACATGCATGCGAGTACATACAGATATCACGCTCACACACATGCTCAAATAGCACGCACCTGAACACACACACACACACACATACATGCATACTTACAAGCCCAACACATACATACATACATAATTCAGAGAACATGAAGAAGGCAAGGTTGGTGGCAAACGAAGCAAAGATGGCATAAAAAGTAATTTTAAATTGAATAAAAATTAGAATTAAAATATGTACAACAATTTCAGTAATGTTTTTTATTTATTCGTCGCCAGGGATGGGCTATCTAATGATCATTCGTCTTTTTGTATTCCTGGTTCGATTATTCTACAAGTACCAATGAATTGAAGGAGCTTTTGTCTAAAACACTTCATGCGCTTCTGCGCAATTCACTAATCGCGATTTCTTGTAGAAAACACGATTTTGCTGAATAGAAAGCCTTTAAAAGCTCTTTCAGTTTGGAACGTTTCACGATGTTCGGTTAAGGAAGTTTCAGGTTTGCGGGCAATGAAGATAGTATAAGTTATGATTGTTTTAACAATAAGTAGTTTTGCATTGGCATCCCGCAACATTTAAGTGAATTATGACAATGCTATTGGTTCGGAAACTCACGATAATACCTAAAGAAGGAATTCACGTTGATATTATCATGGATCTGTGAGCAATGGATTCTCGTTATGGGACCATACAATATCAGGCATTGAAAATGTTGACACCGCAGCAGTCGGGAACTTAAAAAATTGAATTTCTTATAACCCGAAGACATTCAATTAAATACACGTAGCTTAACATCAAAACTACAAATGCGACATTAAAACAACAATCTAGCAGAAAATACAAAGACTATCTATCTGTTTTCCACAATCTAGCCAAATTTGTAATCTTAAGTTTATAAAAATCGTATATGGACATTTCTGTCGCACGGGAAGGCGTACACATTTTAAGCGAAAAAAATTGGTTCGGTCGACCTTTCAGTGGAAATGCCCATATACTTAGTAGGCGGCAATAGATGAATGCGTAAGCCTCGCTGTTGGCGAAGAAAAATGACTTAAACCTTAGGCAAATCAGTAGCTTTCGCTCCCTTGGTAGCCCTCCCTCGGAAAGGTAGTTTATAGTAAGCCACCGGTTTAAGTAAACCCACGATAAATTTTGGCAACCAAAAAGACATATTTTTACGGACTCTTTGGCCATTATAATTCTCAATTAGTTTACGAGAAACCTCTCCAAATTGCGCAAACGTAGTCCTCACTACATAGAGAGCGGAGTTGAAAGCTGAGATAGTATGGAAAATTGTAGTTAGGGTCCCCTAACCATGGTGGAATAGTTTTCTTGCAAAACACAGTGAGGTTTATACATGAATTTCATTACAAAGATAATGCTTTGATACCGTCACGGCATCTAGGGCTTTACATGTGTATACGAATGTAAAATGTATTTTGGTAACTATAACTATGTACATACATCTTGGATATAAAAGCTAATTTAGTATCAGAATGAAGCTCAAGGCATTGAGACATCCAGGTTGACTTTTAAGCTAGAAAAGCGATAGTCACGACTGTCAGGATCGCGAACTAAGCACAACGGTGACTGCTGCCCATCAGAGAGTAGTTGGCGCAAACCCCCAGCCGTCACATAACCAACGGCACAGACAGTGGCCTCCGTAAAGCTGAAGCTGGCACTGGTCACGTACCCAAAGACCTCACGCGTGCATTGCCGACGCACGCTGTTAGTTGTGGCAGCTGGCTCCATGGGTAGCCAAAGGCGACACATCTCTGCAAAATGTTCTCGGACAAGAGCCGCTGTATTTGCCGCTCGTATGTGAACACGTTGTGTGCTCGTCTCCTGCAGTTTACGTTTCTCGCGAACACGCCGCCCTCGTAAGCGTTTAAGCAAACGCTTGTGAGCCAGGCGCAGGTCCCGGCGTGGTCGCTCGTTCAGATCGGGCAGTGGCGGTTCACAGTACACGGGAGCCTGGTCGTCTCGCTTGAGCTGTTTTAGGCGGCGCTTGAGATCGGCTCGGGTGGGCAGACAGATAATCGCATTCTCATGCAAACTGCCACGCCTCAACAGACGCAGCTGAACCTGCACCAGACATCCGGCGGGCAATTCCTTAGGACCGGGGAGCTTCTGTTTTCGTCGCAGGCTTGTGTCAATCCGTTGAAGCAGGTCGCGCTGACGCAGCACAAAGAACTGGTTGGCGCTGTCGTCCGTCTCCTGACGCCAGTCGCGCACAAGTTGCCCAAAAGGAGCACTAAACGGACTGACGACGGCGTATTTTCGATAATTACAACGCTTGTTTGGTGGCAGGCGAAAATAACGCGCCCGACGGTCCGCAGCAGCCGTAGCAGCTTGCTCCACACCTAAAAGAGCGGTGGAGGAGTAAGGTTAAGGGTAAGGCTTTTTGTCAGCATATCGACTTACCCGCCACTGTGTCCGGCAAATGCAGCTCGGCCCCCGCCTCACGAGCCACGGTATCGAATTCTCGCAACCCGCCCGGCCTAGCACCCCACATTATGAGCGTAAGCCAGAGCACCAAGCCATAGCGCGCAGGTGCAATTATGTCCCAACCACAGCCGTAACCCAGACGTTTGTAGCGAGGCTGTTGTGAGCCCGGACGCTGTACAAGCAGCACCGGCAGCGGCTGCATCGATTGCTCAAAGGCGCATGGCATGCCGGGCACAACCGCATGTTTCTGGCGCAGTTGGCAGTAGTCATGGATTGAGAGCATTTTATTGCCAAGGCGCTCACGCAACTCCTTGTCCCAAAGCGCACTCGTGGGCAGACAGGCGGGCGCGTCCATCAGCAGTTGCGCAGGCTTGCTTCCTTTTGGCGCAGCTTCCACAACACCGGCTTTGGTTCGCTTTATGGGTCGTTGCAGTCGCGGATCCACAATGTTCAACCCCAAGACCATATTGGAAAGGAGCTCGCTAGGTGTGTTCAAACGTAGCGCTGATCTGCAGTAGTTCGCCTGGGTTTCATGTATGCGACGCTGCTCGCTATCCAGCTGCGAGAGCCAGTGGTCGGGCTCGTTGCTGTTGGTGGTTTCGCGAATTTGGTAGGCGCGCAAACTGTTTGCCAGTACTTCTTGGGACCGTGGTCCGGTCAGACGGAAACGATTGAAGCTGTTCTTGAGCACGAGCAGCTCCAGCGTGCCATCGGCATTGGCGTAATGCCGGTTGAGCTCAAACGCCTTAGTTTGGGTCCAAAAACGCAGTGGCTGCTCCTTAGTATTGCTCTGCTTGCTCTCTTTCGTCTCTTCCTTTGTTGGTTGTTCTTTGTTGTCTTCAGTGCTTAGTTTCTCGCCTGAGAGTGGCAATTTTTTATGTTTCGTCGACTTCAAGTCAAACACCTGCACCAGTTCCTCAATCGTTGTTGTGGCGCCACAGGGATGTAGCCATAGCCAAAGTGTGCGTTTGTCACTGTTTACGTCGGTGATGGGCCGCCACATAAAACTAGCGCGCTGCAGTGCACCGGCCGGATATTTTCCATCACGAAACAACTCAATGCTTCCCTCGCGCCGTCCACTTAAATACGTCTTGGCCCCAATACTGAGTCCGCACTCGCTACTGGTTAGACGTGCAAAGCCTGCGCACAACAAATCGATGTTTCCCTGCAGCTCCACGCAACAATAGAAGGATATGTCTTGGACCAAACAATGCTGGGCACTGGCGCGATAGCAAGCACGGTAAGTTTTGTCGCAACTGGCATATGGCAGCTTGTAGCCCCAGCGATCGACCATGTGAAAGCGTTTCGCATGCCAAATATGCGTTTCCAGCCATATGTGGCGTCTCTGCCGGCGCAAATACTCACGCATCAGATTTTTTGGTCGACGGCGATATTTACGCGAGGGTCGTTTTTTGATCGCAGCAGTGTTGCCCGACTTCCCCATTTGCGACTTATGGGCGGAACGATATTTGCGCGGCAGGCGCTTTGGATGATGGGACATGGCTCGGCGCCGCATATGCTTTGGCAGCGACTGGAAGATTAGCTTAGTGCTCCTCGTTTGTTGGGCATCGGCAATAAGACTTTTGATCTCCCGCAAAGCACCGGCTGCATAGTGATATGTAGGTATGTGCGTGGGCAGTGTAACGCGCCCGCCCAAGGCGGCATCATACTCAAGTTTTTGATTGCTCATATTTAAAACAAAAAAAAAAAAAAAAAGACAGCGAGCAATATCAAAACGAATATAAACAAATCCCGCCGAACTGGTCGCACGTGCAGGCTATCGCGCGCTATACAACACTGTACATGGGCTGTCTCTGCGGGCAGTTATTTTTTAGCGAGTACAGCTGTTGGCAGCACCCTTGGTATTTTTCTAGTGTTCAAAGCAATTGGTAACATTGAGCACTTTTCGGCTGTTTATCCCAATAATACGTAGTATGTACACACTTTAACTTAAGTTTTCGCTGCTTGCTGAATATATCGAGGCAGAACTGCGGAACAACTGTCGCGGTTTAATAATTCTGGTAAAGACAACGACAGGACTGCCGCGGCTTAGTAGATCTTTTTTAAGGCGAACGAAGCGCGCCAAAAATCTATTTATTAGCAAATTTAAAAATTTAGTTTTATAACTGAAAATAAATAATAGTGCTGCTGCCACCGTCGTCGCCGCCACTGTTCGTCTCAGCCTATTGCAAACAGAAAAAACCGCGTCGTTTTTGCTACAAAGGTTGTTCGGTCGCTCGGTCGCCGCGTTGTTGGAAAATCGATTGAGATTGTATATTCCACTGCAATCTGCACACATTTTGTGTATATTAGATTTATATTGTTATTGTATTTTTTGTTTCTGTTTTTCTTGTTGCTCACAGTGCGAAATAACAAATTGGCCATAGTTGCCGCCGTCGCGACCGCATAGTAACAAATAAAATCGCACGACTTGTCGACAAGCGGTTGCCGGGAGTGCATAGAAAATCAAGCAAAAAGAAGACCACAAAATTGGCAAAAACATAACAACAAACACACGGCCAAATATACATACATATATATTAGCCTATAATAAGCGCCAACATTAATGATTTTTTTCATTGTTATCTCAAACAAAATATAAACAACACAATAGCATAGAAACATTGAAAATTTCTAGTACTACAATATAAACTAAACAAATAGCTGCCGCCGCAAGGGACGCGCACCATCTTCCTCAGCCTGCTATCCGCTGAAAGTACTTACAGCTCTCTGCTAGCAGCTGGCGGCAGGTACGTACATACATATGTACAAACAAATATACGCGTCTATATTCCGGGAAAATCTGTTGTTCTATGTGTTTACGATGGAAGTGCATACTATACATACATACATACATACATATGTGTAATACTATGTACTTTGCTGATCAAAGAGGGGGTTGCGCCGAATTTGTTTGCAGTCAATCGGCCCGCGTACACGCCCTGTTCTGTAAATTTAGGAGACCGCTCTTGCCTGATGTGTCTGATTGGACTTTGTTTGTTTAGATCAAAGCAAATTATAAATCGAACAAATGTATAGACTAAAGTAACATTATTATTCATTTAACAATAATAAGATACAAGTTTCTATATACAATACATAATTACTTTTTTACTGGCCTTTTCCTGTGTTGAATTACAAATAATATTGACGGTGGACTTTGGTTTTTGGTTTATTAGTTCACATTATACTCGAAACCAGGTATTTTTTTGTTTGATGTAACACGAGTTTTTCAAATATTTCGAACTGGGGACTATGCTCACTCTTAAGTTCCTTTCCTTCCTGCCTAGAAGAAAGCTAATTTTTGTTTCTCTGCTTAGTTACGTGGCGTCGTCCTAGTGCGGTCAAAGGAGCACAATAAGAAAAAAGAAAAAACATCAATAACTCCAGCAACGATTCGACCACTCCTACAACACGCCACTTCCTTATTGGCAACAGCAAGTGGCTCTGCTCTATTGATGTCATTTGTTGAACGAACGACCCTTAGGACATTCATGTTTTCCGAAAGCATGGTAAGTAGATATAGAGTTGGTGGTAATAACCTCGTTGACTTTGACTACAAGTATAACAGGCAAGCCAGGCCAATGAATTTTAAATATCAATGAGCACAAACATACATTCATACAATATGCCAACCTATACAGACCTACATATATAGAGTTTACCACCTAAGCCAGTCAACCAGTCAGCTACTTCGTTTCGATTAGGGCAAGTGTCCCCAAATAAGAGGCGTGCCCATGTCCCCGTGCTTATTTATCTGCCCCCATTATTAGCACATGGTTTGTTTGCCTGTCGTTCACACGTCGCAAGGTCAAACAACGAACTAACCGACTGAGTCGGCGGTATCAAGTGCCGCACTGCAGTCAATTGGAACATATATTTCGGGTATATTCAAATTGTGATCGTGTATGTAACACATAAAGTTGCGAATCTTGACTTGTTCCCTAACCGATTCGAATCAGAATTTGTAAAGTTTGATTCCGATTTTTGCAAATATATAGTATTTCCAGTTCTAGAAACAATTGTAACTATGAATTCAAAATTTTCCAATTTTGATTTATACAATAAATTTAAATGCCCGCAATTAGGTAGAAATTCTGGGTACTTGAGCCACATTCTATCTTCAATTAAATGTTAAATTTTGATTTATACAATAAGTTAAAATGCGCGTAATTCGGTAAAAAATTATGGTTACTGTGTATACCATGGCCGAGGGTACTTGACCCGCATTCTATCTACAATTAAATGATAAATGCAGTGTTCGTAAATCAATAGGAGCAGACAGCGATCAATAACTGAAGTTGTTTGTATACTAGTAATTGCAAGCTGAAAGAGTCAACTCAACAATACACTATACAAAAATGTCCCATTGTTTAATGCCAAATGAACTTTTTGATGGCAATATCCTAGAGACTAATCACAATAGCGAACTTTTAATGATTAATACAAATTTAGAGCTTGAGTCACATTTGTATAAAGTTTCTTTCATTGGCTTTATTTGATTGCTTCATCACAATTATAAACATTTACTTACTAAGTATTTAATCGCATGTAGAACCTGCATAATCCAACAGATGCTCATTTAAGGTTTGTGTTTCTGGTCTCATTAGATAAGCCTGTAAAGATTTGGAATGCCCTTAGAACACTTTAACTATTATGCAAACAAACAAGCAAACAAACAAACATACATACATGTGTATATTGCATTTGTACCGATAATTACCCTTTTGTTGATTGCGCTGCTGATTGTTTCCATAATTGTGCGTTCTGTGCCCTCTTCTGTGTTGTTGTTGTTGTTGCTGCTGCTGCGGGCGCTTATCTACACATTGGTATAGCGCGTGCGTTCCTCAGTATTACGCATACATGCGTGCATATGTTTGCTCATATTGCTGATAAGACGGTCCCACAAATACTCCCACACATACATACATACACACATGCATGTACATACTTGAGTATGTAGTAGTTGCAAGTAAATGTCCACGCCCTTACTGCGGTAAAGGAAAGGCGCGGGCGCGTGACTCGATGTGCACACATTTATACACGCACACCATATTCTCGGTTGGACTCGACCTATAAGTTACCGAGTACAATAAGATTTTCATATTGGTGGTGGTGCGGTGGAAAAGGTTTGACAAGATAAGACAAACACGTAGCGTCGCCATAAAGCCATTTTGTCGCTAAACTGAAAATTCCGATACGATTGGGGAAATTACGAGCAAGTGCTTATTAGTCACCAATAATTTTACTTGGAAAAGGTGTTAAAAAATGCATTGTTATGACTAGTCGACAACTAGTATGCTCTACATACATATTTAGATGTATATTAGGTATGTAAATTAGAAAATGGGAAAATGCGTCAGTTCAGTTTTCATTAAATTCTTGAACACCCTACCTCGTTTCCAAAAAATCTAAATCTAATCTCGAAATATATCTAAATATTTATACTATTTATTTTTGTATAACTGTTTTCAAGAAAGCTTTCTTTTTTTAAATGATAGTTTTATTTTTTACCAATCATGAAATTCTTGAACACTCTTCCTCTTTTATGGTCCAAAATATCGCTTCCAATAAGAGGTAAAAAAATATAAAAAAATGAAAGAAAAGAATTTGAATTATTACTAAATATTAATACTATAATATAATAAAATATTTATAAATTATTGTCAAGAAAGCTTTCTTTTTTTAAATGATAGTTTACTTTTTTGATCAATCAGTCGTGTAGAGGTATAAAGTATCTGGGTAACATATCCATCACCTATGTACTTATGGACTATAATACATAATTTTTAATGCGAACTATGAATCTTACTTTTGTGACCACTTGATCTCGAAAGCTTATCAAGAGCCTCCAGTGCGATGAGTGGCAATCCGTGCATGAAGTAATTGCGATCGGATTGATTGAAGGGGAATAGAAAATTGAAAGGCAATATCTAGACTTTCTTATCTAATTTAACTTATCCTAACGACATTCTCAACAAATTTCAAATTGTTGTCAAATTCGTCAGACATTGTGGCGAACGCGCAGGTATTGATGAAGAAGAAGAATTCTCCGAGTCAAGGTCGTTCCAATTTTTGATCATTATAAACATGCTATGGACTTTTCTTTTATTTCTTTTAAATATGTTAGTCCAATCCATTCCAACCCATTTAAGGCAAACCAAATCGATGAACTAATTAATCAAATTGAACGAATCTGTGACGAGCATTTCTCGGATCCATATACATATACTTATATTTATATAGGTAGATAAAAATGTGTGCATGAGTGTGTGTAACTCTACTTTTCCTGCTATTGTTGGACAACAACTACACATTGTCGCACTTTGATAACGTATTTAATTTATTATTATGACTGCGTACCCCTGCCCATCATACAGGTTGTATATTCGCTGCTAGAGTTGTGGGTACGGGTGATACTTCTACTTCCACTGCTACTGCTATTATTCTTAGGCTTGTTGCCATACAAAACGCCCAGCATTGTGCTCAATATGGCAGCTGCCCTCGAGCACTGAACGCGCAACGAACGAACAAACGAACGAGCTGTTGTTATTTTTTTTTATATTGTTTTACGCTTAAACGTTTCCTAATAGTGTTGATATCCAAAACATCTTCGCAGAAAAGCCAAAAAGAAATCGCAATGTGTGGGCTTACATCGGACTTTAAACTGATTGCTGCAATAACGCGTGTAATGTGAAGAGGTGAGGGTACGGGGTTGGGGTCTTCAGTTCAAAATGAATCTAAACGGAACCCAAACGAAATGCGAACGGTTGTGGATAACGATGATGTTCTGTTTTGTTATTCTTAGTGACAATGTGGGGTTAAGTGTGTGTGTGTGTGTGTGTGTGTGTGCGTCAAGTGTCTAGCACGATTAAATTGTGGACTTTGCGTTTATTATGAATATGCATACATTTATAGGTACATTCTAGAGATGGGCGCGTGACTTTGTTTTAATTGCAAACGAATACAATCTTAGACAAACACGCATTCAAATTTAGGAGGAGGAGTTTTGATATTAAAATAATTATTTCAATTATTTCAAAAGAAACCCATTAAACAGATTTTAGATTAAAGAATAATAAAACGTGTTTTCAAATCTTCTTTATTTCCATTGCTTGTAACAATGACAAAACTATAAGAACTACACACACATGTTATAACGATTAAGAAAAGTTTCAAAGTTTCAAATATAGAGGTACACTTAATTCTATTTTTACACGGTTGATTGGTTCCAGAAAAAGTAGTGTTAAAAAAGGACATTGATCATGTGTTATTTTGAATCGTGCTAAATGGAATAAGGTCGTGCAACCATATATAAAATTTTCAATTTTCAAACCGTGTAAAAACAGAATTAGGTGTAATTATATTTTTGTCAACCTGTAACCAAAAGAGAAATATTGAAAATATGTATCAGGCAGAAGTAAAGGAATAAACAACGTACATATGTGTAGGTCTATTGACATGATAATATACAAGACAATTCGATCTAAGAAAAATTTCACAAAAAAAATTTCTAACAAATTTCACATTTCATTCAAAGAATGTTTTTAGCTTCGCCATAGCTTAACACTCTCCAGAACTGTTCGACTAGATTAGGGTTTAATCTAATTATGTACTCTGTAGACGGATCTCTTTTGGATTAACACGCTAACTCTTATAATAAATAACACAATAAAAGTTCAGACCTCATACTTCATTCGATTCGAAGTTTTACAATTTAGGAGTACAGTAAAATGTGCAAAAATAAGTCACAAGTCGTATTGCATTGCTAAAAACACTTGGGGGCGAGAACTTCAATTTTCCGATCGCTACTCAACTTAATACATGGATTGTGTGTGGAGATGTATGTATATGGATACATATAGTATTTACTGGTATATAGCAAGTAGACGACTTGTTACGTATAAACGTGTTAGAAATGATTGTTTTTTTAACGAAGCGATTTTATTTCTCAGCTGGCTTAATTATATTTACAACAAAGCTGGTCCCGAGTCACACAGATTTCTATGGCCGGGCTGTAATTGCCTGTCTGCCTGCCTGCCTGTTAATGTATCAAGCTCTAAAGCTATAAACAATATTTTTAATTTGGCTAATTGTGAGGCAGAACAGCAACAACAAGAACAATTACGAAGGTAATCAGTGAAGCGATGCCGCTTGCTGCAATTCACAAATGCAATAATGCAAAAGGTCTATTGTTAATTCATGGCTCTGTCCGTCTGCACCGCCGCCCGCAACCCACCAGTGGCTCCTGCGGCGGTTTTTATATAAGCAGTGATAAACGCCGCTGTCGTCGCTCGTCGCTGACTAGCTGGCTTGTTTGCTTATCGCTCGACTCGCTCGCATGTCTGAGAAATCGCGTCAAGTTCATTATACGCCCCTGCAATTGGACTTAGGCGCCGGCGGTATGTCGGGGGAAGGTGTCGGTGGAGGCGCTGGCTATTGACTGGACAGTCAATCGCTACTGCGTTGTACGTGCATATGTATAGTTGTGTGTATGTATGTATGCATGTATAGGCAAGTATCAGTCGCTCTGAAAAGCTAAAATGAGGCTTTGAGGCCCTCCCCAAGTTGTTAATTTCTTACGCTGTGTCAGACGACGAGCGTTCAACATTGTTGTTGCTGCTGTGGCGTTATTGCTGATGAATCACACACGCAGTGCCGACGTTTGCGTTTCACACAGACATCTGTATATGTATATGTATGTATGTACATAACATACATACATACATACACTTAATCAGGCATCCGGAATTTGCCGGATAACAGCTCTGTCTATATATAATACATATGACTAAATCAGCACTACTCTTTTGATAATTATTAAGCAGTTTTTTAGATGAATTCACACCATTTAATTAGTTTGAACAGAGAGATAATTCTTTGGGTCTTTGTCGTTTAGAGCATAAGTATTAGCGACACTTTCGTATCGCGCTTTAATAATTGTTGTCGGCCGAAAAATTAGAATCTAAATATAGTTCGAAGCGGTCTCGTTCATCATCCATTAGATGTACATATGTTAACAGTATCAATCGAAGCTAAAGCGATCCATGTTGGAAAGAGAGAAAACACGCATCATGCTTTAAAATTAACACTTGGGAGTACCTTTCTGCAGCAAATTGATAACTAATCCAACAATGTCAAAGATAAACCATCTAAATGGCAGGTACATGTTTCCAGATATTATCTTGTACATAGGCCGACTCATTGCCAGAACCGTACTCGTCTTGTTTTCTTCGTTACCGTCATTATTAATGTGATTATTATCATTGCTGACGTCGTTGTCGTTGTCGTAATTGTCGCCAACTTCTTTAAATTGCGCTCAAATTGTGATAAGTTATCGGTATCTCGCATTATATTACAAATATATACATATATGTATATACATATATAAGTATGTATATGATTGCGGGCTATTAATCATGGCAGTAAACGCGAGTACATTCACATAAAGTACAAACGAACACCCCTATATAGATAGATATACCTTTGTATAGTGCCCGAGTACTTCGGTTATCGGTGATTCGCTGTCCCTCATAGTATTATGCAATTTCAATCCAAATAAATTGTGTGATTTTCTCCGGAATCTTTCAATCATGCACATATCCTTATTTACATACGTATATGAGTGTAAACTACAAGCAAGTGCAACATTCCACAAGAGACCACTCTTCGATTTTCCACACAGGCGACCATTATGTATCTACATTTATAAACTTATAGTGGTAGGCCCTTCGAAACTTTTGTAGAGTAGTGTGAAACATTTGTGCAAACCAATCCAGTACATATGTACTACACACTATATGTATCCATCCACATAGTCTGTATGTACAATAATTGGGTGTTATTTAAATGAACCCGCAGAATTCCATATATGTATATACGTGTATAGTTTTTGTAGAGTCATTCAAGGCACTTAATTGAATTAACTGACAAATAAATTAGTCGAATAGACGATGAAATAACAAAGAGGCGCCAAAAACAAACAAATGTTCATGCAATACCAAAAGTGACGCCACCTATCTGCCCATATAGTGTCCAATTTTTGCCATTTATGTTTAAAATATTTCTACTTTTTATTCGTCAATATGTGTAATTGTTATTAAAATGCCCTTTCTTTTCGGAACTCGATCTCGTTTAGAGGCAGTAACATTCAGAATTTAGCATAATTAAAAATTTAAACTTATCCATTCAGTGAATTGAACTGAAAGCATTCCTGTTAAATCGATGGCACTTGAACTTTTGTAATTACAGTGCCCATTGCCATGCGTTTCATAATTGAATAATGGAATTCATATAAGTACATATGTATATACTAAGTATGTATGTATGTGCTGTATTTATATTGCTCGCATATTTACAAATACTTGTACTCCAAATGTTTGTGTACTGATGCTCAGGCACTCACGAGTTACAGTCAATATAACTAACTGGCTTTATTGGATATTTCAGTAAAACTCTCTAGCATTACGAAAACCTTCAATGAAACTACAGGTTGTTTTTCTGGAAGACCTGTCATTTAACAAGTCTACGCAGAATTGATTATTGTCGGAAATAGTTGTCTTCGAGTCCAATAAATTTACCTATTTCTTATATTTTTCTTCCATAAATCACTTTGCCTATCTGCCCATCCACAAGCTAACTAGGATAGCATAGTCTGGGAATGTGCGAACTGACTAATAGTTGAATAATAATCGAAATAATTGATTAACAATTAAATTGTCTTCATCAATACACATATACAATATAATATATGTGTAATGTGTATTGAAGAAGACAATTTAATTGTTCTCTTTTATTTAATTTAGTGGCACAATGCTCCATTGAGGACATCAATCTAAATAGATTTTATTTCATATTTTTTTGCGACGCCAATAAGGATCACAGTCTGATAGCTTGATAGGGGTTTGGGATTCCAGGAAGATCATCAGTTAGCTAGGAGTAGCGCTGTTTTAAGTGTAGATTTCGGCAGTGTGTGACTTAGGAAGAGCTCCCTTGAGTTTTGCAGCCTCGCTGAATAGTCTAATGGTTGGCTTTGACTCGTCATTCAGCATTTTTTTTTTTTGGTGCTCTACTGTTTGTTTTGGCTTAAAACTAAACTATACATTTGGCTACATCCACATCCCTCCTCTGCAAATGTCAACTTTTCTTCAATAACACGCTGAAGAGAAGCGTATTTTCTGGTATTCACTGTACTGGGCCCTAGTTGTGTTCGCTTGTGTGTTGTTATCTGCGTGCCTGGGCTCAGTTCGGCCGTTTGGGCGCCATTCGGGGCACGCGATGCATCTACACATACCCCATATCTATGCATGCATCACGGACGCTGGCTGGTGTAATGAAAACCGTAGCCATGTATGTGCAATTGTGTCACGCAGAGCGGCCTTCGTCTTTGGCAGGGGAGCAAATAGTTGGAAATATTTGGTCAGCTGGACAGCATGCCATGCCAACGTAATTACTTTCTTGCAATTGGTACGCCTTTTCAATATACATATATGTTTTTTTTATTCCTTTTTACTCCACTTAGAAGCTTAGCTACAAAAACTTTCCATCTATCTTGTATTAGTTTCAATAATCATGTAGTTGTCAGTCAACCTGGTGATTGGTCAGGGGAGAGGCGTCTTGGGGGAGTTACTATTGTGTTGTCCAAATATGTCCAGGATGGGTTTTTTGGTGGTTAAATGGCCACGACGTTGAAGGCATGTATTTGGGAGAGCTTTTTCGAGAGAGAGATATGTATAAAGGACATATATATTCGTATACAAAATTGTCAAAAATTAGCTCACAAGCAGTGCTCCAACTATGATCCGTGAAAAATAGATTTTCCATTTGATCCGATTATGCAGTAAGAGCTATAGTTTCAGCTCAATAGCTACTAATACGAGCTAGATAGTGTTAGTCTTATGTTCTAACCGTCTTGAAGTAACAAGCATAATGGAGTGATTATAATTCATTTAATAGAAGATCATCATAATATTGTATAAAATTGTAAACATTTTGCAATGATTATATCAAATTCTAAAATCCAACTAGCTAGCACAACAAAAAAAAAAAGCTAAGCGCGCTGCAAAAAGAGATAAGTAAAGTGAAACGAGAAGGCCAAAAGGTAGATACAAGGCGACTAAAAAATATTGTGCAATAAAAGTTTTATGGATGGAATCAGAAAACTTCAAGTTATAATTTGAGTAAAGAAACAATTAGAATCGGTGTACCTAGTCGTACCTAGATGCTTGTGATGACATTTAGTCTTAAATTCTCTTGAATTATAACTGAACTATCTCCTTTTGTTTATTTTCGTTACAGAAATGACTAATCAACTAACGATACTCGTTTTGGTTTCCCATGCAAGCGAACTGAAAACGGCAAGAACCAAGGGCACCATTTGTTGTGCTCACAAGAGCTGAGCAGTAATTGAAGTCAAGAATAACAAAAATAGCAACAACCACACAAACAAACAAAATAAGTGTTTAAACTCTTTCGCTGGTCTGGAGATCTAAGAAACCGACAAGAGTATAGAAGAAAAAGACTTACTCCCATTAGGCACGCTTCGCAATCAGCCGTTTCTGCTGCTGCTGCTGCTGCCTTTGATTTATGCGTCATCTTTCTTATTTAACTTTTAACTTACGCGTACGAAGACCGGACAAAGAAAACTTTAATGAAAACATATATATGTTTTGCTTTATATAAATAATTGCAAACCGGGCACATATAGTTGCACACACACACAGAATACAAACCTATTTACGAACTTCCGTTGGGATTTGACGCACACCCGCAACCTTAGGAAAAGAACGAAAGAAAGAAAAACTCAAAAGTCAGAGACGAACAACAAGAAAGCTACAAAGAAACAAAGCGTGCATAAAACGAAATCGAAGAGGGAAGTGGGAGACGCCTGTATCCATCACATCATCGCACGCCCGCCCAAACCCACTTCCACATAAAGCACAAAGAGTAATAATAATATAAAAATAATAAGCGACGAAATAATAACGAAAGTTCAACATTTACTTAAGAACAAATAAATAAGGCAAGCTAGCAAGAAGCTAGAAATAATAATAAAACAACAGCAGCGCCCGAAAATTGCCGATTTCGATTCGATTCTAATCGAGCCAGCTCTATAAATCACATCACATCCATAACGGAACCCAAATCTACATTCACACCCGGAGTTCATGATGCTGAACTCAACTGCAAAACATCTGCTACACTGCACGCTGTTGTTCACTGTGATAGTAACCTTCGAAGTATTCTCCGGCGGTATTAAAATCGATGAGAACTCATTCACCATCGTCGATCCATGGACTGAGTATGGCCAGTTGGCCACAGTTTTATTGTACTTACTCCGATTTCTCACACTGCTGACGCTGCCGCAGGTACTCTTCAACTTCTGCGGGCTCGTCTTCTATAATGCCTTCCCCGAGAAGGTTGTCCTCAAGGGCAGTCCTCTATTGGCGCCCTTCATTTGCATACGCGTGGTCACACGCGGTGATTTCCCCGACCTAGTGAAGACGAATGTTCTGCGCAATATGAACACCTGCCTGGACACTGGTCTCGAGAATTTCCTCGTTGAAGTTGTTACCGATAAGGCCGTACATTTGGCCCAACATCGGCGCATACGCGAAATTGTTGTGCCCAAGGAGTACAAGACACGGACAGGGGCACTCTTCAAGTCGCGGGCATTGCAGTATTGCCTCGAAGATTCGGTGAATGTGCTCAACGACAGCGATTGGATTGTGCACTTGGATGAGGAGACGCTGTTGACTGAGAACTCGGTTCGCGGCATTATCAATTTCGTCCTTGATGGCAAACATCCCTTCGGCCAGGGCCTGATCACGTATGCCAACGAGAATGTGGTCAACTGGTTGACCACTCTGGCAGATAGCTTTCGCGTTTCGGATGACATGGGCAAGCTGCGTCTGCAGTTCAAACTCTTCCACAAGCCCCTCTTCAGCTGGAAGGGCAGTTATGTTGTCACACAGGTAAGATATAGCCCAAAGAGATTCTTCAATTTATTTATATAGGGCCATGTAGCAACTATCACTCTTGTTGAAACAAATATTATACCTTTACGTGTAATATGTAAATAGATATATTTTTATCGAAATACATTTACATAATCCTTGAGGCAAAAGCTAGAATTAAATACCTTATAATTTGCTTAGCTGCCGGACTAAGTGTCGGGCTTAGCTGCATCGGCAAGATAGCTGCATGAAATTTGCTTTTGACAGCATTAGGAGTTGATTCTTCCAAGTTAACAGCCTTTTGCACTTTTTTATCATTTTCTATCAATATTAAGAAAGTTAAATGCGCCATCTATGACCCATTTTTTAAATTAAGTAGTCCCTTAACATTCCGTTAGAATGTGTACATATCTTTCTTACAACCGCCTAATGTTCTGATCGCGGCTTTTGTCTTTTAGTGCATACATACTTGTACATACATAATTAATTATAAAAATGGGCGAAATAAAAGGCGTTGTGGGTTTAACATTTAGAAAAAATAAATCTATAACTGACATATTACATTTTTTCACCAAATGTAACCAAGGTAGTATTCACTCATTTAAATTAGAGTATAGACGTATCTTGGTGAAACAACAACATAATACAACTTCATATATTGTCATCAAACCGCAAGAGTAAAAATTTCACCAATATAAAAGTTAAAATTATGTTAGCTGACTTTTTAGAATAGCTTCCTCAAAATTCTGTGCAAAGTATTGGAGGCAGTTAAGCAACTGTACACTGTAAGTATTTAGCTGCAACACAAAATAGGCTGACCTCGTATTTAAATGTTTTCCAATGTTTCCAATATTTTTTAAGAAATGTATGTCCTAAGCTGTTCCTGAAATTCTCTCACAGTTGCTTTCTTCACAACCCACAAACAATTTCAATTGGGGAGCTGTGCGGCTTAGCTTATTTGTGACATAATAATATTACTCCCTTCATAATAATACTTACACTCTAACATCCAGATCAGATATTATATTTTTTGAAGTGGTCGCATTTCAAATAGCGATATAAGTATTACCCTGTAATTCAGCTTTTCTCTTAATTCTCTTAGGCTTTTCTTTGAATTGATACCATGGTTTGAAAGCATCATTGAATTTTGTGAAGCGTGCAATATTTTGGAATGTTTTATTAACTCTTTTTACGATTCATCTTACAGGTGGGCGCTGAACGTTCGGTGTCGTTTGACAATGGCATTGATGGCTCTGTAGCCGAAGATTGTTTCTTTGCGATGCGGGCCTTCTCCCAGGGATACACTTTCAATTTCATCGAGGGAGAAATGTATGAGAAATCGCCGTTCACGCTGCTCGACTTCCTGCAACAGCGCAAGCGTTGGCTCCAAGGCATCCTGCTGGTAGTCCACTCCAAGATGATTCCGTTCAAGCACAAGCTCCTGCTTGGCATTAGTGTTTACTCATGGGTGACCATGCCGCTATCCACATCGAACATTATCTTTGCCGGCCTCTATCCGATACCGTGCCCCAATCTGGTGGACTTCATATGCGCCTTTATAGCTGCCATCAACATTTATATGTATGTATTCGGTGTCATCAAATCTTTCTCGCTATATCGCTTCGGACTGCTCAAATTTTTGGCGTGCGTGCTGGGCGCTGTGTGCACGATACCCGTCAATGTGGTTATCGAGAATGTGGCGGTCATTTGGGGACTTGTCGGCAAGAAGCACAAGTTCTATGTGGTGCAGAAGGATATGCGTGCTCTGGAGACGGTGTAGAGTGTTTGATCTTGATTAATGAACATAGCATAGAATTAGTTAATCCAAAACAAATACCATGATAAAAACCGTATTTCCAACATTCAATTAAATCAAAAGTAGACCAAAAGATTTAACAGCAACAAATACTAGAAATAGAACTAGAAACCGCACAAGTACGATCCGACGCAGGCGTAAGCTGGAAAGAGAAACTAACGTTGCTTGGCACCGGAATCATCTGAAGCTATGAACGTCAACGTCCATCGTAGTCATCTGATATAATTTGTTTGTAAAATATATATAGAAATAGTCTGCACTCTCACGCCCCACCATCTAAGAATTGTTTTTAGTCCGCACTTAAAACCTCATATCAAATCACTCTCACACTCTATGCATACACACATACATACATAACTCACTCACTTCGCATTCACCTCGCAAGATACTAAGCCACATACTACATATTTAGAATCATCATTCATATTCGTATTCATATTCATATCCATGATAGTAGTTATTATAATCAAAAAAAATCAAAAAATTGCCAAACTGTAAAACACAATATCAGAACAAATGCACACATGTATACGTGTATATACAGCATATGTACATACATAGTAGATAGATATGTATGTACCAGTACTATGTATGTATGAATGTATATGCATCAATGTGTTATACACTCAATAACTATATACAATCTATATAGTTGTCTGTTTGTAAACTCACGCACACGCACATGCAACCACACAAGTTAGATAACAACAACAAAAAACAATAATATAAAGAAAGCAAAAGCTAAAACCGAGAGGAGTACTTGTAACACACAAAAAATGTTAAGGTAAAAAAAATCTACAAAACTCTCAAATAAGTGTAATTTTTTTCATAGTCTATAGTTATATTTATGTATGTACTATATTATGTATAATTATTATTCGTTTATATGAATATGTACATTAATGTATTGTAAATTACATTTTGTTAATATCATTCACACCAAAAAAAACAAAAACCGAAAATGAAATGCTAAAACTATAAACACTGGCTTAAAGCTGTGGTTCAACAGACAACAATTTCGCGTCCAATAAACTGTTGCTTCAAATATATAGCATTTCGAAAGAAAGGCTAAGATTTAAAAATTGAATACATTTGTTGCAAATTATCTTAAACTTGTAGAACCGTCTGCGTCTGGTTGTTCAAAATGTCATCGAACTTAAACTACAACCAACAGAATCGCGGAGAATGAGTTCAATTACTAGGTTGGAGAGATAACACTGAGCGCATGACATATATTCAGGCCTGCTCCGGTACCGAATACTGTTTCTAAGTACGTTCGGTGGATCGGAGTGGTAATGAAGTTTACTTACAAATTTCATCAATAGACTGAGAATATGAAAAATGTGTGGGTGTGTGTGTATCGAAAACTAACTTTGCTGTAAATTAGAAAAAACAAAAAAAAAAAACAATTCTACAAGTAGTTCATATAAGTACTATATAGTATATTGTCGTAGATGTGCAAAAGAGCTGTTGTTGTTCGTATTTATATTTACAACTATTCTATACACATATGTATGCGCACACACATGCACATCCGCACGCAGATACATAATTCACGATTTGGTGTGAATGATAGCTGTTAAGGTCTCGGCCAGCCGAATTTTGCGTTATAGCTATTTTCGCCCCTACCCACCCATATACACACCTATAAGTTTTTTTTTTTATTGTTAATGGTGCTTTGATATTCATGCCACCCACAATGACAGCACATGGCGCTAATCCTTTATGGCACACACACACACGCACACACACACATTACCCATGAAACTGTCAAACGATATGCTTTGAAAAAAGAACCAAATACAAATAATAATAAATGATTTAAAAAATAGTCGAAGCGTTGCAACTTATTTTATATTTGCATATGCATTATGGAAACTATTTATAATGGTCAAAATGTATATGTAGATGGCCAATTTTATGGTCGGCTGCTATTGATAATCGGTGCAGCACTAACCCATCTACTGGCGACAGCATCAATATTTTGTTAGCCGAGCTCTACACTTTATCGCTGCGCACTTCCAAAATGTTTGAAGCTATGTTGTAGTGATATGATTTAAAGGGTAAGTTTTGAGCATCATACGACATGATTTCGAATTGGCTCACAATTTGAAGATTGAAAAATTGACAAAATTAAATTCTCTTAAATTCCAGTTGTTGGTAGTGTAATTATTACCTATTCGATTGATCCACAGTTACATAGTTTGCACACTCAAAAAATACTTTCCATACAGAAATGTTGCTCCAAGAATTTTGTTTGTATTTAAAACGAAATTTGTTTCAATCATTACAAAAATCAGAAAAAATTCACATTAAGGTTGTAGAGACTCCCTAATAGTGTTCTAACTATCCAATATCCTGCTTCCGTTTTTCAATAACCAGCTCAGCCCCAAGAAACTAGAAACTTTTTAATTTTCATAAAACATTTCTGCGCGTCTGCCTCTCCATCTCCGACAACTTTTAAACCGTAACACTGAGTGATAAAGGCTTGTTTCAGTTATCAGTAAGAGACAGAGATAATAATTTCAAAAGAAAGTAAAGTAAATCATTAAGCTAGTACATAATTAAATCCAAAAACAACATTACGACAAACAAATGAAAGGAAAACACTTCTACACAAAGAAGGTGCAGACATAAAATTGATAAATCAAAAGACAAATGCTGAATCAAATGATACTTCCTGAAATTGTATTTTCAGGGCTGGTGCAGTATTTAAGTTTATTTTATATTCGTTTAAAATTTGTTGGAAGGCCCTTAATAAATGTATTTTAAAGATCTAATCCGTTTCTATGTTACATATTAAAAAATATTTCTGCAATGAAAAATGTAACTTTTGAACTATTCTAAACCCATATTCAGCAAGTGTTATGAACTATATTTAAAAGTAAAACGATGCGGTGGATGTTGTTTTAAAATCTAGATGTGTTTCTAATGAGAACAAACAATTAAATCCAATGCTTTAAATGTCTTCAGCATTTCAAAGGAATTTATTTTTTGATGAAGGCGTGTAAAATGTTAATTCGGACAGTCTGCAAATAAAAAAAATATTTAAGCATTGTCTTCAAATGTCTGGAGACTCTTTACTGACCTGGAAATTTCCGGCCTTATTAACGTTAAAGATTTGGGCTCAGTCTTTGTGGGTGTCGATTCACTACTATGTTCCAAGTTTTCCAATGGTTCCACCGGTGGTGTCAATGTTGGCTCGGCGTTCTCAATATTATCATCATTTTCATGGGAACCATCGTCATCCCGATTGGGATTTTTGCAGAACCCTTTGCAAGCACATCTGAGCCCACATTCTCTGTTATTCGCGTAGCATCCGCAACGTTTTGTATGACACTTGTTGCGACACTTGCACTTGGGCCCGTTTAGACTGGACGTACTTGTCGTATTTGAACCGGATATGTTTTGATTTGATGAAGTCGAGGCATTGCTAATGGAAAGTTCGCCATTGTTCATCGAGTTCTGAGCTTTAGAGTTTCGTTTCCTCTTTGCAGGCACCCACTCCGGATCGTCCGTGTCCAAACAGTCCGTTTCAGAGTCATCAGATAGATGGTCCACGATTTCCACGTTATTGCCGTTAGTCACGGGTTTCTAGAGCATAATTCGATTAAATAGCAGGTTAATAAATAAATTCTTAATGGTTTTTAATTTACTTTCTCACCTTCGGCTTTGATCTGGCCGCCAGCAGCTCTTTATAGGTATTGAGCTCCTCCTGCAGTGTGCTCATTTTGAGCAAATGCTCCTCCACTATCTGGTTACGCTCAATGTCACCGGACTGCACAATTTGATTGTGTTGAGATCTCAATAGGACGGTGACCTTCTCCTCATAAGAGCGCTGTTGTTCGGCTAGCATCTCCTTGTACTTGCATTCGGCCAGCCGCAAGTTTTTGGCCATAACTTCATTAAGCTGGGTACGCTGCTCTTCCAGCGCCAGGTTTTGTTCTACCGAAATGTGCGCCTTTTCAAGCGTACTCTGAGCTAACTGGCGCCGCAACTGGACGAGCGACTGCAGAATATGTTTGCTAACTGTACGTAGCTCGGCAATATTCTGAACGCTATCGCTTAGCCCACGCATGCGTGTCTCTAAATCGTTTACACACATCTTTTGCTGAAGATCAGCTATCTGTGCACTGCGCATTTCGAGCTCCTCCTCAAGACTGGACAGTTCTTTATTGAAGGTCGTGGGCGATTTGCCATTTTTCTCCTGCTTCTTCAGATCGGTTATGCGCGCATTTACACAGGCGCGATCCTCCAGCAACTGTTCGAGACTATGCTCGGCATCGACCAGAGAGAGTATTACATCCAGTTCGTGATCCACCCAGGCATCTGTTTTGCCCCCTGCCTGACCCTTGGCATGACGTTGGCGTTGCGCAGCACTCTGTCGTTCCAAAGCTTCCTTCAGTCTACAAAAAAGAACAAACAAACAAACATATTAAAGTAAAGAGCTTTTTGAGTAAAGTGTATTTCCATCTGTATCAGCGTTAGGATCTTAAAAATCATATATAAGCGCTACACACTTCAAAGTTTAGTTGTCACTATCTTACCTCTTATTAATGGCCATCGCCCCTTCAAACTTGCGTTTAAGCACTTGACGTTCCTTTGAATGCTGTGTCTTCTGGCGCGTCATTTCCACCTGCATTTTACGATCCTTGCTCTTCAACTGTGTCAGCTCCTTCTCACGCACCAATTTCCATTGGCGGAACTTTTCGGACTCCGCGTGCATACTGCGTATCAGTTTCACCTTGGACTCCTTCATAGATTTGATCTCGGAGCTGAGGTTGCTGATCTTCTGGTGCTCATTCTCGCGCAATTTCAACATTTTTGCCTGTTGCACAATCTTGCGCCGCATATCCGAGATTTCTGCTTCCAGAGCCTGCAGACGTTTGCGCCTCTCCTCTGCTAATTTGGCTGCATTGTCCTTCGTTTTATTGTTACGCAACTGATCCAGCAGAGCTATACGTTCCGACTCGAGTTTTTGTATTTTCTCCTCGGATTCCTTAAACTTTTCCTCAATGTCATCATCCAAAGCGTACAGATGTTTAAAATTATTACAAATCCGCTGATGAAGATCCTGCTTCAAGCCGAGCTCTCTATTTATATCGCGTAGCTCATTGTTCAGATTCAATTGCTTTGTGGTATACTCCTCCGTCTTTGACTGCATCAACTCGATCACCTCCGGCTCATCGTTGTGTCCATCGCCATGATTAATTCCGAACTGTTTGCTACACCTTCCCAGCTCCTTCTCTGTTTGCTGCTGCTCCCCATCCATAGCACCCACTAGCTCTTGCATTTTCTGTAACCATTGTTCATTATTGCTCAGGACTGGGCCCTCCTTTTCATTGGCATCAACTTCCGCTGGCGGTGTTAGTTTGCTATAATTATTTAGCATTTCCTTCAGTTCGTGAATCCGCGATTTTAGTTTCTCTTGTGTTCCCTCTGCCAGATGCGCGCGCATTTCACGTTCCGCCAAGTCAATTAGAGTCTGATGCAAATCAGCTTGAAGTTCGCGATTCTTCTTTTCAAGCCTGGCGTTCGCCTCCTGCAACTGTTTCACCTGTTCCATGCATGCCATATCATTTGTCATAGGCGCCAGTTCCAGGCTTTCCGTGACGCTGGTCTGGGAGGTGCTCATCCCCCCGCAAGCCAACAGCTGCATTCGCAATTTCTGAATTATGTCGTTCAGATGGTTAATTTCAGCAGCATGTGGATCAATGTTAACAATTGGCTTCGTTTTTATACAAAGCGCGCGATCTGCATAGCGCAACGTGCTCAAAGTTTCTGAAATATTGTAATCGGCTGGACTGACGCAGGCAATCATTAAGGTTATAGAATTGCCACCCAATGATTCCTGCAGTCTACGAGTCAGCTTCGATTGACGAAATGAAACGTAACCGTTTGGATTCGCTGCATATATAGAAATCGAAATTGAATTAGGAGATACATACATTTTTGATATATTGCCAAGTATACTTACAGGCCAAGACATTGATGACATTGCCCAATGCCAGGAGTCCCTTATTTATGTTGACACCTTCCTTAAATCGATCCCCAATGGCTTGTGTTTTTTCACATCTCTCCGATCCTGCTAGATCCACCAAAGTGAACTTTGACGTGGTCACAGACTTTTTTTCCCCTTTACCGACTGCTACAAGTGAAACGGTGAAGATGGCATGAGATCGCGACGACTGTTCATTCATGGCAGTTGAGGCCACAGCCCTTCCCGATGAACCACGCATCAATTGATCGGTGACTTCCTGACCGGAATTCACGACCACCTCCGTTAGACCCGGCATATAAATGCCGCTCTTATCCTCACGTATATCCACAGTGCTCTCTTTGCGGCCTTGGGAAGAAAGCAAGTCATAGAACTGCTCCTGATACAGTTCTACAAATGAGCATTTTACTGTAAAATCGAAGTCAGTGGACATTGAAGCAGTCTCCTCAAATATGTCATGAACGGCACGCGGTATAACGCCAGTATTCTCATCCAGAGCCCCATTGAATGTGGTACCCATTGTGTAAGTCTTGCCCGAACCAGTCTGCCCATATGCCAGAATTGTTAAGTTAAAGCCTGCGAGAAGCTGCTTCAGCCTGGGCATTACACATGCCTCATATATGTCTTGCTGTGTGTCGCTGCTGTCGAACACATAATTAAATTTAAAGGTTTCTGAACGGTTGGCAATAACTTGGGGCGATCCATCGGCTGCTCGTTCGACTGCCAATTTGCAGCCACGCTCTGTTTCGGTTTTAACTAAAGGTCGGATACGGATTGCAACGTTTACTGTATTGTTGCCTGACATCTTGGGCAGGCGGCCTCTGCGTATAGTTCCTCGTATGCAATAATGACGTTGAATTCAAAAGCAAGCAAATTTAATAATTTCTTTTCAATTACACACAAACGCAAATTAAAATAATTATGAAACGAATTACAAATATATCACACGTCCACTAACGAACTTAAATCACTTAAAAAAAAACGCAAACTATTATATATTTTACAAAAAAGAACGCTAGGTTTGAAAGAGTGCAGACGCGACAAATTTAATAAATGGCGGGAGTAGGGCTTCAAAAATTCCTTTGGGCGAACTCCGATTTCAGTGTGTACACAACTATAAAAATGTTTTATCGAACGGGTATCGAAAATTGGCCGATTAAACAAACATATATGTCACGATTATTAGTCAATCTTTGCCATTCTTTTTTTTAAAAACAAATGTATAGTTCTTTGTAAACAGAGGAAAATCAGCTAATAGCCGAAAAATGACGACCGCAGCATACCAAAGAATTACGCATTCTAAATGCAGTAACTTAAAACTCCTATCCGCATTTTCCATAGCAATATTTTTATTATTGCTGATAATGGGATTATGTCTGTGTTTCTTTTATCTGAGCTTCGGAACAATCACACGAAACTTAGTCATAGAACGGCCACAACGTTTAGTGTGCTATTATCAAGACGATGGTCTCGAACTGAGACTTCTGGATGTGCCCGGAGATTTATGCACCCACATCAACATCGGTGTTGCCAGTTTAAATAACCTGACACTGGCCTTACCACCTAGCCTGCAAAAAGTTCTCCAAGATGAATTGCCCATATATCATGCCGCAAATCCTCATGTGAAGATTCTACTTTGGATTGGTGGCGCTGACAGTGGCAAGGAATTTGCCGACATGGTAATCAATCACGCACGTCGCAAAGAATTCATACGCTCATTGAAGGCCGTGATGCAGAAGTATAGGGCACTGGACGGAATCGATTTGGACTGGGAGTTCCCCAGTGCCTACGATAAAGAGCGCCAGCATTTCAGTCAATTACTCTACGAGATTCGGCAAGAATGGAATCGAGAACATCGCAGCGATCGCGTCTTATCTGTGGCTGTTGCCGCACCTGAAGGCATTGCTTTCTTTGCCTATAACATACGCGAACTAAATCTATATGCGGATTATGTGAGCGTCATGGCCTATGATTTCCATTTCTACACAAAAGATACGCCATTCACTGGCCTTAATGCACCGCTCTATGCGCGCAAAAACGAGAGCTCCATAATGTCCACCTTTAATATTAATTATACCATTCATTGGTGGCTTAGAAATGGAATTGAGCCCAATCGACTAGTGGTTGGACTGCCAACTTACGGACATTCATTCACGTAGGTTTATTCAACGTCAACTTTTCATATACTGATGTAGTTAAAAATGTATTTCTCTTACACAGATTGGTAAATCCCTTTAATAAGCGCATAGGTGCGCCAGCATTAGGCGTCGGAGAATGTGGCCTGGGTGGTTTCACGACACATTCCCAAACTTGCGATTGCGGAAACCGGTATCTTAAACCGTTGTACGAATACGATGAGGAGACTTGCTCGCCTATTTTAAGTGCCAATCAAGAGTGGATCTCATATGAAAACGAAAAAAGCATTACATGTAAGGCACAATTTGCAAAGTCTCTTAATATTGGCGGTGTTATGATTTATTCCCTTAATAGTGACGATATTAAAAACTCTTGTAGCTACATTCCAAAAACTCATGACAATAAACCCGTTTTTCCATTAACGCAAGCTGTAAAAGCTGTCATATCCCAATAACTTGTAGTCTCATCAAACTTGTATTAAACTATAAATATAGATTTATACATGGAATTCTTATCAACTAAGATGGTTCCATTTAAAATGTACACGCTCAAGCTTTATTAAAATGGCTGTTGGGAAACTAAAGACCCTTACGAATTCGGACTGACACAGTTTCTAAAACCAATAAATTTAAGATTAGATATATATATATATATATGTATAGATATATAGTACATGTTTAGCATATCTGTATTTGTAAATTATGTATGTTAAGTATGTATAAATTAAATTATCACAATCGATCAATATAATAACTAGAAAATTTTAACATATGAAAGGACTATTTTCATATGGATGCATTAAACATAATTGTGATTAATAAAATGTTAGAAACAACAAGATATTCATCCAGTGGCTTCCTTTGAAAGCTAGCCTTCACTAAGTGCAGCTTAAACGAAAGCAAATCAATAAAATATATCATAATAATGCACAGGATAGTGTTAGCTAAGCCTTCGTGTGATTTGTTAGAATCTTTTAAAGCATGGCAACTCTGGCAATGATACTTTGCGATCCTGAAATCATGTGTGGTGCCTGGGTGTGCCTTGCAAATTTGGCGGTGGCTGCGCTAGAAGTTCATCAATTTGCAATTTATAGGCCTGCTTCAGCTCCACCAAATCTAATTCCAATTCCTCGGTGCGCTCCACCTTTTCACCGTACATCTGCAGCAAGGCATCATATCGATGCTGAAGGTCTTCGTAACACTTTTCCATGGACTCGTATGATTGCAGTTTCTCTTTGAGCTACAAAGAAATATCATCACCAATAAATCTTTTAGTATTCATTTTCCTCATACTTACAGTTTCCATTTCCATAGTTAAATTAGATATTTGTGCATCAAGCACACCGCGTTCGGCCTGCTGGCGAGAGAGTTCCCATTGCAAATGAGTCAGCTCGCCATCACGCTGCTTCAGCAATGACTGCAAATGCTCGAGTGTGGTCGTATTGGGTGCTAAGAAATTCAGATGCACGCCCTGAATAATGCCCGATGGTTGCCGGCCGGAATTGGAAATGCAATCTAAATCATCCTGCAATGTAAAATGCCCAAAAATTATTTTAATTTGATCTTAAATTATCCACAAATAAAATATTCACGAAACAAAGAAATGTATATTTATGAGCAACAGAAAATCATACTAAACACCAAACCTAAATTGAAGTTCATTTTGTGCTTACGTGGTCTTTCTTTGGTCTTTGTCTATGTTTTTCGTTTACCATCGGCGTCTGTCCGTCAGGGATTATTTTGTTAAAGTTTGTTATTAACATCAACTCACCGCTTGCCAGTCAATAATGCCGCCCAGCGCCTCCTCATTAGAGCCACTGTCGTCTGCTAGACTCATGGGCGGCGAGACACGTGATGTATGGATGTGTGACTTGGTTTGCGCTTGGAGCTCAGTGCTAGCCTTCACTGCCTCCACGGTCAAATCACTGCTCCGAAATTGACTCATTTTTTGCTGCTCGGCCTCCAGCTGTAGATATTGTTGCTCAAGCTCTTGTATTTTTTCAAGGCGCTCCTTCAATTCCTTTTGCAGCTGACTCACTTGTCTAATGAATTTAAATTGATGAAGGGTAGATTGTAGTAATCTATAGATATACAAACCTCTTGTGCTCAGTCTCCATGAGATCTGCATCGAGCTCTTGTTGCCGAAGTTGGATTTTTGCGGTCTCTGCCTGCATCAGTGCGTTGGAAAGCTTTTCCTCCAATAGATTGCAGCGAGTACGTAATAGTTCATGCTTTTCATCTTGGACCGATTCTAATTGTTGCAACGACCGTAATTGCACTTGTGAGTCCTCCAGTTTTTGTAGAAGAACCTGTTCATCTTTATTCCAGGTTGCGGTGCGCTGATTAAGAGTTTTCTGCAGTGACTCGATTTGTCTAATTAGTGGTGTGGTCGTCATGCCTAGCTCCTGAGTGGAACTTTCGGCACGCATCTCAGCTGCTTCGAGCCGCCGTAACAACTCACGATTCTCTTCGCGCAGCTGCTGCTCCCGCTTAGCCATGCTCTGCTCCGTGATGCGTAATTTGTCCCGCAAATCGCTCAACTGCTGCATATACTCCTCGTTTTCAGCCTTTATCTGATCCTGTTCGAGACGTGTGCGCTTTTGTAAATCGCCCTTGACGCCATCGAAACTGGTTTGAAGGGCTGCTAGCTTAGATTGCAAATCCTCGATACGACTGTGGCATTCGGCATTTTGCTCGTCCACACGGCGTTTCTCATTTGTCATTTTGCACACAGCCTCGATTTGGGTGCGCTCCATTTCCTCTTTTGCGGCTAGTGATTTTTTTAGGCGCTCCGCTTCGGTGGATAGCTGGGAAATTTGCTCACCATTTTTCTTGAGTAGCGTATCCGATGTTTTTTCTTTGGCCCGCAACTTTTTGATAATATTCGATTGTTGTAATATCTCCTTGGACAACTTTTCTCCCTCGGATTGGAGTGCCGCAATCATTTCATTGCACTCGGCCAACTCGTCTTTGGGAATTTTATTTTGCAGCTCATCTTTCAGACATTTGATTTGAATTCGCAACGCATCACGCTCACGTATGCTGGATTGGAATTTTTTCTCTAATGCAGACAAACGTTGTACGGCCTCGTTAGCATCAGTATTGTTGGCAATATTATTTACTGCCTCAACGGCTGCCCGAAGCTCCTGATTGCGCTCCAGCAGCTCTGCGTTCTGACGCTCCGATTGCAGCAAACGCTGTTCACGTGCTTCTATCACCTGATTCAGCTCGCTAATACGATTCACTAATTTGTCTAACTCTGACTGAGAGTCTTCGGACAGCAGGGATATCTCCGATGGCTCTCGATGGTGCCCTTTCGGCTTCAATTGACCCGCCATAATGGAACTATGCGAACTCGCCTTAACACTCAGTTCTTTGAACTTTTGTGGACTTGTACGGGTCGTAGTGCTGTTCGTACTCGAATCACCATTGGGATTGGAAATGATTTCAATGTCTGAGGAGGTGGACGAGTAACTTTGATCTACCACTTCAGTTTTAGCTTGCGTTTCATTTGAAGTTTTCCCCTTTTGGCTCAACTGCAACTGTATGTCCTCAAAGCTCTGTGTCGAGTCCGAATCCGCACCCGTGACTGTGGCCGCAGCTTGTGTTTCATTAAATACCAGAGCTTTCATAGTTTTGGTCGAATCTGAGGTGTATGAAAATAAAATGTAATTAAGTGAGGACCATTGTGTGGAATATGCTATTTAAATCTTACCATTGAGGTGCAGGGATTGATCGTCCTGCTCGAAGCCGACTCTTTGATTATCATCATCATCGCCATCACCTTCAGCGTTTTCAGAAGTTTCATTACTGGCTATAATAACGATACTGTCGGGCAACGATGATTCCGTGTCGGGTGACATTTCTATTTCGCTTGCCGTCGTGGCCGTAATTAATTCTAGCGATGATTCTGAATTCTGTAAACAAACATCGGCGGCTGTCGGAGAAGTCGGTGAGGGTGACGAAAGCAAATCAACAGAATCCGACGTGGCCGACCGCCTATTCACATTTAGTTTGGAAGCCACTGGTGTGGTAGCTGCAGATGACGCCACACCAGCATCACTTGCTCTAGGAGGGGTGGTGACCATCTCATTGGCATGTGGATTGTCGAAAAACGTTGGTGTGCCCGTTGCTAACCGCTTTTCAGCCTCCACGGTTGGGGAAGCCGCCTTAGTGTTTGATGATACTGCCACCGTCGCCCCACTGCTGACGTTATCAGGCAATTTGCTGTCATCGTCTTGAATATCGAGCGCCTCAATTAGAACAGTTTTGGCTTTCTCGAACCAACTCATGCCGTGTCGATTTGGGAGACTTGCGTCTTAATATTTTACTTCCCCCTGTTAAAGATAATACAATATGATGCATTTACTATGTACATATGTACACATAAGTATATAAACATTAGATATGTACATATAACAATTGCATTGATTTCAGTGTTCAATTGTTTGTGTTTAATGCTATTAGTTTTCTTACGACTTTGAACGAGTTGAGCAATGCACACAATTAAGTGAAGCATACTATATGAATCAATAATAATTCAATTGGAGCTGAATCCACAATTACCTCGTTGATTTCGTTTATAAAACCACTCCAACTTTTATTCAGAATTTGTTCGTAGCACAACAGTCGAGCTGCCAACTTGTTTTGCATTATGTTTGCTAAAAGTGTGCCCTAACACAAGAGGTATGGCTCGATGATGATTACAACTTTCGGCAATCGTTATCGGCCAATCTGCATTTGTGAATGTGAATGTAATGTTGAAAAAGTGGTGCACTTTGTTTGTGAAACGAAACGGAGAATGTTGAAAATAACATAGTAGTAACGTTCATTAAAATTGTGAGTGTAAGCAAGCGGATTCAGCATAGTCACACCTTTTTTTGGCGCTAGGAACAACAATAAACTACGCACCGACCCGACCGACGTACCGATTAACGCCCTCCTACGCCCGCACTTTTGGCACCCGCGCTTCTACATACAAACACACACTTATCTATACACCGCATTTATCACCTTCTCCGCCGCCGTCGCTGCCTTCCTTATTTTGTTTGCTTTTGTTGTCTGCCATTTGTTTTGTTCCCTTAAAACGAAAGGCGAAGGAGCGAACAAAGGCAAAGGAAAATAGCAAGTGAGCCAGAGAACAAAAGCAGTGCAGTGCAAGTGCATAGCAAGCGCAGCGGAGCGCAGAGGGCCGAGGCACACATTGGGCATCGGGAGTCAGTCAAACTCTATGGGTCAAAAAGCAAGCACACCAGCGACCAGCGGCCAACAGAGCCCACGCTCAAGAACATTTTCGAGCAGTTCGACGGGTGCCGCCGACCAATCGCCGCCCAATTCCGGGGTGCCCAGCCGTGGCGGCGATGCCGGTCAAGGTTTCAATTTGCTGCGCACATTGCCGGGTCTACAGGTGTATCACCATCAGAATTCAACTTCCATAGACCGGCAGCGTGCGCGTAGCCTAAGCTCAGTGCCGGATATTCAACAGCAACAACAACAACAGCAGCAACAACAACAGAGTTCCTCAACGTATCATCATTCATCTGGCAGCAGTCCCCACACCCACACACATCCCGCCGTCTCAGTGTCTGTGTCAGCGAATCCAAATAGCAATAGTTTCTCAGCTGCAGCCAACAATAATAGTTCAGCCGCTCAAACTTATAGTATACAGCAAAGACGCGGTCTTGGTGACTCGATACGCGTAAGTATTATTGACTTTATTATTCCTTTGTTTACATACGCATGTCTAATAACACAACATTTTCGAATTAAATGCTGCAGGATATGTCGATGACGGGGGCTAATATTGTCGAGAGCATTGCTCTGGCCGCATCTGCAACATCAGCGAACAGTCTCGGGCGAGTTTATACAGCGACGTCACTTCCATCGCACATTTGGTCATTCAATGGTACGTACAATGTACAACCTACACACATATCTATGTACGTATGTACATACAAGTATGTAGTTATTTAAGGTCTGGTTTGCTAAGAATTTGCAATTTGTGCATACATATGTATGTATGTACAAATGTGTCTGTGTGCGTATGTGTGTGCGTATGCGTGTGTGTGTGTGTGCGTGTATGCAGTTGTGTAAGTGCATGCACTTTCTAGGTGAGAGCTCATACATGTCATTCATCTTTACCCCACTGCTATTTCAGGTATAAAATGCCCCGTGTGCAATAAGTTTGTGTTGCCAGACGATATTGAATGCCATTTAGTCATGTGCCTCACAAAACCGCGACTCTCATATAACGGTAAACAGCTGTTGTTATATAAATTTTCAATTTTCAATTCATTAATTTTAACGAGCCCACATTTTTCTCCACTTACTCCACGCTACATACTTCTTTGTTGTTGTTATTTTTTTTTACTTTCGCGCCTGTGTGTTTCCCCAACTGTAGAAGATATATTAGCGGACGCCAAGGGAGAATGCGTTATTTGTCTTGAAGACTTAAGTCCAGGGGATGTTATTGCTCGATTGCCATGTCTCTGCATCTACCACAAAGGGTGAGACCATACAATTGTCCAACAATTGATGATTCCTATTGAAACAAATTCTGATTTGTAATTTTCGAAAATTTTACAGATGTATTGACCGATGGTTTGAAGTGAATCGGTCATGTCCTGAGCATCCTGGCGATTAGTAATCCTCATTAGGTAATGGCTAAACTAATTATAAATATAAAATATGTTACAAACTAGTTTTTAACAACAACAAAAAAACAAACAAAAAAATGATATGCGTTTACGCAAAAAGAAAATGTGGCCGAAGGGGCCACAAGCAAATATTTGTGCATGCAAAATGTCTGTTTGTATGAAATTTTATATGTATGTATAGCCATGTATGTATGTATGTATGTACATATGTATGTATAAATGAACTTCATGTATGTCTCAACAAACATTCTTTTTCTATGTATACATACCTATATATGTATGTATGTATGTATGTACGTACGTGTGCACTCATAATTAGACGCATGCAACCAATCATCTCATTAATTTAATAATAAACATTTTTAAATCCCACAACAATAATCATAATAGGTTATAGTAAAAAATAAAAAAGCAAAAGAAAACGAAACGAAACAAAACAAAACCCATGAAAAATGAGCTAGTGATATACTAAATATTTATAAATTCACATTGTAATTTAAAAAACAAAAGAAAGAAAGAAAATTTACTGTAAAACAAATTAGAATTGGGTTAAGTCGAGAAAAGCATATACGGTGAACGTTCGCAAGGAAGAAACAAAATTCATTTGTAACTATAAATGTATTTTATACTGTGACATTATAGCTAATAGGTTGAAAACAAAGAAGAAAAAAAAACATTATAATATTAGTCGCAGTCAATATCGTTACGATAATAATGCTCTAGAGAATATAATCATTCATTGTACTTACGTCTTATGTATTGTATTTGTATGTACTACATATATATATATATATAAATGTGTGTATGTGTGTGCGTGTGCGCGTGTGTATGTTGATATATACTGCATATATGCATACATGCGTTGTACGTATGAATGTTTTTTTATAACGCATCGTATTTGTATTACAGTGCTCGTTAAGTCGTTTACACGTTTGTTCGTTTGTACATTATGCAAAATTTGAATGGGCAGAGAACTGCGTAGAGTGGCCACGGCTGAATCCGCCTCTATGTACATATACATACATAGGTGAGGTGATCTGTAGCCATATCAGCTATATAGCTATATACATATTATGTATGTGTGAGGCGATCAGAATGAAGCAAACAACAGCCATCGAGCAGGTGAAAAAAGCGCAAAATCGATTTTGTTTTTGTCATTGCAGACAAAATGATTGAAGAAGGCAAATGATTGAAAAACTCAATATTGAATGATGATGAAATACGGCATGGGGAGAGGCTACCAACACCCGAGTTGGATCAAGTAAATCGATCAATTGACCTACCGATCGACTGCTGATGGAACGTTACACTCACACCCACAAACACACACACACACGTTCACAACAAAATTTCAATTGAAAGAAGTTAATATGATAGAGAATAAAAACCAAATAAGCAAAGCGGAAAATTTAAAGTGAAAGTAAGAACCAAACGAAACGTACCAAGAACACAAAATTTAAGCGATACCAACAACCAACCAACCCACAACAACAACAACAACAAGAACAACAAAAAGATAACGAAGATGAAATAAAAGCATGGAAGCGAAGCAACCAACCAACCAACAAAAGAATGTCAACCAATGTGATGTTAAATTTTATATTTTGTACTATGGATATGTATGTATGTATGTATAATATAATGTATATGTATTTATTATTTTAAACGATCTGAAGGTAAACAGAAGAAACGAAAAAAAAAATAGGATAAACACAAAATCTCCAAGTAAATCTTATGTACTAAATTAAAAGTAAATCAACCAAAAATAAGCAAGCAAAACAAAGGCCACTAAATTTGTACCACAGAAGACAATTCAATAATTGCCGACTTTTTAATTAATTGTGTAAATTACATTCAAGTTTCATTTATAATGCAGGAAACGGAAGAAACTGAAATTAATTTTTGTGTTTATCCATGTTTCATATTGTATGCGTCATAAATTAGTAACTACTGTGTATTTATTTTAATTTCCCATCTTTTTGTTACTATTTCCTTAATTTTAACTATTATTTTGTAATCAAATATTTTGTTTTATTTTTAAGTAATTAAACAAGTTTTTAGTTGACGATAGATGGGATGCATAGTTATTTACAAATAGACACATAAATAATTTTTGATGATTCGTCGACAAAAGTAAAAAGAAGAAAAAAAAAAACGCAACTCCTTAACATGTAAATATTCTGGTCAAGCCAAAAAAGAGAACGCTAAACGCAAATCTATTCGAGTTTCATTGATGCAGCGGTGCCAGCAGTGATGGAGGCAGACGATGGCGGCAGTCGTGCTCTGGGGTTGTCCTAGACAAACCTCTAAGGCACACGGCCACACACGCATATACACAAACACACACATGCACACCCATCCACCCACCTACTCACTCACTCAGGCACCTGCATTAGCAAAACATTCAGTCATGCGCTATAAGCAAGCAAATCAAGCTGTGCTTTAAAAATTGTTTTTTTTTTATCTATATATACTATATATTGTTTGTTTTTTTGATGATTTGTAAAAATGGTAAATAGGATTATTATTATCTGAAAAAAAAAAAACGGCAGCACATAACTAATTTGTAAATTATATACCTACTCTATTGTATGTACTGTACATACTAAGTATATATTGTAAAGCGTTGCATTGAGCGTCAGATAAAATAAAATTGAAGAAACTAAACAAATGAGAATGAACGCGAATGGCAAGCAAACCATATTTAAATGATAAAGTACTATCTAGATGTAATTTTATTTTACATTTGTAATTGTTTGTATGAAAAGATAAAACGAAAGAAAACGCAAAAAACTAAAACCATAGGCAGTAATCCCAAATGATGTTATTTTGCGAAAACTAAATAAACAGCCAGTGTAATTGACTCTTGACATCCTTAAAAAAAAAAAACCAAAAAAAGAAACATTTCAACTTTTTACACCTTATCCAAACAAAAATGATGAAAACTATAATAATAATAATATTTAAGTAAAACGACAACCGATGAAAACAAATTGAGATAACTTAGCAAATAAATGAGTGATTATATAAAAATACAAAACGCCTGCAGTTTTTCTTATTGCAAGGATATTGCATTGGAGACCAAATTATTATTATTACCAAAATTATTTGGATCAAGAGAGAACGCTACAGTCAAGCGAGACCTTGAAATACCCTGTACCCAGACAAACTTCAGGCACTGGGTTATATGCGCCCCTAGCGGAAGCAAAAATAGGTCGCTAATAACTTTTCTTAGAATTGACCGATTTGGATGAAATTTAAAACAGTTAATTTATATATAAAATACGTGTGCAAAGTTTGGTTTATGTCGCTTTTGAGATATGTTCAGTATTGACGCAATTCTGTAGCGTGGACAGGGGAGGGAAAATGAAAAAAATAAACTCGTGTAGCTTAGGGACCAGGAGCGTCTATATACCAAGTTTGGTTAATGTGCAATTAACCGTTTCCGAAATCCAGGCGTTCATCCAGACGGACGGACATGTCTAGATCGATTTCTCTCGTCAAAAATATTTATATTTTATAGGGTCGGAGATGCTTCCTTCTGCCTACTTTGCACAAAAACGACTAAAATAGTTACCTTTACTTTGCACTTTGCGAATCTTGCGTCTCTATTCAAGATAGAAACAGAAGTATTTCAGCTGAGTTGAGCTGCCTGCTTGCTAACCACTTGCACCTCAATTCATGACCTTTTATCGAATTTTGCCCCATTGATTCACAATAGCCCATCCCAAATCCCAACCTATATCGAAAGTTGAAGAACTTGTACCCACTAACATTTTGTACCTCGTCAAGGGTCTTTTACACCCTGTTCCCAAAAGAGTCGAAGTGCTTAGTGCAAATGATAGAAAATCGTGAAAAAAGTACATGTATACATATGTATGCACACGTATGCATACATATGTTTTATATGTGTATGAAGATTTTATATGAAGAGATGGGTCGATATAGCCATGTCTGTTTGTAAGTCCTAGAAAGCCTAAACAAGTTTGTTTATTTAATTTCCCATAAACAGCAATTTTTTTTATAATTCTTGGAGTTTTTGTCTTGCACACACAAACAAATTTATGTACATAGCCGGACCTTTAGTTACACTTACAAATGCATTCCAATATAGTAGTATTTTTATACTCTGTACATGAAATGTACAGAAGTATATTAGGTTTGCGGGAGCTGAAAAATGTAACAGGCAGAAGGAGGCGTGGCAGACCCCACAAAGTATATATATTTTTGATCAGCATGACGAGACGAGTCGATCTAGCCCTGTCTGTCTGTCTGTCTGTCCGTCTGTCCGTCCGTATGAACACCTGGATCTCAGAAACTTTAAGAGATAGAGACACCAAATTTTGCACAAAGATGCCTTATGAGTGTATTCTATACGAGTTTGTTTTATTTTTTTAATTTTCTTAATTTTTTTTATTTTCTATAATTATTGTAAACATATGTACAGAGTATTTCAAAGTCGGGACACCCGACTTTAGCTTTTCTACTTGTTTACAATATATCTTGAGGTTTCGAAAAGCAAACCCATAAATATATAAAGACCCACAAAGAAGTTGGGCACGATTCTATAACCTATACATGTACTTTAATGTATTCTAGTTTAAAGTTTTATCATAGGATGAAATTTTCATATACATAATTCTTCCAAATCAAATCCAAACATCATCAAAGAAAGATAACCTGGCTTGATTGCAAAACTGTGGGAACTTGCTGCAATATATAGCCAAATATGTAAATACAACGAGTGAGAATTGTTTACAGTAATATCGCTTTTATTCAATCGAAACTAAACATAAGAAGGTGTAAATTAAATTCATATAATCGTATAATTAGGTAAATACATATCTGCGCCAGTGGTGGTTGCGTGCATTCATACATTCGGATATGAATCTGCTATGATTATGGGATGTTATTGTTATTACGACGCATGTGATAAATGGTATATTTACCCTTCGGAAGCAAAATTATAAAATTAAAAGTAAGAAAAAACTTAAAACAACAACAGAAATGTTAGTGGGTATTGTAGGAAGTCGTCTCTATCTAGGCAGTAAATAAAATTAAATGAAACCTTAACTCTTTCGTAGAATTGCTGATCCAACCATGGACACATCCATCCGTACTGCTCTGACGAAATCGCCGCACAGTAAATTCTTGACCGGGCGCGATAATGACTAGCCCGGGGCGAGAATTGGATCTGATATTGTTTATGTTTGTTTTTCTTTTTTTTTTCTTCAAAATTTCCAAAACGGGATGCGCACATCAGTACTTGTACAACTTTACATGGGCGGGGTCAATGTTGTTGCGCTTGGGTTCGTGCCGCCCAATATCGCGTATAACAACGTGGCGATGCGTCGCTGTATTTAAACCCCTGATCATTGCCAATGCAATGCGCGTTGGCTTGTGTCAGCAGCGTGTACAGCACTGCACCAGTCGCAAACAATGTAGTCTGCCTTAATATCGTTTTACTCATATTTCCAGTCACCTTGGCTCAGCCTTGGCAGCTGGGCCTCGACTAGTGTTTTTATACCCATGGCGTCCACCCCTCGTATAAGACCGCCAGGTTATCGGGATTAGTGGCCTCGCGTATGACATAGTCTATTTGCTCCGCAACTAAGCTGCGCTGATTGTTGTCCGGATCGCGTCCCTCCAGTTTCATACGGATTTTCTTCCACACGGATACCCCATAAGCGTTGCGTTTCTGCTCGTGCATGTTAAGGGCGCCTGCACATACAAAAGATTATGAATGAAAGATTATGAAAGAAAAGGGAAATTCAGAAGTGTATGTTTTCAATAAAAAGCAACAATTGGACACTATAGTTCGATTAAACACTTATAATTTAAACATATTTTACAAAGAAAAATTAGTGTTTTTAGAGTTCAGTTTTTCATTTGTTCAATCTCGTTTCAGGGGAATGTTTAAGTGTTTGTAAATATATCGAAAAACTGGTAATACTGCTTCGATATTTCTATAATTAAACTCCATTACATGTTGAAAATATGACTTCATAGTAAATAAGTTTGGAAATACATTAAAATATATTTACTTAAAAGCTGAACTGAAACTGCACTGTATTTATTTAGTTAGCATTGAAAGCGGATAAGATTTGGCCAACAATTTTAGTATATCTTTATATCTAATCAAGTGGTTTTGCATATTTTCAAAGAACAAGTAATATATGCTTCTGCAGTATCGTGCTTTGTCTTGGTCTGCAACAGACTGTAAATATTGAACCTTACCTTTGTTGTGGGGGAACGTCTCGAATGGCAGCGAATCGCACTCGCCGGTATTTTGAAGAAACTCCTCTACGGTCTTGAAAAACTCATCCACTTCCTGTGTGGCAATCAATTGAATGTGCTGGATCTCGGTCTGCCAGTGCTGGAGCGTCGAATTGACCAGGGAACGTTTTCCCGCAGTGACTTCCTTGCGGAAATCAAGCAGTCGCTGGAAAAACTGATTCAGCGTATTCTGGCAGTCGCGCACATGATTGCTCAAGATTTGAACATCTTGGGGAGGTAGCTTGCCATTCTGATCGCCTTTTGATTGCAAAACGTTCAATATTCGTCCGTGTACGCGTGGCATGTATTCCTGCATTTTCTGCAAATTAAAAAAGATTAAGGGAGCATAGAAATAAATACACAATTGCCAAGAAATGGAAAAAGGAGAAAAATTATCGTTGCTTTTGCACCTGTAAGTCCTTGACTAGTGCAACCATCTGCTTATACTTGTCCTGGTCCTCGTTTTCCACTGACGAGATGTCCCTTTGCACGCGATACGTGTAGTCCTCCAACAGTTTACTTATACTGTCAAGCCAGGAATTGTCTATAGGACCCTCTGGATCGAGCAGCTCTATAATGGCTTCCTCGACGGGTGTGATCATACCGCTGCTGCACAGCCACTGCCCGTAGATTTCCTGCCACAAGGCGATGTTGGTCAACAGCTGCTGGCACTCCCGCATTTCCATATCGGCCAAGGTATCACATTCGATCATACACAGGGCACTAGCGAGCTCTATAACTTCCTTGATCACATTGACGTGGGCGCGTGTTAGCTGCTTCTGCGCATCTTCATTCCGCAACAGACTGCCGATACTATTGCGATTCCAGATAGTCTTCTGGCTACGGAGCAAGCTCAACTGCCCTTCAATACTGCTCTGCATGAGCTCCACATCGCGCATGCAGCTGTCCAGCGTCTGCCAGTTCTCGTAGATGGCCGCGCACAGTTTCTGCTTGCTAATAACGTGACCGAAACGTATATCGCTGTCAAATCCGGATCCATAGGCCCAATAGTGTGCCGTTGCCACCAGCGTCTGCAGCTCGATGAGACGATTAGTCAGTGTTATATGCCGCTGGCGTTCATGCAGCACACCGTCCGATTGCAATGCCACAAATAGGCTCTCACACAATTGTTCCGTATCTCCTGTATCGGACACTTCCAGTTCGCCGTGCGTGCCACAAAAACCAGTGTAGAATACAGAGGAAAGCAACGGCACTAATCCGGCAATATAATTTATCTCCACGAAATGTATGAACGCGTACATGGGTGCAGAAAACTCGAGAACATTGAAGCCCTGACTGATGTTTAGGGTCTGGATAACCATATCGAAGAAACAACTGGTGCCCAGCTCGAGTTTGCTCTCCTTCAGCAAATTAAGTTCCTGCAAAGGACAAAACTATATTCAATTTTCCGATGTAAGCAAAAATGGCAATCCGTCTTAAAACCAATGCTTTAATTTGAAACTCTGCATTTCTAATTTGCTTAAATTTGAAGCATTTTTAACAATCGTTTTTTGGCAATGATATTTGGTTGTTTGTTGTAAAGAAAGATTGTTATTTATCAAAGAAAGAAACTACCTTCTATATTAGAAAAACATGGTCGATAATATGAACCGAGCTAGTCCTGTCTATTTGTCGAAATTCATTTCAAAGCATTGCAAAACGCTATAGATTGGCCATTTCGGGAGAGAACTAGGATTACCTAGCGTCGATTATAAATGGGAATTAAAAGTTAGCTAACTCACCAAATAATCTTTCATTTTGACATCATAGTCCACATTAATAATCAATCGAAGGGTTCGCATTAGTCTGGTCAATGCTTTGCGCAGGTTTTGGAAATGCATATAGGCCGGCAATAGCGCCTCAAAGAAGTGTTGCTCATGCGACTTGGAAGCTGACGTTGTTTCTCCAGTAATGTCGCTCGACTCTTGATCGTGTTGTGAGCTAATAAAGCGCTGGTACAGCTCCTGAGAGCCCAGTTCACAGAATCTCTGCAGCTCATCGTGATTGTCGCGTAGCAAAAATAATTTGAATATACTGGCGGGCACATCGTGATCAAAGCAATCCCTCAGTCCTGTCAATGCAGTCAGCGCTTTTTGCAGCTCGTTCAGTTGAATTAGAGATTGACCCTTGCACTGATCGTTATGTTCAACCACAGCCTGACACATCGAGCTTACCACCTCCAAATATTGGAGCTGCTGTTGCAACAGACTGTCATCCTTATTCGCCAATGCAGTTTGTTCGTAGATGCTAAAGGCATCAGTTGCCCGATCCAAAGTCCGTGTAAGTGCCACATTGAGCATATACTGATTGCATCCAAAGTGGGCGAGGGCCTGTAGAGCAGCGCTTACGGAGACCGTCGGTTGCGACTTTTTGCTCTCGTACACCTGAGTAGCCTGATGCAGCTGATAGTTGAGACGCATCCACACATTGGCCATCGTCTCGGCCTCGCCCAGTTTCATTGCATTGGATATAGCTGGCTCGATAACAGTCAAACTGTTGCGCTTGAGATTGTTCTGATCAGCCGACTGACTCTTTAAGTAGGTGCCGAATGATTCGTAGAACTGTAGATAAACATTTTGACGACTCTGCTGCTCCGGATAGTATTCCATGACCGAGGCATATTGCTGCATATGCTCGACACACTGCAGCGACAAGTCGTTGAGCCGTCCCAGCAGTTCATCCGCCTGGATGCGTGTGTTCTCATAATTGCCCAGCGTTTCCGCTGGCAAATGTGTGATCAAAACTTCGGCTAGAGCGTAATAATCGCTGGGCCAATGGGTGCCCTCCAATTTAAACTGAATGAGCTGTGAGTTGAGCTGTGACAGATTTGTCTGATCTAGGGTACGCTGATAGAGCTGAACTATATGCTGCACGTATATATAGGTCGGCTGAACAGCGGCCGCCGTATTATGCAGCGACACCGTCTGGTGCCTCTTCACCGAATACCGCTGCGAGGCGCTGTTGAAGGAATGACTCTCGATAGCCGTGCCGAGAGATGCGATTTCGTTGATGAGCGCACTTCGTTTATTTAGGTCGATGAGCTGCTGTTCCATGGTGAGGCGACGCGTTAGCAACTCATTCAGTTCTAGCACCACGCAACCAATCTCTCCCAATTGAATCTGCAACTCCATTCTGTAGAAAATGATATAAGAACATTATATTTAATTTCAAACAAACTGCTTTGCGTGACTTACTTGTACTTGTTCCAGAATTTTTGCATTTGATTCAGCTTGTTCACAAGCTGTTGTCGCTTTAAGTCCCAATCCTGCAGCTTATTCTTCGATTTCTCCTTCTTAAAGCTTTTAAGATCGTTCGAGGGCTTAACAGCGATGGCACGTCGCGTCATGGGGGCATCATCGTTGACAGTCCAATCGACCAGCGGATCATAGACGAAAGCCTCCAGGAGCGTGAGCAATGTTTCGCGTTCCCTGCGCATGACCTTCAACACATATTCGCAGCCGAGACGGAAAGCACCCTACAATAACAAATCGTAAAAGTTGGCAATCACAATCAAGATTATTACGATGGTGATAAATAAATAAATAATGTGGAAATCGTAGGCATACGTGCTATAAATATGTACAAAGCTATAAACCACACCATCAATACATCAACTATAACATATGCATACAATGAGTTGTTGATCCAATCACTTTTTTGGGTTTGTTTCTTTTTATGCGTTTTTTTTTTTTATTGTATACTTGTATTTATATATATTGTTTGTATCACTCTGCTGACTTCCTGATAGGGGGATTGCTATGCTAGCGCCAAAGATACGATTATACATACACAAGTACAATTGTTTTGTTTTGATTGCATTTGTGTTTCACAATATATCTCAAATATGGCTTCAGTATTCGAATCTTTTCATCGCAGTTGCATAAGTTCTTGAAGGACTTTTGGGATTTTGCATTACAAGTATTAGACCGTTATGGTGGGCGAAAAGGTACTTAGGTACGATACTAAATTATACGAGAATCTACTAAATTTTAACCACAAAAGTAAATCGATTTAATATTATATATTCAGAGATTGCGCTTAGACAATTTATTTTTGAAACGTTTTAGAAGAAATAACCCCTTTTAGAAGAAATTATCCGTTTTAGAAGAAACTATCCGTGTTAGAAGAAATTATCCGTTTTAGAACAAAAGGTGGTGGTAATAAGAACACCTTGAATTATAGTACTACATGTACTTGTATCCTACTAAACTATCACACATGGGTATAAAAATCACGCTAGATGCCAAATATGTTACAAGTTACAGGGGGTGAGCCATAAATGTGATACGCAAGCAATATAAACACAAATGTGTTAGCTAAGTACTTGTACTATCATCGAGATAGTTATCGGCGCTCGTTATAGATGGTATGTAAGTTACGCACGGTATACACGTATATATATGTATATATAATCATTTGTGCCAGTTGTTGTTTTTGTTAATGTTTGCTCTAGCCAAGCTAAAACAAATTCATTGACCCGTAAAGAACACAAAAAGCGGCATTGACATCAATGAATTAACTATTTCATACGCGATTGCTGCAATTGACTCGTATCCATACGGATAAGTATAGACCATGGATGAGGGCAAACAATTCGACGTCTAAATATGCTGCAGGGTATAAATACTAAGATGGAACTATAATGGGTTCTATATTGAAATTATACTATTATACAACGTTCCCACGAACAACAACAAGTGAAATATCTTGTAATTTCAAACACAGGCGAATATCAATTTCAAAACCATTCATCGTAGGGCAGTTATTCTATAAAATTCGAAACAGGCTTTTATGGCTAAAAGATATTCGACGCTTATATTCTGATTCACCTCGACATGCTACTCATATATTTATGCCCCTGTCCTACGCCTTGTTTGTGCTAATAGGCAGTTCTATAACTTATGTTCTCTGTTATTTGAGCAAAATTTGGGTTGCATAGCTTCAGGACTCTAAGAAGTATTGATGAAATTTTGCAAGCAAGTTAGGGGGGACGGATATCTCCACTCAACAAGTGAAGTCGTAATAGCCTTCTGATCAAGAGTATTTAAGTATATACTATATAGAGTACTCCTCGAATTTAGGGTACAAGTATATAAAAATGTTTGTTGGGCAATGCTTAAATGGATGTGAGTTGCTTATCAACGGATTGTGTTTCTCACGCCAGCTCTTCTGCATCAAACGGAGCTTTATCAGTGAGCAATGGATAATATATATAATCTCTTTATGTTTATATACATTTATGTATTTATATACATACATATGTATATGATCTAAACGATAAAAACGTTGAGTTAGCCACATTTCCGAATACGCGCCGTGCTACCCAGCGAAACGTAAACAAACGACGCCCACGACTCTGACGACTGTTGAGTGCCAGCGGCGATTGCGATTTCGATTGTGACTGCAGCAACCGCATCGACGGAATGGACGTCAAATGGCAATAGCGTCGTAATCCTTGCCCCATGCTAGGCCCCATAGTTAGCATACGAGTACACAGATAGTTGTTTGCCGGCCTCGCGTGCGCTTCGCTTAACGCTCTCATTCAAGTGTCTCGGCGACATACAATCTGCTCTTTGTCATTGAAACCCCTGATGCCAATGCATTAGCTCATCATTGCCATCAGGATGACCTTAAAGGATACGCACATATTACACGGCTGGACAGATTGGGAGGTCAACGGCAATGGCCACACGTATAGTGATACCGATACCGATATCGACAGCAATAGCAATAGCAGCATCAGTAAAAATATCACTAATAATGATGCCAACTCCGATCCAGGCGGTCTAGACTCTGGCCTGCTGCTCTGGGCCATTATCAATGCCATACTCTTCATTCTCATATTGGGCGGCAATATATTGACCATTTTAGCGCTCCGCACGTGCCGCAATTTGCGATCGGTCATTTCAAATTTGTTTATTCTGTCGCTAGCTATGTCCGATTTTATTGTCGGCATTTCATTGCCCTATCACGTCGCCTTCTACATGGGCTCCGACTTGGGCCGCGTTCGTGGCTATTGCTTGCTACGCTTCTTCCTCTTCATCTGCGCTTGCTGCGTCTCCATATTGACGCTGATCTCAATAGCGGTGGACAGATATATTGCAGTCATCTATGCACTGCACTACAGACGGTAAGTGATCTATAAAAAAAATTGCTCCAAGGCTAGGCTAAATAAATAGGCCTGAAGCCTAGCTCCAAACATATCTTCACAAAGCGGACACTACTCGATTTTTCTGAAAGTTTAATTATTTGAAATTTGAATGAAATACAAGTATTGCAATCCTTTTAATATGAGGGTAGGAATGAAATGAAATGTTTTTGTAGGCGATATATTAAAACAAGGCTTAAGAATAGACTCCTCTTATAGCTTTCGAGCATTAAAGAGACTGAGAGCTGCATTATAAGAATATCTAATATCTAAGCAGTATTTGGTGCTCGTTTTGTAAGCGACAAATCAATATCCGTGCTCTTTGCAGGCTCTCAAAGCTTCAGAGACTGGACACTGCATCATAGCAATATGATTTTAAAAGTATCTCGCGTTCGTTTCGTAGGGGACAAATCAAGAGTACCAACTCTTTCCGGACTCTTAAAGCTTCCGAAACTGACCATTAATTAGACTATGTACTGCATCATAAGTATATGATCTGAAGAGTATTTCACGCTCGTTTTGTAAGGGACAAATCAATATACCTAATTTTTCCAGAGTCGTAAAGCTTCCGAAACTGAGCATTAATGAATCATACAAATATGATCTGAACAGTATTTTGCGCACACATCATGCCTAGTTTTTCCAGATTCTCAAAGCTTCAGAGACTGAACACTGGACAGACCACTGCATCATAACAATATGATTTTAAGAGTATTTCGGGCTCGTTTCGTAGGAGATAAATAAATGTACGAGTACCTATTATTTCCAAACTCTTACAGCTTCTAAAACTAATCATTTTTTGCTTAGAAAATATATTAAGTAAATATTTTAATCCGAAAAGGTTGTTATATGTTCAATGTTGCAAAACATAAGAGTCACGAATGGTACGCAATGGAGTCTCTGGTCATGAAGAGAAAACACGCATTGGAAACACCTTTGTGGTTTATTTACTATTGTATTTCTTATCTTTTTTCTATTTTGTTATTTATTTGCTTAGCTATATGACGCGACGCATGGCGTATGTGATTATCACCTTCAACTGGTGCCTGGGCGCCTGTGTGGCCCTCATACCTATCTTCTGGAACAATTGGAAAGAGGCACAAGAGTGCGAGTTCGACGAGGTGTTGTCGCCCTGGTATGTGGCAGGCATCATAACCCCCGCATTCATTGTGATTTGGATATGCATGCTGATGGTGTATTGGCGGATAATGCGCGAGGCCTCCAAGCAAGCGAAGCGCCTGCGCCATTCCGTGATCTACGACGCAGCGCATACCGGAGCCAGTCTGCATCCAGACTGGAAGTCTGTGCAGGTAGTGTGGATGGCAGTGGAGCATGTTCTCGTATAAACGTATTAATGATTCCTCTATATACATTTAGATTGTTGTCTTTATCATGGGCAGTTTTACAATCTGCTGGTTGCCTTTTTTTGGCGTAGCCATTGCTCAACTGTTTCAAATGTGCCGCAGCAACTCAATCTTCTATAAGACGGCCTTCTCATTGGCCATGACCAACTCGGCCCTGAATCCCATTATCTATTCTTGGAAGAACACTACTTTCCGCAAGGCATTTGCACAGACACTGTGTTGTTGTCGAAGACTGCCCAGGCACGCGCACGATCTCAGTACTTTGCCTGAAGTGCCTAATTGCCCAAAAGTGGCCTTGCCAGAAAAGCCGAGCAGGATTCTAGAGGAGCCCCCAGCCATGATGCCAGAGACTTGTACAACTGTACTGCCCACCAAGTCATTATCAATATCAATTCACTGCACGGAAATAAATCAATAACGTTACTCAATAAATGTGTTGTGGTATTGTTTGTTTGTATTTACACAAACGGTGGTGGTATGTAAATGCCAACCTGAAAACCAGGAAGGTCTTTAACCTTTCTGGGACTTGCACAAGAGTTATTCTCTCCTAATACAACAGATGTTTTCTGCTTGCAATGCTAGTGATTCGAAGGGCCTTTGAAATATAATATATCTAGAAGATTATGTTTGTTGATGAAGATATCCTATCCAGACCCATGTCTTTAGCTTTTTATATGATAAAAAGTGTATGTATGCTTAAAAAAACTAAGCTAAGCAGGTATGTATTGCCAACCTGAAAACCTTTAACCTTTCTGGGACTTTCACAAGAGTTATTCTCTATTTACACAGGTGTCTTGAAATATAAAATGTCTAGTAGATTATGTTTGTTGATGAAGATATCCTATCCAGACCAATGTCTTTGATAAAAAGTGTTTGTATGCTTAAAAAAAAACTAAGCTAAGCAGGTATGTATTGCCAACCTGAAAACCAGGAAGGTATTTATCCTTCTAGGACTTGCACAAGAGTTCTTTTCTATTAATACAACAGATGTCTTCTGCTTGCAGTGCTAGTGATTCGAAGGGCCTTTGAAATATAATATATCTAGAAGATTATGTTTGTTGATGAAGATATCCTATCCAGACTAATGTCTCTAGCTATTTATATGATACAAAATGTATACCTCAAAAGGACTAAGAGTCTTTGGTACTCACCTCGATTCCAGTAATGCCGAGGGCATGCACCATATTCTGGGTCAGTCGGAATGGCACCTTCTCCGGTATGCGTAGAGTGCGGCCCTTCTCAAAGCATACATTATAATCTATATGCACAATATCGCCGCTGCTTAGATTGATGAGCACATTGTCCAAATGTCGATCGCCCAGTCCGATGACGTAGCCGATGACGGACATGACGGCCATACACATTGTGTAGCGTCGAACGGACTGCCGCCATTCGGCCGGACTGCTAGCCTGGCACCAGAGTTCCCGCGACAACAGATCCGATGGCGTTTCTTTGGATAGATCGAAGAACACTTGGCGCAATGCCGACAGCGGCCATTGACGACGCGGGTCGCCCACTTTCATGTTGTGCTTGGCCAGCAGTGGCGACAACTTGTTGTAAAACATATCGGTAATCCGTTTCGAGGGTACAGCGGCGGCAGCGTTTGGAGATCGGTGCTTCTGCTGTTGCTGCTTGATTTGGGCGTCGCGTTGCTGCCACTTTTTGTAGAGTGAAAATAGCGGTGTTACTCCATCAACCCAGCTAATAAGGCCGGATTGAGGCCCGAGTGGTATTACGGAGTAATGGTGGGCCTTGAAGCATATTTTGCTAGTTGGGGTCTCAGTTTTACAGGCCATGATCGAATTCGAAATGGACAGAAATTGCATGATGCGCTCATCTAGATGCAGATCCTCGAGACCCTTAAATAGGAACGTATATTTCTGGCTGTTGCTACCAAAGAAGACGACCTTCTTCGGCTTAGTTTTTGTGGGCAATATGGCCACAGCGCTATCCACACGTTCTATATGTACAGCCATGTTTTGGTCGCGCAGATCAACGCCCGGCATAGAAATGCGCATCTTGCCGATATTGGTGAGCACCGGGCTAATGAGCTGCATCTTGAGGGTGCTGCACGTGCCCCGTATCATGTTTTGCTGGAAGATGTGGTACAACTGCTTCACCTTGTCCCAGGCTTCCGGATATCGACGCGTGCGCAAGACTTCCAGGGTCTGGCGTATGTGTGTATCGAAGCGCCGTTTGAAGTTTCGCTCGTAACTGGTCTCAGCCGTACGGGATGTAAAAGCGACTACTGTCTCCAGATCGGCCAGCATCTGTGGACGGAATTCGTTGAATCGGTTCTGCTTGCCTTCGTGGTCGTCTGGCTTGAATTCGGTGGCAAAGGCATTCACACGTCCTACATAGGTGTTGTATATCTGGGCCAACGAGTGTATCCAATATTCGTCCCACAGCAGACACACGCGCCGCAACTCCTTGACTAGAAGCTGCACATGTTGCACCACTTCTGGCGACTGCTTGGAAAGGGCGCCCAGTAGATAGCCGTAGCAATGGCTTAGGCGCTCGGGCGACCCGCCATTCGCACTGGTGGCGACACCGGGCGGCAAGGCCAGGTCAGTCTGCTGTTCTCGATTGGCACCCACCACAGCCGGAAAGATTACCAACTGGGGTCGGCTTTCGGCTATACGGCAGAGCAGCGCGCACACGCTCTTGCGTACGTAGGGCTCGTGATGATTGAGGCGACTAAATAGCTGCGGTATAATTACCTTCCAGGGTTCAATTGGCGTTGTCTTAAGACCCTGCTCCAGCACATCTTGCAAGCCCGAAGCGTGCTTCACAATCAATCTGAGCAAGCGCAGTGTAGTTGTCACCATATTGTTATCATCCACATAAAAGCGTTGCTGTCGCTCCTGCGTTTCAACGCCGCCGCAAGACTTAAGGCTTAGATAATGAAAGTAGGCACGTGCCGCGTCCTTGTAGTAGTCATAAGTGTTGGCATTCGCTCGTCGCCAAATCTCCACTATTTTCTCGATAACAGCATCCGATTTGTCGGCCAGTACAGGGAGACAACGCAGGGCTGGAATGGTTGCATCCTCATCTCTGTTATTTGCTGTAGTGCAGGGCACTTCATCTCCATTCCCCTCTAGCTCATCCATGCCTAGAAGTGGGTTATCGACATATTGTGTATTTAGCACACTTACTAGCTGACCCAACATCTCGCTATCCAGAGAAGTGCCGGTGACCTGATTAATGGCCATTACGTCCGCCTGCGTCAGTACACATCCATTGTCCACGATCTTCTTGCCCCAGCGATAGCACCAGTTGCCGTAGGCCATAAGTGCGTCTTCGGAGTTGGGTCTTTGCAGCAAGCTGGCATTAATGAGACGCGCCACCATGCGATCAGCGTAGGGGATCTGGTGCGACTTTGTCGAGGAACACTCGGGCAGCTGATCGAGCAGCTGCTGAAGCGTGGGTGACATGCTATTGGTGCTTAGACCGTTAGAGCTGCGCACTGATATCCAATCGGCTAGGGTGAGCAGCAGGTCCGCAGCAATGGAGGGGCAAGTGGCACCCTCCGGCTTCTTGACTACCTGCCGTTGAATTGCTAGACAGAGTCCCGCACACACGTTTATCGAGTTAAGATCGTTGGGTTTTTCTTGCATATGAAAGCATTTGGCTATTTCGCTGTAGCCATGCAACAATTCCTCGTCTTCCAGATTCAACTCGCTGCTGCTGTTGTTCACCAATTGAGCGCCAATGTCTAGCAGCGAGCTGCGACCCTGCGAGTGCACAAAATATTGTTCCAGCATCGTCAGGCATGTTTGCTGATTACCCTCTTCCCGCGCACTGATCGCAGCATTTAGGTAAAGGTTACTCAAGCTGGATCGATTGGACAGACGTGGCAGTAGTTGCGACCAGGCGATGCATTTGATTAGCATTGAACTGGACATAGCACCACTTTGCAGCCGTTTGACAGCTTCCACACTGTGTGGGCCACCCTTGTCCAGTGGAAGAAGTGTAAGCAAATGCTCCTCCGACATTTTGTCCACATGCAGCAGCGGATTCGGCTCCTGTTCACCAAGCTTTTGCACAATATGCTTCAGCAACGTAAGCTCCGTGAAATGCTGATTGTCGATGCTGGCATTCAACAAACACTCGCGCCAATTCCAGTTTAACACTCGTTGCATATTTTGTGCTAGCAGCATAGGCGACTCTGACAGGCCTTCCTGTAGCACCACGCTCTCCAACTGCTTTCGTATGTGCAAGACGGAAAAGCTGGAATGTGTGGGCCATGCCTCCGACGAGTCGCTAACTGTGCTGTCCCCAGTCCAAGTGCTTGGCCATAGGCTCATACTGTGGAGGGCCGCGCTCAGCCTTTCCGACTCGTTACTCATACGCTCATTGCGTGCCAGAAGTTTTTCCAGCATGTTCATATTCGAATTGTGCGCCTGGAAAAACGGATTTAGCACACTGTCTTCAGTTTTAGACATTGCCGTCTTGAACTCGAATGCCTTGTGCCATTGGCCCGTATGGTGCATGCACTCCGTGAGCTGAGCAATTACAAACTGACGCGTGTGCAGGTCCAAATCATCGTCGGCTAGCGAGCTGCGATAGCCCGCAAGGGCTGCTTCTCTTTGTCCAGCAGCTTGTTCAGCGGCGTGCTGTATCCATTGATAGGACTTCCCGTTTTTCGATCGCGCCCATACATAGAGACCCTTAAGTGAATCGGGTTCTTTGCAACAAATAAGAGCCCACGCCAGATAAACGATGGCCTGACTGTCACTGGCATCATGCCCCTTCTGAGAGAGCAGAATTTCCTAAGGTGCAAGCAATATATAAATGGCTTTTATAAATAAGCAAGGTAAACGAATATGTGAGTTATTTAAAGTCAGTAGATCGGAAAATTACCGCACTAATAGCTTTTCTGCACTACCAATTAGTATTCATAGTCTTAACTTGAATAAAAATAAAATGTATTTATTTAAATTTAGTATATTAAAATAGATTTCAAACCAATAAATATATTTTTATCATGGTGCCTGTAGTATTTAAGACGCTTAAGATATTTCATTGGCGTCTTCTGGTACAATTAAATCGGCCTATCATAAGGAAACTTGGCATACGGACTCACAATTACTAACTGGAGGTAGTTGCCAAATTTGTTCTTAGGTCTTATAGTCTCCGAGATATAGGAAAATCGGGAAACCCCCCTTGTTGGGAGGTGGGGGGAATCCAAAAAGTAAAACAAACTTGTACAGCGTACACACATGAGGCATCTTTGTGCAAAATTTGGTGCCTCTAACTAATATAGTCTCGGAGATCCAGGTGTTCATACGGACGGACGGACTACAGATATAGATCGACTCGTTTTATTATGCTGATCAAACTTTGTGGGGTCTGCCACGCCTCCTTCTGCCTGTTACATTTTTCAGCTCGCGCAAACCTAATATACTCTTGTACATTTCATGTACAGAGTATAAAAAGTTCGCCTAGTTGTAGGATGCTAGGATTTTAAAATGATGCATTCAGTTTGCGAATTTTAATGACTTACCTGAGCATATCGTATTACAAGCTCCGGTTGCATGGAGTGCATCGCAATGATCACAACTCCAATGCGTATGCGATTGAACCAGGACTGACAGGTGGGATAGTTGAGTCGGAAGAAGGCGCCGACGGGTTTCTCGGGTGGACGCAATGCAAAGGCGCTGCCCTCGGCCGCATTATATATGAGCTTCTCCAAAGAATCGAGGAAGCCAAGAAGCATACGCATATTAGTCTGTACAGATGTTAATTCCTGCAGCGACATTGCATCGAGAGCTTGGCGTTCGTTATCCTTAGCACAACCGCTCAATAGACGCGCATACTTCATGATAATGGCCTCGAAGCCGAGAAACGTATCTTGCGGCTTGCCCAGCGTAGTTCGCAGCTTTTGATCGACGCAATAGCGTGCGGCTTCAAATTGCAGCCAACCGATTGCAAGACGCTGGCAGCGGCGCGTACACTGCACCAGCTTCTCACTGCGTTCCTCTATAGCGTTCTCCTCGTAGCTCCGTGAAAAGAGAGCGCGCAATTGAGGCTGTTGTTGTGTTAACTCCAAACCATCGAAGAAGTCACGAAACACATTGTCTCGGATGGCACTGCACTGGCTTAATGTACGTTGTACTTGTCGGTTCGCTTGGCGCCTGTTCGTTCCCAGCTCCAGAGCGATTGTGAGCGGCAGTTTCGCATAAATTTGCGCGAACTGAGCATGTACAAGAAAATCTCCGTCGTCGTCCAGTAGGGATAACTGCTGCAAAGACGCCTCTCGATATAGATTGAGTAGCTCTGGGCTTAAAATTCCACCATCATAGCTGAGTACGGTTTGAATGCAACTGCCACACTCAAGTGGCGCGTATTTGGAAGCCATGCCGGCGATGTTGCGACAGATCTTGACAAAGCTCTTTTGTTCCATCAATGTCCCGGCTCGATCCTTACATTCGCGCAGTAAGGACTGAGTCCAATGCAATAACAACTTCAGATTAAGTGGCGTCATGTCGGCAGCACGTTCCAGGGCAAAGGCAAGAAATTTGAGTATGGTGGCAAAACTATTGGCTGTTGGCGATGTGTGATCTGGGTTCAGGGTATCGACGACATTCTCACGCAACAGGTTGGAGGTGGTCCGAAAATTGTGATTCTTTTGGCAGTGCACGACAAGCAGATGGAGAAGCGCATTGTGTGTAGTACCGTATTGTGACCACATTTCCAGATCCGCAGCACGACAATTGGTGATTAGAAGCTCTAGAATCGATGGATTACACGCATACATGCCAATGATAGAAGACGTTTGTTTCGCCAGTGACGCAAGTGCTGACAAATGAAAGATTAAAAGCGCGCCGGAATCTTCTTCACAATTAGAGTTCTTCTGATTAACGTCCTGGGCATGCTGCAAGCGCTGCATGCAGGTATCAATGTCCTGCACTAGATGTTTATAAGCCTGCTGCAGCAACGGCACATTCTTGATAAGTAACGTCTCCTGGCATATCCGCAAAAGAATGCGATGAGCTGGTGAAGCAAAGTTTATTTTGACGGCCTCCAGGTACTTGTGCACCTCGCTCTGCGGAGGATTGTCAATGTGAAAAACAAGTTTGACCAGAGCGGCGGGCAGGCGAGCGCGCAGTTTGCGGACCACACACAGTAGCAGATACAGAGTGCTCAGTTTTTGTTGCTCATTGAAGTTTTGCAGTTGTTCGAACTCCAATTCAATAATGGTGGATAGTGTAGTTACTTCCAGCCCGACAAAACCGTGTAGTACACATATACAAAGCAGTTCATTGATGTTGATTAACGCATCATTGCAAATGTTACCAGGCCAAGCAGAAAGCATATCAGGCAATATTTTGGTTAAATGGTTCAGTGCGGTTGACACAATGGACTCGCAAGTAGGCATGCCAATGAAAATTTGCATGCGTGCCAAGCATTTTAATAGTGAATTAAATGCGCCTAAAAATGCGCCCATCCTTTCAGCAGTTTGCTGCTCATTGCCGCTGGAATTAAGCGTGCTTGGCGTATCCAACGATAAAATATCCTCGATGAACTGCTCTAATAGACCATAGCTAAAATCCATTTGCTTACTGAAGTACGGCGTCAGCTGCTCCAGAACATGCGTGCAATGTGCTCTGAGCTCTTTGGGCTGTTCCACTTCTAGCTGCCAGCCAATGATAATGTCCACCACATCCGTAAAATGCCGCTCGAAAGCATGTCTATATTTGAGGGAGAATTCAGCGATGGTGCTGCTAATAGCAATAAAGTTGTCTGCGCTCTCGGTGTTCTCGAGGAAATCCTTTAATTCCATCATCACTTTATCCGAATGCATGTTAAGATCACATTTGGTGTCGTAGCTTAAAACAGAAGAGAGTATTTAGCCAATCTATCAATGAACTGCATAAGTAATCGTGCCGCAGGCCTCACCTTAGGGTCGTCTTTAAAGCCAATATAAAATATTGCTGCAGGCGTGTTATTGCTCTGTAGTTTGTGCTTATGAACTCGTCATATATAGGGAAAGCCGCACGATTTAGATATCCAATGAGACCCAGCGTCTTACTGACCTCTTTAATAACTGGCGGTGAACTTTGTTTAATTAGGGAAAGTATGCTGTCCAAAATGCTTTCAAAGGAGCGTGACATATAGGCGATATTGAGGGGTGTACGCACAGCTATGTCCAGTTTGGAGCAGAGCTCCAGTGCGGCATGAGTGTTAGTTTCATTATGCAGGCGCCGTATAATTTTAGTCATACGAAAATCCTCGCTATTTGCATGACCAGCGAACAGTTTGTTTTGGTCTCTGTCATTGGTCCCATATTGCACTATTTGCAGTGGAACTTTTGCTTAGAAATACATATGATCAAGAGCCATGTTGAGTGATCACTTACTCTGGGATTGATAAGATTTCCGATTAGACCGGTTCATCATATCATTGTTATTATTACGATGTTCACTAGCAGCTGACGAAACTTGAGCTTGAGAGTCGTGTGATTTTGGCGCATACCAAAATCGCTCATTGCCATTTCCGCTTCCATAATGGCTCTGGCTGTTTGTATTGTTTCGCAAAATGCGGTTGATACCACTCAAGGCCTCAGCTTCATCATCTGCGTTGTACTTCCCAACGGGTAGTGCGCCTTTCATTGGAAGGACAAGCACTATTATCGTCATCAAATATTGTCCACGACGATCATTTATAGAGGGTTATGGTTGTTTCCCGACGACTCTCACATTAGAAGCTTTTGTTGTTTTTGCCTTAGGTTTAGTTTTACAGCTGGTTCGCGGATATTTAATGAGCAGTGTGTACATACCTAATTAATTACGCATTTGTACGTACCGAGTAACGATCACAGTTGGTACAAATGTATCGACAACTGTCTTTAAACATCGAGTACTTATCGCCCACTCTTGAACTCTTTCGGTTATGACTTGAAATCGAATGTTTCAAAATATAGATAGGAAAATTTAATAATAAACAGACAGTTGTGGTGTTGTTAGAGGGATATATAGATATATATTTGTATTTTTATAAATGTAAAAAAACGCCTAAAATATACATTTAGTATTTGTGATATATATAGCTATGCAGCATTTTTAATCTTTAATGTTATTGATCATGTGCTGAGTATAGGCGGCCACCAATTTTGCCATTTCAGTATATACTTGATTTGGATTAAACGGAAGTTGAGAAAATATGCTATTGTTAATCATATCATATGAACGATTATGGTTTACAGGAAAATCTGAGACAGGGCAATATATGGAATTCGACTCCGGTTTTTTCTTCTTGACGAGTGAGAGGCAAATGTCGCCAACCTGTAGTTGTTGACACTTTAGCTCAAATAACTGAAATGATAACTCAGGATTGCAGGAAGCCCAACCCTGTCCATAAACGAACAGAGGATGTCCTGGGGAAACCTCTAGGATTACCTAAAATATAAGTTTTCTGATCTCAATAATTTATCACCATAATAGTTGATTCAATTACATACCTTCGAATAGTTAACATCGAAGCTACATGTAATATTAATTATGTGTGATGAGGTTCTTTCGATTTTAACAACTGTGGCTTCCTTCAAGTCAAACTGATCGCTACGTGAGGCTGACTGTATAAAGTCTTCGGTGCGAATGTCCTCAACACGTCGTACTGTACCCGTGGATAATTCGATATAGGTTCCTTTTTTAAAGCAATCGTCGCTGGATTCTGCGTTGCTGCTAAGTAAATTTAGATTTTAATCAAACTTATAAGCGTTATGGAGACACGTTATAGATTTATTATATCACGACCCTACAACATTAAATAAGATCTTGGGTGGATTGGTCTGGAGAGCGCAACAGCGAAATTCGTATATGTTTACTTTGTTGGGCTTTTGAACACTTCTCGGTGGATCTGCTCCGTTAGGGGACTCTGAAAGCCACAATGTCCGTAAAACGATTCCATACGCGTTTGCATGACTGCTTAGAATTTGTATATATTCAGTTTTTCAACCAGGACACCAGAGTTCTAAATGCAAACTGATGCAAGCGAGTTCATTCAATTCGCTAGCAACTCAATTAAGAAACGACCGTGCTTTTCTCTGGGACTTTCCAGGAATAGCGCCCAGTCATAGCCCGTGCTTGTTACCTGTGCTGCTCACAATTCCTACTATAATCTTGCACAGTTGGCTGCAAGGAATGCACAGATCTCGGTTAACAGCAACAGGTACGCGACTCATGCCACACAATGGGTCGCAGTTTTATTTTTAACGCCTATGCGCCGAAGTCGAGAACCTCCTACGGCTCTACCTACAATATCCATATACAAAACTAGTTTCAACTTTTCTACTGCTATCCTTAGCCGGCGCCGTGGTGGCTCTTGTATTAGGCGCCTTTTTCATGGACCTTACTTAGACGTGAGCTGAAAGACGTGCAATTTGTTGCATTTTCTTCGCCAACATTTTATTTCGTTTTTTGCTTGTTTTTCTTAACAAATGATTTGTTTTTGGTAACTTGCTTCTTAGTGTACATTTTCCATGAAATGTCTAAAGCATAGAGATAGTATCGTATAAAGAAATATAATACACCTACTGCCGAATATACCGAAGTAAGGAGGAGTGGCATGAAGGGGAGTCGTTTATGCAAACCAGATATTCGACTAAGCACGTGCTCATAAATGGGCAATACTATAAATCCAAGGCAGTACAACGTTTCAATCGCATTTAAATTCGGTGCTGTCTTATAAATGCGCGTTATTTGGGCATATGCTGTAGCTATATAGGCCAGATACAGCGAGTAACGTACAAGTATTAGGTCTACTTCAAATAGCAGCGGAAAGAGCGAGAAATATCCGACAACGCTCAACAAGTAGGCATATTTGGCGTCCGTGCGATCCAACAGAGCAAGTAAGCTGCGAAACATTAAAAACAATGATAGATATAGATATAGATATAGATATATTTGTGTAATTAAGAACTTACCAAATTGGTATCAAACACATGAGTATTGCCTTTTCGTGCACATGCCAGCCAAACACGAAGGAGGAGCAGGCACATAAGACAACAGCGCGAAGAAAGATCAGTTTAGCTCGCCTAGCAATGCAATAATTTTTATTAAATTTTCGTGTATTGAGCCTTAAGATCACTTACTTTGTTGAAGAGGTTAGCAGCAGTTTCAACAGGATGGGCATCATAAATGCCAATGTTAACGCAAAAGTTACAGCTGGTGATATGTTGGGCAACACAAGGTGACGAGTTTCCTGCACAAGACCTGACGTTGTAGTCGGGTCACCATCCTTAGACTTTTCACGACGCAGGGCAACAGCAGCCACCTTGTCAGCAGTGTTATAGAGCGCCCAAAGATTGGGTGCCCAGTAGGCATGCGTAAGGCCACGCTTAAAGGGAAAGAGACGTGACAACACTTGCGGAATTTGATGCCAGAATGGCCCAAATGAGAGCACAAATGGCGTAAGACCTACGGCCAAAAGTTTCATCATCGCATTTACTGTGTTTAAAATACTCCTTCCCTTGTTTAGGCAATAGAACCTCAAGAGATAAACACCAAAGGCTGGTGCCATATAAAGGAAAATATGCTTAAAGTTGAGCAGTATCGCAAAGCTGAAGGCACTTAGCAGATAACGATCATTGAGCAGAGCGCTTATGCTCAGCAATAGAATGCCAAACAGAAGGCCATTGTACTGAAAATGGATGTGGTCCACAAATATGAGGCCTACATTAAAGAGTAGTAGCAGGCAGCCGGCCAAATGCTGTTGCGTCTTTTTAGCAATTCCCAGCGCCCGCAAGCAACTATACACGCCCAATGCATAGACTAGATCCACCACTATCACCGATATGCGTTGGAAATATACTGTCCTCTCAGAGGCATAGTTTAGATTGTGCACGTCTAGCATGTGTGGATCGACATATTGAGCCAGCTGCGAGAGCAGCCACTCAAAATACGCAAAGAATGGTGGGTAATCCAGTGTCCACTCACTAGTTGCATCCACATACCAGCGATTTAATGGAAGACTATGGGTTATGGCTAACCAGTTGCGGTGCACTTCAAAGTCAGTTGAATAGTATGCGGGAATTAGTAATACTTTCAGGCATGTACTTAGGGCGAAAAGCGCCCAAAAGCAGTCAGGTATAGAAGTCCTTTTCACAACAGGTTTGCCGAAAATTGACGACAATTTTTCAATAACTCTATTATTTTTGTTTACAGGCTCGCCCTTGTCACGCATTTTAAACAACCGCACAATTGTATATCGTTACTTCTTCACAAAATCCAGACAGCAACAAGAATGCGGAGTGTATATAATAGACTTTTGGCTCCGGCGAAGTGCTTCTAGTAGAATTACCTTTGATATATGCTCATTTAAGTTAGTTATATTTTATTTAAGAACGAATCCGTCACCGGATTCTTATCAGACTCGCCGGTAGGGATGGCAGCAATGGGTCGCGGTAACTTTAGAGTAAGTGTGTACACCCATACGTAATGTGCCGATACGTTGTTATCGATGCAGGTACCAGTGTCAGCACTAGTGCAGCCCTTATGTAGTTTTCGCTTGGTAGTCTGAATTTGTTTTTAAAATAATACAAGGAAATACCACCCATATCATCATGTTTAATCTAAATTGATTTGTATTAAGTGATCATTATAAATGTCGTATAGTTTTTGTATGCTTCTGGCGTATTATACACGTAAATAGCCACCCTTCACCTTCACAATAGGCCAGCCATAACGCTTTGATTTGTGATTGGTTGTTGATTGCAGCTAAAACAAAACATTTCGACCAGTCATAATATCTTATAGTGCATGTGATAGCACTAAAAAACAGGATTCAGCGTAGTGCGCTTGAACGTTTTAATTGGCTTGTGGCGATAACATATAAATCCGCGTTCGTTTCACCGGCCGTGGACTTGTGACACGTGAGCTATAGCGGCCATGTACGCCACCAATAATGGCAACACGAATAAGGCGCCAAATAGGTAAGTTTTGACCATTTGCAGAACGAAGATGGTGTGCATGTGTGTACAATGTGAGTTCTGCATTCCAGCAACGCCACAATTTTTGATAATACCATCACCGTAACGCCTATAAAAATCGACCTGAGTGGGAACATTTCACAAGCATACAGTCCAACAGTTACCACAAAGTCAGGAGCAGCTACCCAACGACGCACACAAAACACTGTAGTCACCACACAGTCGGGCAACTTGACCGTAATGCAAACAACGTTAGCAACAAATGCGAATACGATGCAAAATTGTGGCGTTAGCGTATCCAGTGTTAATGCCAGCACGCCAAAAGAGAAGGCAGCAAAAGTAACAAGGGTGCCTGTGGTACGAAAACCGCCACCGACCATAGAAAACTTCTGGCCGAACATCTTGAGTGAGGTGAACAGCATAGGCCAGGTGGATGCTAAACATCAAGTTCTGCCTCTGGCACGGATAAAGAAAATTATGAAGCTGGACGAGAATGCCAAAATGATAGCAGGCGAAGCGCCGTTGCTTTTCGCCAAAGCCTGCGAGTACTTCATCCAGGAATTAACCATGCGCGCCTGGGTACACACCGAGGACAGTCGACGCCGCACACTGCAACGCTCCGACATTGCACAGGCCATCGCCAACTACGACCAATTTGATTTTCTCATCGATATTGTACCGCGGGAAGAGATCAAGCCGTCGTCGACGACGAAAAAAGAGAGCAGCAGTACCTCCACCACTACGGCTCCCACCGCTACAAACACAAATAGCGCAAATACAACGGGCGCTGTAGTACCTGGCGTGGCTAACACAGGTCTGAAACTCGATACGAGTGCTGAAGTAGTTGGCTTCAGTGCCGTTAACCCCGAACTATTTGCCGCTGCCACATCCACCCAACACCTGCAACAATTGCACAACACAGCGCAACAGCATCAGCCACAGCATGTTCAGATCATTCAACAGGGTGCTGCCACCCATGCGGGCACACAGCAGCTTCAATATTTCATTGCTCTGCCCGGTCAGCAGCCTAATCAGCTGGTACAACAAATTCAACAGCAGCAGCCCACACAGAACCATTTGCAGAACAGTCTCGGCCTCAATATCGTTGCCCAACAGCCCACGCAACAACTAATACTGACTGCCGGGCCCAATGGCCAGTTAACCGCTACACCGGCGCCGACCACAGCGGCACAACAGCAGACGGCCCTACTACATAATCTGGCGCAGCAACAGCAGCAGCAGCAGCAACAACAACAGCAGCAAATACAGTTGCTGCAACAAGTTGTGACACCAACGGGGGAACTGACCAATGTACCAGTGAGTAAATTGCCCTTCATTTCCACCTCAACTATTTGACATTATTAATATCAATATTACTTCTGTAGATCTCCATCAATGCCAATCAGTTGAACTTGCTTCGCATGCAAATGCAACAGCAACAACAGGCACAGGCTGCGGCGGCGGTGGCTGCACAACAACAACAACACAATCAACAACAAGTCATAATACCCACGCAGTTGCTGACCGCACAACAAATTTTACAATTAGGTGGCGCAGCGGCTGGCACGGCCGCCAATGCAGCGGCTGCAGCGCAGCAGCAACAGCAACAACATCAGCAGCAACAAATAAATGCCAGCAATAGCAACAATAACGCGACGCCAATTTATATAAACTCTGCAGTGTCTAGCACACAAACATCTACCCAAACCCAGCCTATCTCAACAATATCAACGGATCGCACTGGGCCATTTCGGTAAAAATGTAAAATAAGATAACAACAAAGAGAACATCCAACCCCACCCTCCCAAAAGAAAAGAAAAAGGAAAAACAAATCCATTAAAACGTAAGCGCTATTATACATATAAATTCAAGTCGTTTTTAAGCACTTATGTATATGTATATCTCAAAGCATTGATTGCACATGCATATTGAAGTAAGATCAAGCCCATATTGTACTATATTATTCAACGGAGATTAATTAGATAAGATTTTAAGGGTATAGTTAGTAAGAGTGTATAGAAATACATTTGTGTACGATAGTCTAGCCTAGTGAAACCTGTTGTCGCACTTGATATTTTACATGCGCGCTGTTCCCATCAATATGACTACATACATTCATACATAAAACTTATGTATGGATTGTATATGTAGACAATGTGAGATGGGCGTTACAAACACCAAAGCATATCAAATTCAACACCATTCACCAAACGTAGGCATGCTGACAATATTAGGAGAATTATGAGCCTCAATATTCTTACATACATACAGATGTGTATCGTAGATCTTGCATACAAAAGTAAAACATATTAATATTATCCAGAAAATCAGATTTAGTTGCAATTTAGAACGGAAAAAAAAAAACAAAATACCTTGTCGATTTTATTAAATTTAAATGTGTTGAACCGCTGTACGAAGGATTATTATCGAGACTGACCATGTCGGATCACTATATTATAGTAAATTATAATGTATGACAGCATATGATATGATTTGAAAATTGAAATGATAGTGCGGTTTAAAATTCGCGACCCGTGAATATGGAGAAAAAGCTTCTGTTCTAAATCACTGTAAACAGTAGATAGCTTCGGGGAAAGGTACAAGTATATCAGAATTGTTGAAAGTGAAAAATGTAACATGCTGAAGGAGACGTGGCAGACCCCACATATATATTTTAGCCCAGTATGACAAGACGAGTCGATTTAGCCCTGTCTGCCTATCCGTATGGACACCTGGATCTCAGAGACTATAAGAGCTAGTGACACAACATTTTACACATAGATGCCTTCTTTATCTCGCCTGTTCTTCCACTATTCTTTTCATTTTTTATTCAAATTCAGCAAATACTTCCGGTTAGTGGTTATGTCATGTTTCATCATGCCAGCAGCTGTTGTTGTTGCTGCTGCTTTGGCTCAACTCTGTACTGCACACACAGCCACGCATAGACACAATGCCGATGCAAATGTACAGTCATACAGCCTTTACGTGGCCTCAAATCCCGAGTGAGGCATAAATGATCTTTATTTTAATGCAATTTTGTTTTTTTTTTTTTTATTTATATTCCAACTTAGTTCATTTTTTTTTTAAATTTATATAACTATTGTAGTAGAGTATTTCAAAGTCTTTAGCTTTTACTCAATGCATTTCGTTGACTTTCATTCAAAGTGTTAAAAATTGCAAAAACGCGGTAAAAAGCATGGAAATTTCTGAAAACTTAAAACAAATTAATGTGAGTAACGAGAAATTTGGGGCCGAATTAATTGTACGATAATATTATGGAATGTTTACTTTTTATACGAGATCTACGATATACTCCTCAGTCCTGGAAAGATGCACGTGCAGGTTTCACTTTCTATTTTAATAATAGAGCTCTTATTTAAATGTCAAATTAGTCAGATCTCTTCCGAGCCTCAATCTCATTTAGATGTAGTTGAGACGATATTCAAAAGTTAAGAGAGATTGAGAACCGGAACAGACTTGAATAGTTTTTATTTTATGAAAAGAAAAACTCCTAACCAAAAAGAGTCGTGTGTATGTAAGTAACATATTTTATGCCATGCACCTTATTTAACGTATTCGTTTATTTACAATGTTGAATAACATTTTTTAAATTAAAAAGGAAAACAGTGCATTGTAATTGTAAACAGAGTGTCCATTGTAGTTTTACTTCTTCGCCAATATTTTATTGATGTCCTGGAGCTCGCGGGTGCTCCATGGCTCTAGGGGATCGGGCGGGGATTGCGATTTGCGTACATAAGCGGAGCGCCCTCGTTGACGCCTGTCGCCTGGCTCCATGTCACTATCTTCTGGCGAAATTCTGTACAGGATTGATATAGAAATATATATATATATATGTATGGAGCTTTTATACGCCTTACTTATTCTTGCGTCGAATGCGTGCGCTTTTGGCTCGACTTGCCGCTTCGTCCTGAGGCGGCTGGCATTTGCGCAAATGGAATTGCTTCATGGTAGCATGCACCTCCTCCACTGTGGGCAAATCATCGCTATCGGGCCCCCCATTGCCGTCTTCGGTCTCGACTTCAGCCTCCTGCTCTATGGTCAGCACTTCCTCCGCGACGGCTTCGTCGAAGTTATAGCCCTACTTGGACATTAAGTGCAGTTGATTAATGAACGGGCAAATAATTTGCAAACAAATGTATGCTCTTTACAACTATATTCATGGTATACTTGTAAAATTTGTCACAAATATGTGCAATTTATTTAGATAGGCAAATTGAAATATCAACTTACCGTATCATCTCCGTCGATCTCTGGCAAATGGTGTGACCAGACTGACGACATGGGCTTATCGAACTGGCCATTCCCATCAAAGTTGTGGTCACGATTAATGTCCGCTTTGGAGAGCGCATTGTGGGTGCGTCGTGCCAGCGAAAGCTTTCCCAATATTGGACCACCACTGTCGCTCTCCTCGGTCTCTACTTCGGCCAACAGCTTCATAAACTCTTCCAATTTCTTCGGGTCGACAATATCCTTGGGATCCTGAAACAAATTGGTCAGATTCGAGGTCAAGGGTATCGGCACGGGAACAGGATCTGCCACAGCAGATGCGGCTCCTGATTGCGTAGGCTGGGCAGTAGCTGTTTTTGGAATTGGACCGTCGCTGGGAGCACCGAGTGCTGAGCCTCGCTTGGCTAAGGATGGCTGCGTTTTCATTGTCTGCTCGACTAAATCGAACGCCTTGTTGGCCAACTGCTGAAGGCCCGCGAAATAGTGTGGATCATGAGTTTCGGGTCGCTGATCCGACATCATTATCAAGTCCCTGAATGGATCCGGTGCGCTCGGCATTTCCTTGACCGCTGGTGCTGTGGTACGCAATGGGACACCGGCACTCGATGCTGGATTGTTGGCAAAAGTCAGCATATCCATGGCATTTGTAAAATCCGATTCCATGTTTACATTGTAAGGATCTTTCAACTTCTGCTTTGCCACTTTCACTGGACTGGAGATGGAGGCCCGACCCCACATGAGGCGACGCATTTCCTCGCCTGTCATGCCGCGCTTCTTCAAAGCTGTCAGTGTGACGCGTCCCACGCGCTGCAATCAGAGGTGACGACGTCTTTATTACGATATCCCGTCCAAGAGGAGTTCACACATACCTTCCAGTTGGATACGGCGCCCTTGCGCTGCTTGGCTCGCGTCTTGCTCTTGCTCTTGATCACCATAACACCGCGCACCTCGAAGCCGGAGTCATCGGAAGGGCCCAGCGGAATGGAATAGGCCTCCAAATAACCCTTGGCATCGGCCGAGGGTACCGCACGCTCAAGCGTTACAACAATTTTCGCCCATTGCTTCATCCATTCCTTTTCGGATTGCTCGATAACAGTTACGTAGGTATTACCCATCATGGCAATCAACATGTTAAGCAGGAGAATGGGCACAAAGATCATGAAGATGACAAACACCGTCTTCGACAGATTCGGATAGGTGGTTTGATTCAAATCCGGATACTGTAAATGGTCATATAGGATAAGACAATACGAAAAAACACAGAGAGCTAGAATGCCAATTACGTTGTAGTCGCCCAGGGTTGTCTGGAAGAGAGCCATCCAGGTGCTGGTGTAGGTATTAAACATAGTCGACTGCACTTGAGGATGTCCTTTGTAAAGGAAGTAGAACGCCTGGGAGAAACCGCACAGCACAATGGAGTAAATGATTCCAAATGTGAACATGTCGCCAGTTATCATGGAGTATATCATGGTTACAAATGGTCCGGTCAGGCGAATAGCGCTATGAGGAAGGTGATGATTTATTTCTTGTCTAAGCCCTTTTTACGAGTATACTCGTATAATAGTAAAAAGTATATTTTGTATTTTATCTTATAGTAGACCCCATGTTATAGGACGCGACTAACCATGCCCTTAGCCTGTTTCTATGTTTTTGCAAACAGTTCTCTCAGTTCTTTTTTATCTGAAATTGATCTGAAATGTTCTACAAAGACCTCACTCATTATATCATAAAGACCCCTCATATCATTTCGTTCGATTTAATTTGATTTTATATATATATGTATAGGTATATGTTAATTATAGATATAGAGAAGCCTTTTGAAGCACAAATTAGGGAACCATTTTTAAGTTAAATAGCACATCATTTTATGAAATGTGTGATTAATCTTTCAACTCTGAAAGATTATTCATCTTTTGAAACCGTCAGGATATTACACAATACAGGGTGGTATTGGAAGCTTACCCAGCGAAAAACATTAGAAGAAACCAGCTGCCCGGAACAGCAAATATTAAAATTGCCTCCTCGGTGTCCGTGTCGCCTATCAAGCGAAATGGAATGCATGCGAGTATCAATAGATTCGAGAAGAGGAAAATGGCCTTAGCTGGGGCGTGGGACTGGAAAAGAGAGTATTTTAAAGTATCAGAAATTAAGAACTATATTATGATTGCGCGCTATACCAGCTGCTTAAGGAATGCTGATAAACCCTGATTTTTGATTTCATCGCCCTGCTGAAAGACCACGTAGCTGAGGACGCCGGCAATTGTAGCCAACTCGGCACAGTATCGCGCCACGGTTTGGGCGTTGTAGTCCTCCCCGTTCGCCGGCGCGTCCACGTCCCCACCATTGACGATCATGGCACTCGCACCCTCGGCTGCATCGCTGTCCGAATCATCTTCGGGCTCGCCATCGTGTGCGGGTCGCAAATACACCGAGACGGACAAGCATAGTAGATGTATGAATAGAATGAGAAGACGTTTCAAAAATTGATTCTGTGCAAAAGTCTTCCACTTCTCTTCTAGCAACCGCTGAATAATGCCACCATCCAGCATGTCCAAGTGCTCCGGCTTGGTGCCGTTCAAGATGATGAACAGTGCGGAGTTCCAATCTGAAAAAATAAATCGAATTAGTTTACGAGTAGAGTGCAATTAAATAACACACATATAAACATTTGGAAAATAGTCGATCGTACAAAATCATGGAATATTTGCCGACATTAAAATTATAAAGCATATATGTACGTACTATATATAATATATACTATATATTATTATTTATTTACAATTTATAGTATTTAGCAATTAAAAACTACAAAGTCATGTCTTGGGCCTGTATGTCGACTGCAGGTAGAGGATGTTTAAGGACTACGATGAACAAACATAAGTTACTACAGATTTTAAAGAATATACCCGGAAATTCGACCGTATAAAATTTCCGGACTGGGTATAGTCAGGTCCTGATTGATTTCTGCCAACACAGTTGCCAGGCCTTAATATTATTGCGAATTTATACGCAAAATTGGATTGAAATATTCGGAAACATAAAATGTTCAATAAAAAAGACCTTATAGAACCGATCAGATGGAGACTGAATGGGGGAATATTACACCAGATGTGACTCAATATTTGGTTCATTTGGTTCCAATATCATAATTTCCTTGTTTTTTGTAAAGATAATGGAAGTATTTTGGTTATAATTATCACGTAAAGAGCCTCCTAGCTTTATTAAAATTGAGGATCAAAACAAGTAGATTAGAATAACCAGCAAATACAAAGTACAAGTATAAGGTAAATAATTCCCTACCTTTAGAGCAACTTAAAGTGTGTGCCGATATCGGTTAGGCAGACATTAGACTTTCGCTTTTGATGATTCACTTACTCGTTCTGCCATCAGGAAGTAAAGTGTCGAGTGCGTTCAATGGATAACCGGAGCATGTGATATTACTGTAGCGCCAAAACTCTCTTGCCGACAACTCCAACATCTCCCTGAAGACCTCGGCACGGCCCAGCTTGCAGGCCAGTGTGAGTGGCGTGAGACCAGTTTGATTCACAATTCCGTTCTTGGCCGGGGTCTTTGGATGCCTTAGAGCATATCCAAACATGTCCTGCAATTCACATTTCCATCATTCGCCCAAATTGGAGTTTTGGACTTCTTACCAGTTTATCGCAGACGACAACCATATGGAGTATCATGTTGCCGAAGGAGTCCTGCGCGTCCGGATCGGCTCCACAATCCACCAGCAAATTGTAAACGCTCTCATTGGCGCAACAGGCGGCCCAGGCCAATGGATATTCGCCCATATAGGCAAGGCCCTCATAGTCCGTGGACTTAGCTGGATTCGTGCGCTGTTGATCGCGAGGCAAAAAGAAACTGCCAATGGCGCGCTGATGTATGTCGGCACCGGCCTCGATCAGATCGGCTACCAGTTCATTATTGCTGTACGCAATGGATAGGTGGAGGGCACTGGCGCCCAAATATTCCTCACCCTCCATCACGTCCAGGGCCAGATTGGGGAAGACACGCAACAGCACGCGAGCCAGTTTAGTGTGAATCTTTGAATCGCAGATGATCAGGACATGCAACAGGCTCTCGCCCAGAGCACCACGATATTGCATTTGCCAACACGCCTTGTGATCCTCCCACTTGCCGAGGGGATCGTGTATGGACAACGATGCCTCAATGGGTATAGTTACCTCGGTGTGATCGCGATACTTCCAGCGTAGGAACTCCGCCCGATTGATCACCTGACCCTTGCCATCGTTGTACATAAAGACGCCAAATTGTTCCCGAATTAATTGTTCCACAGCTATTAGACCTCCAGTGTTAATTGCATCGATTAGATCCCCACCTGCAACGAGCAACCAGGAACGAGTTCTGAACGGCACAGAAGGGCGCTCCTCACCGAATAATACCCACCACGCTTGTAATCGGCCAACTTATAAAGCAAGCACTTGCAAGCCGTTGCCGACGATTGGGATATGACGGCGTCCAGTATGGCGCCTGGTTTCATTTCCGGCGCCTTTTTGCGCAAACATTTCTTCAGAAAGAACTTCATCTCACCAGAGAGAACTGTGTGTGTGTGATTCGCCGAATGTGAATGTACTGTGCAATCTCTTTCGCAATTCCCCCAAAAGTGGAATAATTGCATAAGCTTGTTTGTTCGATGGAAGGTCCTGGTTGTCCTGGCAACACAAAAGAAATCCTCACAGAGCGACAATGGGGCGGATGGAGAGAGAGAGAGAGAGAGAGAGAGAGAGAGAGAGAGAGAGAGAGTAAAAGGCAGTCGACAAGTATCTTGTATTGCATTTTATTTATTTATGTATATAAATATATTTTTGTTTATTACTTATGGCTAAAATATCGATATCAATATCATATATGTATACTGTAAAATAAATTGTATAAATAATGTGTATGTTTCTGCTTCCTGCCTCATCACTATTCTTCTCAGTATTCCCATTCTCATCATTATAATCGTTATCATCCTTCCATAGATTTGCGACATCGCATTAAGTTGTTATTTGATTTTATATATTTTAATTTAATTTGTTGGTTTGCCATTTTTTTCGTTTTTGTTTTTTCATTATTATTATTATGTTCTTTGTTTTTTTGTATAAATAAGAGAGACATTCAAAAAGAAGTACCTAAATATATTTGTAAATACATATGTGTATATGATGGCTAATATGTATATAAACACAAACACATACATACATACATAGCTGCTTGCGCATGTACTTATGTATGCAGAAAGTATATATGCTATTAGCGATTACTTATTGTTGTTGTTGTTAGTGTGTATATATATTTGTATTGTTTTATTAAATTTATTTAATGTTATTATTTTCGGTTTGTTAAATAAACGCACACATGTTGCTTGATTAATAATGTTCTGGAATCTTTATTCGACAACGAATGATCCCAGAGCCGCAGAGCTATAGCTATATGGCTATAGCTTTATCATATGAGTGTGGGTGAATGAGGAAAACTTTTGATATTTAAATGCATCGCAAAACTCATTGAGAACGCACCGTGAATACGAATTTTGTTAATGCGGAAGCAGTAGACGATAATGGAATTCAATAAATGGCATGAATGTTTGCAGCTTTCGAATAAAGTTGATAGCATTCGTTCCACTATAGCGTATTTACGAGTGCAATCGAATCATTCACATTAGTACATAATGGAGTTAATCGGTGTACATGATTTCACAGTTGAATTTTCGACTCTAGTGAGTGCACTCGCATTATGTAGCTTATTTATTTACTTATTTTTTTTTGGCTTTCTTAACTGTTTATTTGATTAGGAGAGCCGTATGCATTCGTGTACATAAATAGGTATTTACTTTATTGGAGTTAAACGATACGAATAAGTTCAGTTACACTCTGGAATTGTGAATGATTACATTGATTGGGTGCATTCGCTTTCAGGCCGTGAATACTTTACATTCATTTAGTAGCAAAGCTCTCCTCATTCATATACGAGTATGTATAAGTATAGTATGTAAAAATATTGAATGCATTCGTTCGTGCACTCATTCGGCAAATACACACACACATAGAGGATGTGGACATACAAATATTAAATCGCTTACAATTATATGTATATGTGTGTGTGTATTTATGTAGCTCTATGGCTTTCTATTGCGGGTATTGGCGTTTGGAGGAAAGCCTATGAGCTGTGCTCGTCAACCCGATTTGAATTAGTTGGTCAAAATTGTTGTGAATCAGTCGCATCATCATTATTATTATTGATGTGTTGCACCCATTATTATGTATGTGTGTGTATGCATATTATGTGACGAGAGTTCAGGTTCATCTATGTATATTGTATATATTATTGAACTTTGGACAAACATGTTCATGAGTACAATATTTGTTTTCCTGTTGCTTCTATTGATTTTGCTCAGTTCTTTTTTGTTGCTGTGAGTTCGTGTATACAAAATATATGTTTGTTGTAGTTTATTTTGTTTATCTATGTATACTGTAGTATGTATGTATGCAATAGTTGCACGTACAAATGCTATTGATACGCTACACGTACATATGTACTTATATATTTGTTATTCCTATTGAGCAGTTTTGATTTTCTCTTTTGAATGTTCTCAAAAAGTTCATGGCAACGATATATTTAAGTCTTTTCGTTATTCATTTTGGAATTTCGTTTGTTTGTTTGTTTCTTTCTTTTAATATTGTTTCTATCGAGTATGTATGTATGCATTTTTGTAAAATCTGTATGCAGTTCGTTCTTCTTACAACAATTTTGGTTGATTGGTTTACGCATAAAGACGTTACAATATTCATTCAGTACATTTGATAATACATATTGTTGTTGCTGTTGTTATATCATTGGCTTCCTAAACGTTCACATATAAAATGCATCATTTTAATGCCCGCCGAACACAAATATATTTTTAAAAATACTTGGTCTGGGTACCATCTCTTCTTAAACTAACTACAAAGCGTTCGGTAAAAAAAGCGCGTGAGAAAGTGAAGCGATTCTATCTATAGACTAGAAGAAAAGTGTACAAGTAATATGCATGCCTGTTTGTAATATCGCTCACTCAATTAAACATACTATGACACAAATACGACGAGTATCTCTGTAATTATTATTCAATCTGTATCTGTCTCCTCGTATTCAGAACTGTCGCAGCAATGCGAAAAGATTCACTTTAGGTTTGTTTCTACAGTGTCAGCAACGAGTGCGGGTGGTTGTAGGGGGAGAAAGAGAGAGCACAATAGAGAGAGAGAGCTATATGCATGCATAAAACAGAAGGAGACAGGGGACATGAGGCCCCTTAACTCATCCTCACGTAAATTCAAAAATACATCATAATCATCATAATGAAAACAATTGATAAGATAAATTTATCTAACCATCTAGATCAACGTGTTGTACAATCACATTTGAAAATCTATCAGAATTGATTATAAATTTGGCATTTACATAAATGAGCAAATTTTATTGTTGAATCCCCGTTTTCTTTCGCTTTCGAATTTAGAAGATAAAACCAATGTAAACGAAATGAAAATGAAAAAAAAAGGAAAACAAGTTGCTTCATTTAAATGAATGAGTTGCTTGTTCGGCCATGGACATACTCGTACATACATAGCATTGAGCATTGCAAAATTCATTGCAGATATCTTTAATATACTATGTTCATATGCACACGATTTTCTATATATGGCCACAAAAACTTAAGCAAAATATACTCAAAACAAAATAATGTGAGGAAAACACCAAACTATATACATGCTAGTATATGCATATGCATAATAATATTGGCAAAATGTTTAAAATCATACATCCATACTAATAATTAATAACAAGCATATTAATAAGTGGTAATGCGCTAAACTAACTTTTGACTAACTACCTAACAAAAAAGTAAACACAAACACAAACGAATTAAGCGAATGAGGAAACAATCATCATTCCATTTTGTTGGAAGGAGTCAAGCATTTAGAAAATGTTTGCAAAATATAAATGCAGAAGCTATGTATTAAAGCAAATCAAAATGCAATGCAACGCGACAAAACAGACAGAAACAAAACATAGTACATGGATGTGTGCGTGTGTGTATGTGTCAATGTATATAGGAAAGCTGTTGCTCTCGAAATTTTATTTACAAGGTTCTCTCATATGAATGATGCTCATTATTCGGCTGAAGGAAATCGATCGATCGATCGATTGATCGACCAACTGAATAACAAATATTGCCTTGTTACAATATGTGCATGCAAGCGCAGATACAATGGTTGTATGTACGTACATATGTATGTATGTGAAGAGCAAATGTGCCTGGGCGAGGGGATTGACAGACGACAGATGTACATACATAAGATTTGCATTGCATTGCACGCGAATTTTCTGCCTAAACAATATCCAGTTTCTTTTTTTTTCTTTTTTTTTTGCACGTTGCTGCACATCTGTATACATATGTATATGTGTGTGTGCGAGTGTATAAATATAATTGTATAATTATATGCATATACGAGCTTTTGTCTTATATATGAGTGTATATATATATGTATATATGAATACATATATAGCAAATGATGGCATGCCATACGTGCTGATGTAAAAAAAACTGCTACTATGCTAAATTGTCATTGTTGTTGGTTGTTCTTGTTGTTATGGTTATCCTTTTCATATTCGCACTACTCAAAACGCAAGCAGCGCTACTCCTGCCACTCGTTCTCATCCACACCCTCCATATCGTCCTGTTCCAATTTGGTTGTATATTCCATACGCGCACTAACCGATTTTTGTATCTAAAAAGAAAAACAAAAATGAGAGTTCAAAAAAGGCATATTGGGGGAATACGGATACCAACCTCCTGCTGCTTGTTGCATTCATATTCCGACTTGTTGCCAAAGTGATGATCTGTTTTTTTCACAGGGGCCGTCACTTGTTGTATGGATGATACTATACAATAAAAGCATATTGGTTAACATTCATCATTTATATATATTTTTTTAAATTGAACTTACATGGCTCCATGCCTTCTGGTTGTAGACTGATCTTGGCGGCCGCTTTGTCACTGCCGCCAAACCATTCTTCAGAGTCCATTGTAGCATTCCATGTAACGCGTGTGGGCGGGAACAAGTCATCTTGAAATAGTTCGCTCTGTAATAATAGCCCAATAAAAAGGCATTTAAAATTATGATTAGGACTAGATTTTATATAAACAAATTTGAAAAACTCTTCTACAACTTGGCGAATGTTTCTTTATCAGTTATAAGTTTCAATCGCCTACTCAACTCAACTTTTTGTATAAATCTTACACAATATGAATGAGTTCTTTGCATCAGTACAGCGCCTTTATAGGAAGGATTTCGAAAATTGTATTCACTTTGTAAAAATACTGTTTGAATTCGTGAAATTGTTTAGTTTTATAAGCATTTGCTCACAAAATCCACGTGGTTTAGTCATTTTTATCTGCACTTGAGCTTATTTTAATTATTGAATTAAAAAGTTTTTGACACCCAAAACAATTTAAGCACCAATGAAGTTGATTTTAAAAAACGTTAAAGTATAATACTAAAGCATTAAATAATTGCTTCTAATTTCTGGGAGCCTTCCAATTTTAAATATTTCTCTCTAGTTTGTAAGGAACGTTTATCGTTTAAATTATATCGAAATTTCGAAAAAGTTTGGTTTCCTACCTTTATACGGGGCACAGTAAAGCTTAGTGGTTCAATGGTCGTGTTGGTCAATCGATAGGCCTTTGAAAACTCAACGCTGGCCACATCGCAATGATTTTTGGTGAGAAAACTCAATCCCTGATGCAGGGATGTGCAGCGGTGATGCGAGAGCGGACATATGTAGGGCTCCTCATCTGTGATCTCGTAACAATAAATTGTGGAGTCACCTTTGCCCGTCACAAACAGTGTAGAGCTGTCCTCATCGTAAAATGGAATGAGTATTGAGGGCGACACATCCAAGCTGGCCGTGTTCAGTGGTGCATTCAACTTTTGTGCATTGTAAACGCTGATCTGGCGTTCGGAGACCCTACAAGAAAATATACTCATATTTGCAGTCAATCCATTATTTATAAATGTGATATTGCATTACTTATCAAAGCCGGTGCACACAATGTATTGCCCCTCCAAGGCCCAGGTGATGCGTGCGCCACGTGTTCCAACAGGTCCATTGCCCTCACGTATGGGCGTCTCAGATTTGCGCGGATTATAGACGCGAATTTTTCCGTCCTTGCACACACTAGCGCCAAGCTTGCCACAGGGGCTCCAGGCGAAGTCAAATATCTGATCAGTGTGTCCCCTGAGTGCGCACATTTCGTTCATGGTGTTTAAGTCCCAGAGCTTCATGGTCATGTCATAGCTGGCCGTAAGCAGGACATCGGCAGCCAGCGGATGGAAGCGTATGAAATAGATTTTGTCTAGATGTGCCTTCAATTCCTGTGCCGGTGTATTTGTCGGTTCGGTGAGTCCGCCCTCGGCAATTTGCCAAATCTTTACAATACCATCATCACAGGCAACAGCCAGACGCTGTGCATCAAAGGGATCCCATTGAAAATCCATAATATTGCTGCTGTTCACCAATGAAGGTATTACGCCATCAGGCAAGCGTCCCGGACGACGCAGCTCGAATATTGCTATCTTTCCACCGGGTCCGGAGAGCGGTACAGCGACGCGCTCGTGATTGGCATGGAAGCCATTGCATTCGCCTGGTATTTGTCGGCTTAGATTGCGCAAATTCTCAATGTGTGTGGACTTGTGACCGCTGGTGCCCTTCAGATGGCGAAATTTGGAAACCTTGCCAAATACTGTCGACGTGCGTTTAGTCGATGCGGCACTGAATGCGGCCTCCGTAGCCGATTTCTTTATTCCAGCTCCATTGCCACGACGATGCTCCTCCATTAGCTTGCCTTCAGGCACTGAAATGCGCTTACTGTCAATGGCCGGCGGAGGCATGACGTTCATATTGTTGCCCTGCTGCTGGCTTGGCTTCAATGGCTCCACTTTGGATTGCTCGCGCCGTCTATGTGTGGACAGACAATACTGAGTGAACGAAGGAAACGAAAATATTTACAACAGCTCTACTAACATTGGAACCGGGGATTGGGACTTCTCTTCCACTTGACTCTTGGAACGACTCTCGTAGAGACGACGTCGCTCGGCGATGCTTTGGCGCGTTGCCGAAAGACGCAACAGCTCGGCATCGGTTCTATCCTCGCCTTCGGTTGAGTTCTCAGATGACTCGGAGTTCTGCTCGAATATCTAAATGAATTATAATATGAAATGCAATGTGTGAGTACAGAAGTGTTTATTGTATTTCGATGCAATCTTGTCACACCTTATCGGACGATTCATCATCGTCAGCTGAGGACTATTTATAGTTGTCGTAGAAGTTGTGGTTGTTGTAGTTGTTGCAGCAGGTTAGGAAGTAGACAGTGAGAACACAGTAGGGCGCAGATAGGTGCGTGTTAGTAGCAGGATTCGATTTGGTTTAGGTGTTAGGTAAAAAAGAGAAGAGAATTATTTTTTGCAGAGATATGTAAGAGAGGTCATGTCAGCACAGGCTCGTAAGGATAACGCCAAAAGTTCAAAGACGGGCAAACAATAAAATCTTTGTATTAAACTCTGCCTACCTTGCGACGCTCCGACGTGGTCAGCGATTTTTGCACGCCATTTCCAGCAACATTTGGTTCATGCTCATGATTCTCTGAAAAATCGGAAGTAATTGTTGGCGGATTATTATTAAAAATAAAACACATTATAATAATAGTCAACATCAAAGCTTCACATTCAAATGGAAAAAGGGCTTGCAAAATTGTTGTCTAGAGCTATTTTGTACTCTCACTTACTTTTGATTTCAATTTCCACAATTAGATCAGGTTTGACGCCCTGTGGGGGCACCTCGGTGCATGCATCCTGGCTAATGTTGCTCACCAAGTGCGATATATTCTCCTGGGAGCCCGGAGCCTTGGGCACAGCAAATACCTCGTCGAATGACACATCTCCAGTGTTGCCAGTGAAGGGTTTCGGACCAAGACGGGGCTGTGGATGGCACGAAGAGTGAGCGAGTGAGCAAATTATGGATTATTGCTTGTGTGGGCAACAAAAACAAAAATACAAAATACAAAAAGTATGATGCACCAACTATAGGTGTGCTAAAAAACAGATGACGTATAAAATAATTAGATGTGCTACTTAGGAGTTTGCAAAAACATCAAAATTCAAAAATGATATCGCTGACATACGAGCAGTATAGAAATAACCCAACAATTGAAAAACAAATGTGAAATAATTTTTGTAATGAGTGAAAACGAATGAAACGCTACCAAATAAATATGTACAAGTGGTGGTGTAAATCAAGATCAATCAACAACTCAACAAAACTGAACAGAAATCCATGAGCGCTTTACAATCGCATGGCACCTTATAAACGCCTGTTGCCGTCGTGCGTGGTCGTGGGCGTGGTGTGTTTGACTCGCCCACCTCGCCGCCCCCACTGTTAGCACCGCCGACACCTCCGGCTACGCTACCACTGGACTGTGGATTGTTGGTTTCGGGCAGGGAATTGTTCCGCGAAGTACGCGGCATGGGTTTCGGTGGCGAATTGTTACCGCATGCCGAATTGTTGTCCAGACCTCCGGATGATGAGGCCTCTTCACTGCTACCAGTCGAGTTCTCTGTAGGAGACTCCTTTTCATCCTCATGTCCATCCTTTTCAGATTCGGTCTTATATTTATTGTCGAATTTCCGTATAAGCTCGCTCTGACTAAGACTGCACTCGGGATTTTTCTTGCCATTGGTATTGTTGCTGTTGTCGTTGCCGTTCTTCTCCTCCGGATAGTTGTTGCATTTGCGCAGCATTACAAAATGATCATTATCGTTCCGCTTTCCAATGCCGACGTTGCCGCTTTGAACAGCAGTTGGCTTTTGGGTCTTGATCTTGGCTTTCTGATTCTCAATATTCTTTACGAAATCACTTAAATTGCCACGATGTACCTACAGGTGTGTGTGTGTGTGTGTATGTGTGTGCGGATATGGTGTAGTATGGAAAGATTGCAGAACAATTGTTGAAATGGTTAAAAAGTTTTGCAGAGAAGGGGGACACCTATTATTGCCAGGTCGTTCATATGACAGCTATATAATATATTTCACCGATTTCGATGAAATTTCAGATCGTAGGCAGGTTGTGATATCGAAATAAACAAAGAATATAATAAGACAAGTCTACACGCAAAGTGTAGTTGGTGTCAGTATTGATACGGAAGGATAGGCGGACATATCTACATCCATATATAAATTCATATCGTTCGTAGACTTTCTTTTAAGTACTAAGGTATATCCCTTCACACTTCGCTTCACTTCGATTGCAACTGAAGATTCCCATTGTTCTATTGAGATACTTACAATAATTGGCTCGTCCCCGTGCTCGCGCTTCGCCGGATCCAGATTCATCTTGGGAACTGGCAGATTTGTGCCATTTAACCACTCGCTAGCAATGAGTTCGGTCTTGTAGCCTGTTGTTTCGGGGTACAAATCGGCATGGAAGTCTCGATAAGTCTGCAAAGCAATATGGAATAATATAACATCGAAGTCACTCCAATCGCTCGCCATCGTACACCACTCACCTTTCTGGGCACCTGATACATAATGGGTATGACCATATTGGATGTCAACTGCAAGACACGATTCACTTCAGCTTCCATGACTTTGAGCGCACGCTTGGGCACCAGGCAAGCCCCCTTTGTCTGCTCGCCAGTGTGTCGCAGGCCCTCGATGAGATAGGGGTCCTTATCGGTGATCTCCAGATAGTTTATGGTGGTATCACCCTTTCCCGCGAGGAAGAGCATATTTGTGTCGGCATCGAACAGCGGCATCAGTATGCCCGTCGAGCAGTCCAGCTCAAGAGTTTTCTCGGGCACTCCGAAATTGCGCAAATCACGTATGATGACCTGACGTAGACGAGCGGCATCAAAGCCAGTTGTCAGAATGCGTGACTGATTGCCTAGCCAGACGACGCGAGAGTCCTTGATGCTCTGATGCGACTCCGCCACCATTTGTATGGGTGAGCCCGTGGCTCGCGGATCAAAAATGCGCACGCACTTATCCTTGCAGCTGGTGGCCAGCACAGTGCCATCCTCTCGCCAGCTAGCTGACTGTATTACCTCAGGATGTTCATTGTTTGCTATTTTATGCAAAAATAATATGCGAATTGGTTAAGTTATTAAGTCAATTGTCACTATTGCTGGCATAGCTCACAGAAAATTTCCTTTTGTGTACTTATGTCGAAGAGAGCCACACAACCTGCCGCTGTCGAATACATCAAACCATCTGCTGTCGGGTGAAAGCCCACGGTCTCCACGCGCCGTTGTTTGTGTGAGAAGACGGCCTCTGGATCGGAGAGTGAGGTTTCCAGACCCTTTTCGGGTATATGCCAGATTTTGACCTTCAATTGAAAGGCTTATTATTGGATATCGTTCAACACATCCATCGAATCATTTGTGACTTACCAGGCAATCCTGCGAAGCGGTGGCCAACAAACCGTCGTGAAATGGCGAGAATTTTAAATCTGTCACTGTATCGGTGTGTCCGTGTAGAAGTGGCATCGTCTTGCTCTTGCGTCCGCAATCGTCCAGGGGCAGGACTGCCACACTTGAGCCCGTGTGCTCCCAATTGAAGGCCATGAAGGCAGCGGAGGTGGCAATATTGTTGCCATACGTTTGATATGAACCAACACAAATCTCACGTACACAAGCCTCCGCCTTTGGAACAATGGGCGCGGCATTTTTGTACTTTGAAGCCTTGAACCGCCAGGCCATTGTGAAGTGGTCTTTTTCTTGTGTTTTTTCTGCTAAATTAATTTATTTTGCTTCTTTTTTGAGATCGAATTGCTCTATAGCTCTATACACGCCCCGTAGTTATTTGTTTCTGCGGAAGGGAAAAGAGAAACATCACTAAAAATTGCAAGCCAAATTCCAATGCTTCGTTATCAGCTTTGCTGTTGTCGCTACTGTTGTTAACGATGTGCAGAGGCAGAAGGGGAGGGGAAGGCGCATGAATCACACGAATGCGGTGCCTTCGAGCGAACAGCAAAATATAACAAATACTCATATATTATACTATTACCAATACATATGCACAACACTAGTAGCTAGCTCCCTAGACCGTGAGACATGCACACACATATATACTAGAGCCCTGCACGAATGGATTCAAAGTGTTTTGCACAGTGAACAACTGAATCGGAAAGGAGTGGAGTTAGGGACTATAGTTCCACAGTACGACGAATGAGCATTACTTATTTTCATTCGTGTTTCAAGAGACAAATAAAATTATCATTAATTTTATAGATATACGATGATTCAAACAAAGCGACAACGAATATATACATATATTATCATTTGTTTAATGTCCACAAATATGGGCAAACAAATGTAATGCATTATATTAAGTATGGTAGGTTTTAACTTAACTATTCATGTACCCATGCAGGCCACCATGTACATACTATATATACATACATTCCTGTTTGTTTATGATAAAGTTTATAATAAGTTTGCCATGGGAGTTGGCTGATAAGCGGGACGCAAAGAATAAATGTATTTGTTTGTACGTGTGTACGAGATTATAAATACATATACAGTTATATGAGTGTATATAGACATATGCGCATACTATATATCTGCAATGTGCAGATGTCTTCTTTCTTATTTGAACATTAATTTGGGCAGTCATAAACAATAATAAGAAATTTGCAGCTTAGTCACACGTCAGGCTTATCAGAAAACTGGCCGGTGGTTAAATGAAAAAAATAAGCCAACGGCTTACCAACTAAATGCACAAACACACATACACACACGCACACACACACAGATGTTTTTTAAACATAGACAAATGGCAACAAGTCTTGGGCCATGGAACTTGCTGGCTGAAAGCAAACACAAAAAAAGCATTGCGCTAGTTTTTGCTGGTCGAGAAGTTGACGACGAGCAAGACGACTGGGAATGCTCATCGTGAATGCACTTGATGTTGTTAATGCCAATCGAATGAAAAGAGAAAGCACACAGGGAAAATGCCGGAAAAGCCAGAGCCACCAGCTCATCAAACCAGGTAAGACAAACAAACACATAAATACACACACACACACACTCATATGTACATACATATGTATGAGCACACATTCGAATATACTATATAGTGTATGCTTTTGTGCCTGGTAACCACTTCTAGTCCTTTCCGCTACTGGCACTCACTTTTTACACCTTTCGTCTTTTGTCCGAGTTTTTTCCGCCAGCTCTGATCGCGCATTTCTCTTTTGACGGTGACTAACAACGACAACAATGATTGATTAGTTGGCCAACGCCATTAACTTATCAGTTATAAGAATGAATACACATGTATGTATGTATGTGTATAAATGGAACATCCATCAAACAATTTTGATGGCTAATCTGCATTAATACGTTAAAGTTTTCGTTCCACCAACCAATATGCGAATCCACTGAATTCGCCAGATGTTCTTATTATAAGAAAACGTACCGGGTTAACATAATATGTTTGAAAGGGCACAATTTAAAATTGATATTCGCACATTTGTAAATGCTGATAGTCGTTTTATGATAAAAAAAAAAAAGATGATGGCACAACAAAAAATGAGGACGTGCTCCATTTACGATATTTGAAATTGTAAAATATGAGCAAGGTTTTAATCCCTCTTTCATGCAGTCCAGCTCAAAAGTCTTTATATTAAGAAGCATTGTATTTTTTCGCCGTTAAAAAACTCTGTATGTTGGCAGTTGTATTATGGCCAATGGTGCAGACTGGTTATCAGCTATTGTATATATAAGTACAAGTAGTAATATAAATGGAAAAAGAAAAACACACGATTTCGAAGAAACATTTTTATATTTATTTGAAATGCTTGCCTCGCTGTGTTCAGATTTTTGCAGTTTTGTTTGTCCAATATTACTTATTATGCTTAATAATAAAAATAATAAAAAGGATCAATTTTAAACGAATTTGCTTAAAAGTGGTTTTCAAAATGAATCTCCTATTCATATTTACAGCTGCCATTGAGAGTAATTTCAAATATGTATTGAAAAATTCTACTTACATATGGTTATTTTTAAATACAAGGCCGGACTATTAACAGTAGGAAAGTTTGTTTGCACCTATTTGAAGTTAATTAAATTGCGAATTGAAACGAACGGAAAATGCTTTTAAAATAATTAACTGTCTGAGAGTTAAAAGTTTGGCTTTTAATCGGCACTTGCAAACACATTTATTATAAACTGAGCAATAAATCACCATTATTTATATATGTACATGTACATGCATATAAATAATATGACCTTATGTGGGCATTGTTTACTTTAGACTGTTTAGTAAGCGAAATCACCCATATCTGACAATAGACATTTTTAAAGGCGATTGCTGGGCTTGCCGCCTTTCACACACACTTAGGTTTATTTTCGATTTACCCTATCAGCTCACAGAGTTTGTCACACTTACATACATCAACATACATACATACATAAGTACGTATAGGGGGAAATGAAACGAATGCAAAAATAAATGCAAAAATAAAGAACACAACCACTTTTTTTGTTTTCGATTTGTCAGCCAATGGATAATTTCAAGTGCAGTTAAATATTGACACAAAACAGCAGCAACAACAACAGCAGCAACGAGAATAAGCTCTTATGCTCACTTTGGCGGCAACAACGCGTGCGCAAATTCAACTGGTTCGATAGAAAGCGGCAAAACAAATGACCACCACCATTGGCGCTGCTGCCAGGCCAGGCCAGGCAAGGTAAGGCAAGGCAGCGGTTGTGGCTGCAACTGAAGCGACGGCAACTGCAGTGGCGATGGCGACTGCAACGCATCGAGCAGGTATTTGTATTGTGACGGCCTGGCCGGTGCAGTGGCTAACAACATCAATGGTAATAGCAACAACAACACCGGGTAATGGGGTCAAGTGATTTGGAAAAAGAAAACGCGCTGCACGGGCTAAAGCGCACGATGGGCGGAAGTTGGGCGGTGGCGCAATCACTTGGGACATTGTTAGGCGGCTTTAATTTTCGCTCGCTGTCAAAAGGGCAAGTGGCAAGCCAGTTGATGGCCGAGTGGATCTGTGTATCTGTCCACACACACGCCCACACATCCACATCCCATCCACCATCCTCACACATACACAAAAGCGCACAGGCACAGACAAGTGCAAAAGAAAAAGAAAACGAAAAAATAAAGAAAAAAGAAAATAACAAGCGGTGGGTACCTGCAGGAGAGCAGCAGAGCCAGCAACAGCATCCGTGCAGTTATGGGAGCGCGATTACAGAGGTGAAGAGAGAGCGAGAGCAAGTGCCTATGACAGAGAGTGAGAGAGAGCAGGCACAGTCTGTATCCGTATCCTCAAATGCTGTTGTTGCTGATGCCGTTCTATGTTTAGTGCGTTTGTGTGTGTATGTGTACAAAGGGTGCAAGAACCGTTTTGGGTGCAACTTGGTTGGGGGTGGTGGCGACAACAACGTTTGGTATAAGGCAATGAGCAAAGCTCATTGCTACTGTTTCTCTACACACACACAAGCTTATATGCACATGTACATATGTACCTGCTTACATACAAAATATGTACATATGTATGTGTATGTATATAGATAGATTCATATTGTTGCTGCTGCCAAGCGGCACGTACTTAGGCTTGGGCTTGGGTCAACGTCGTGGTGGTGTTGTTGTTGTTGCTGCTGCTGCTGTGTTGGTCGTTTGCGGCCGCTTTGTTGGCCTCCTCAGCGGAGCTGACAGTAGTGGTGGTGGCGGTGGTGTTTTGTTACGCCGCTGTTGTTGTTGCGTATGCATTTATTGACATTTTCCACTACTCGAATATATACATACATACAGACATAGTTGTATGTCCCCATGTATATGTTATGCATTTAATTGGCATTACTTACTACCAAGTGCAGCAAATGCGTGCAATTAATTAGTTGTCGTTATAGGCGGCTATTGTGGTGGCATATGTGTTTCTGTTTTACACACATGCATATATGTACAGCAAAAACAAACGGATGCGGTAAGGAGCACGGGTTTGTTTTCAGCCGGCAGCACACACCCTTTTTCTAGGCTGCCGCTTGACACCGACAATGACGAAACCGACAACAGCAGCAGCAGCAGCAGCAACAAGGAAGCCGAAGCTGACGCGCTTATGTTCTGGGCAAACAAAGGAGGAACTTTGCACACACATACACTCGCACCCAAACACACCCAAACGCACACACACGCATGCAATTAAACATACACACACGCAGGGTGAATAATAACTAAAAAAAACTACAAATTCAAGCTCGTAACACTTACTTTTATCTTGTTATTTCTTGTTATTTTTTCCGTTCACTGCACTGGCACTGCACAATTTTTAATAACTTTTCAATGCATCGTTCGCATCGCTTTTCGCCTGTTTCTTCTGCTTTTGCAGATTTTCTGTAATGCTCTCGTTCTCGCCCACTCTGCTGCGCTTAAATAGGAAGCGCTAGCGTCGCGTCACCGGCTTCAAATGTAGTACGAATACGATAGACTTTCCTTCTTTATTCACATTTAATTGTCACGAACACCCATTTAATTACATACAAATTGATAATTTTGTCGGCAAATTATTATTATTTGCCGTTTTTATTATTAGATGTTGCAATTATGTCGAAAACGAGCACGAATGCATCTGCGCCTGTTTCACCTGCCCGCCCGGCAAATTATTATTTTGTGCGCTCATACAACCGATACCGCTGCTAAGCATCGATACTTAGATACTGAAAGCCAGGGATAGCACTTACGTGATACTGTTATCGATAACTATTAGTGGAGCCTCGATGAAAAGATACTTTCGCTCGCCCATATTCCCAATAAATGGGGAGGCGTATCTTTTGTTACAGACATACATACATATGTATTTGCAATTTTCAGCTTCAAATAGTGGGCCGGTCAAAGTAAAATCAAAGTACGCTTATCCAACACTGTCTTACGAAATATCTCGAGGATCGTTTTTTCTGCACGACAGACAGGCAGTTGTATCTATGCGTACTGGTTATTTTCACTTCAATAGGTTCTGCAATTGTTTTTAAACTTTGAAATTACCTGAAAGTTTTCATTTTTCAGTTATTAATTCCATAAAATTCATTCAATTCATTTAAGTTGCCACTTAATGTACCAATAAATTGAACGTAATAGTATTTCTTAAAGGAAAAATACATTTATTTTGTAAAGTTATAATATATTAAATAAATAGGTTACAATTGTGGTGTTTGGTTTTAAAATTAGTTAATATACTTTGTAGCTATTTTTCTTAAGAGTACACGTATAACATTTAGTTACAAATACATTTACAATTGAAAATTGCTCTACTTGGGAAACAAAATACAATGCGTGGTGTGTTGAGGTTAACTTAATAAATTAATCATATACACATTTTATAAACAGAAACAAAAAGGATTAGATTATTATTACGATGGACTTAGTTATAGAACTAATGCGTACATATATGATACGAAAAAAAAAGATGTATAAATATATGTGTGTTGAATCTATATACTCATATTGTATATGTACTTAAGTATGTATACAAAAATATATCATAAAATTGGTTAAGAAAATATCAATAAGCCAGAACAAAGATCCTTCTTACGATCCAATTTACACATTTTTCAATTTTTGTTTTCGCCTTTGTGCAATTTTTGCATTCCATAGACTTTATTTATAGTCGTTATTGAATTTAATAAAAAAAATTTGCTGATTAAGAGTGGTAACTGATGTTTAAATATACATCAAAAATTGATAATAGGCACATACAAAGCAATGACTAAATTAGATATACGATGCAGACGCATGCACATACATATATACATATGTATACATATATGTCATACATATGTACATAGATGGATCATGGCAATATTCATACATACATACATATGTATATATTTTGGCTCTGTGTGAGTATAAATATATGTTTGTGTGCAACTTTCCCAAAGTCTATCATTGTTTAATTTGTTTAATTCTCCTCAACATTTTTATAAGCATTTACATACAGTATGTAGCTTGATTAGGTAAGTGAAATATAACTACATACGATTTATCCTAAAGACAGTCTTGTTTCTATGTGCGTATTTATATGTGTGTGTGTGTGTGTGAGCGTGTCTCTCTGTGGTTGTGTGTATGTGTGTGTGTGTGTATATGTGTGCCTATATATGTGTAGCTTAAAGCACACTGCAAGGTATGTACGTACATACATAAATATTCATATCGAAGTGTGAAGCATTGCTAATAACAATAATATTCAGTTTGCTTTTTTCTTTTGTTTTGCTCTAAGTGCTATGTACAAGAGAAGTATAATGCATGCAAGCTTATGTGTATATAGATGTGTGTACATGCATGTATGTATGTATGAATTGCATATTAGGTGGCAAACAAAATAAGTTTGAAGTGATCCTTAATGTTTCTGAAGCTTTTCATTGGACATACGAGTACATACATATCTGTATGTGTGCACACATCTGAAATACATTGTTTTGATTATGTACATATGTATGTATATAGGTATGTATGTATATAGGCATATACATAATGAAAGATGGAAGCATTTGTGTTTGACTTTCAGGGTCTGCAGTGATTTTATGCAGCTATAGGATCTGACAGATCTCTACCACAGTACATAAAATTCACTTCAAGTTTTCATTAGGTATTTATGTGTTTTGATGTCATACATTCATCTAAATATACAAATGTACATACATGGCCAAGGATTGCCAAAGTATGCAGCTTATCAAATTGTATATAATTATTATATTTGTATATAATTATTATATTTGTATATAATTATTATATTTGTTATTAGTTTCATGTATTTTTTTTTTGGCTATTAAAGCAGAGTATCTTTCTTAACTATACTCCAATTTATATGTATGTATACGAGTATGTAAATTTGTGTTGCTTTTAAAGTTGATTCGTTCCATGTATGTATGTAAAAACTATTATTTTTGCATTTCTGTTGTTATTGATTGCTGTTGTCTGTTTGCATGCCACTAACTATGCTCAAGTCAGATTTGTATGTTTATACTAATTCGATTCGATGCAGCAACTTTTGACATGTGCATGTATCATAACAAATACAAGGCTGGAGGTAAGTTAGCGGTTCGGGGTTCGTTCGTATCATATCATATAAAATTGTTCTCAGTGCATGGTGTCATAGTACAACTACTTACGGTAATAAGTCGTATATATGTATGTAGATTAGATCTTGAGCACAGTTGTATATGCAAGCAACAAACAATGTCTTGACCAAGAAAGTTTTAACCAAATGACGTAAAATAAAATGAAGACAACAAAAAAGCATATGAATGAGTAATATTATATTACCTGCCTGGTTTAATTTTTGTGTTTATTTTAATTTAATAGAAACAATGGAATAAATAAAAGTTATGATAATAACAACAGGTTATGCATAGTATATTAGTCCTTCAACATATAAATAAATCGAGGAAAAGGTTTTACGGACCATCCAATATTTATTTTAGACTAAATCAAGTTGCCGTTTGACCTAAGGTTATTCTACAACCTATAATATCTTTTACCCGAAGAGCAAATTTGTATTATGAAATAATTCTGTCGACTGTAGACTGACTATTCGTCTCATTTTATAAACACTGTGATAGAAAGAATGTTTAAATTACTTTTTTATAAAACTACATAGCTCATTTAAGTTTGGAGTCTTAAAGCATTTATATGAAGTTGTTCCATAAATATGTATATAAATATAAATATATACTTAATTTATTAATATATATTAAAAAAAAAACCCTTTCTAAAAATGCAAATAAGTTGAAGCAGAACCGTTTCAGTCTTAAATAATCATTGGCTGGACTGTAACAAAAACGCTTTCCTTCGGTGTTATTTAGAAAAATATAAATATTTTAAATGCTATTAAAATACAATTAAGTTAAACTTTGTTGGTCAAGCGTTCATATTGTATATATGTATGTAGTTTGTAAGGGTACATATTATCCAGTTGTGCTTGTTTATTGGCTTATTCAGTTTTAATTTGTTTCGATGGGTAGATTTAGTGTGGCATTTACTCTGAACCGCTTTTTGTTTTTATGCACCTATGTATTTAAACACGTCATTTGGCGCTAAGTACACAATACCAATACACATACATCATTTTAAATACACAGTTAAAAATATGGACCACATAGCGAAAATTCGTTGTGTTTATACAGATTAAAGATGTTTTCAAAACAAAGTCGTGTTTGGTGCTGAATTTTGAATTTTTGTTACTGAGAGTTTACAAACATACACATAGGCCAGCCATCTATCGTTCTATAGGTGCAACTAAATAGTTGTTGTTGTTGGTATAATTATGTATTATATACTTAATATTGATCTACAGATGCATGCTACTACATTTGTTTATATATGTATATATATATGTATTACCTATACATACATATGTACCACTCTATGTGGTGACATATACTATATTATATATGTCTATATGGATAGAGCAGCAAACTCGGAATCCTCACATAGAGTGATTATTTATACATATGAATATATACATATATATGTATATTATGTATAAGTAGACACAATCATTGCACAATGCTTAGTTTGTAGTTTGTAGTTGTTCTAATTTTGCGTAGTTGCAGAATAGTTGGTGTTTGAGTTGTTTCTTTCATCCACTCGTCTCTTCCTTTTTAGAATTAGTCTAATAGTTGACAGGACGACGACCACGCGGCTTGATTTTCTCCGATATTTGCCACATTTCCTCCTCGCCGATAAATTCATTGAAATTGTCGAAGAAACTAATAATACGCTCATTGCGTCGAAATGGATATGCGCTGGAGAAATGCACAAACAATCACGATAATTAATAGGCATGCCTTATACTTTAGGATATTGGATGTCAATATATCTTACCATTTCTTAAATCGTTTCATATTCACAATAATGTTGTATTGTTGCCAACGTTTTGAGAAATTAATCACACCCTTGGCCATGTAATCTTGATTCCCCACATGAACAAAGGTCAGATCTTGCAGAACCAGACCGCTAAAAAATCGGATAGATTAGTTGTTGTAAAATATACTGGATTTCAAAAGCCACAAAAATATATACATACATATAAGGTATGCAGGGGGGCTGTGTGTCTGCCAGAGCTTGGCGATATGCACGAAAACTTGAGCTGGAATCGATGAGGGCACAAAAAGAACGCACCTCCTCGGCAGTGCCCTTTTGCCATTCCAATCTGAAGGACAAAAAAATGAGACATATTAAGCAAAAGAGCTTGTATAAATTTTAGTTGGATAAGCGCTCTCTCACCTGCGAATTGGACTTGAGTCAAGGGCTGACAACAGTGCCAAGTAGGAATTGTAATTGTTCATTTTACGCAAATGCTTCATGATCTTAATGAACTTATTGACATGCTTCTCGCGCTCCTTGGCATCCGACAGCTGTAGAATCTTGGAGCGGGCCCAATATGACATCTTGTTGAAGTGCTCGGTGAACTTGTTCAAATTCGGCGATTTCTCCTCGCATTGATCTTTGGCAAAAAGTAATACTTCTGGTATTTCAATCTTTTGAAAGAGCTCGGCATCAAGCAGCGTCATTTGCTCAGCAATTTCCAGTGATTTCAGATCCAGCAAACTAAGCTGCTGGTGGGTTGGTTTATCGTTGCATGGATGCAGTGCCTTCTCAGCCGTCTGCTGATTTTTGTAAGTCACTTTTTCCACGAATTTGATGCGTAGAACTTTGGCCATATACAGCTCTCCAGAACATACCAACTGATAGACAAACTCTACGAGCAGACTTAGCAGCTCACTTGATAAATCGGATAAGCTGAAAGCAAAAGAAAGGTTGAAATATATTTATCTACTTGTATATGTTGAAGAATTTCTTCTGCTAAAAAAACAAATGGCCATAATAAAATACTCCTATGGTCAAAATGACTATTCAAACTATTCGTGCCTGTAACTCAAGCGATTGTCAGACATGTAAATAATTTGGACAAAAAGTATTTGACAAAGTATTTGAATTATTAACTTGTCCGTACAGTCCTAAAATAAATGGCTTTGGATAACCTAGTCGAAGTCGGTCTTATTTAATACTATTGTAGTATTATGATTTATTTTTCTCTGCATTTTTTATAAAAAGCCTTTTAATTAAAAGTCATTTAGGTGATCAATAGATGACCAATGGTTTCTACTTACGTCAAATCGTTGACAACGCGTACAAGCAGCGAAAAGGTCTCCTTAGCCGCCTTCTGCTTTTGATCCTGCATCTGGCAAAAAAAGTAAGTGTAGCGATGTGTGAGCTTCTCAATCACATCGATCGGCTGTATAAAAGTGCGGAAGGTGGTGATGAAGGCTTCGCTGAAAGCTGTTAGCAAGAAACAGGAATTTAATTTAAGAATTATATAAAACAAGTATACATATATAATTATGTGACTCACCGTTATCGGAGCGGGCTGAAGCGCGACTGGCATGCACAATGAGTGCATCAATGAAGCCGCCCTTTACCTCGGGACCCTCCTCCTCCGTCTTCTTGAGTATTAGATATGGCGTAATGTCAATTACCTCCAGCATATTTGGCAACTGCTCATCAACGTCATTTTCATCCTCCTGCTCCTCCTCATGCTCCTGGTCGTCCTCCTCGAGCTTCGGAGTGCTGATCGGCGTCACCGACTCGTCGCGGCCAGGCGATACATTTGCCTCACTTGGAAGTTGATGCGAGTGGCAATAGTGAACCTGGCCAGAACCCACATTTTCGTGGCCTGGCATCATATCTGCCACTGCATCGTCATCATCATTTTCGGCCGGCATTGCGTCGCTAAGCTCCTCGCTGACGGTGGTCATGCGACTATTGCGAGATCCGATGCTCACATCGCCATGGCCGTCACTGGCACCGCTCAAGTGCGTCGGCTTGGGACTGGGAGGCGGTGTTGTGATTATCGTGGGAGGCAATGCACTCGGCTTGCGTTGCTTGTAGTTCTTGGGCGGCAGAGCTGGTGGGGTTTCGTGTTCAGGTGAGAGCTCCTTACTCATGGGCATGATACTGCAACAAATTTGAATACTGATCTCTTGGCAATTGCATATGTATGTATGTATGTACACGTATAAAGATATGCACATCCCCAAATTGAATTCCAAGTCTTGGTTAAGTTTCTATAACATTTGTTACATTTACTCCCAAACACAATCAGTTCACACTGACAGACACCATTATGTAATATACTCGTACTTACTTCATAGTCTGGCTGTGCGATAAATTTCGTTGGACATTGAGATTATATGCGTGCACCGTGTGGCGATGCTCGACGTTGCGTGTCGATGCCGAACAGATCTCCATGTAGGCCAGAACTGTGTGCGAGAGTAAATGGAAAATGAGTGGAAATGGCGCTTACGAGTGCTGGAGCTGCTAGTAAGGTTCAAAGCTCTCCAAATGGGTGGAACTTCAAATCGAAAAGCCTTTTAATAAATGCCAGTTATTATCAATATTTTCATTTTTGTTTTCCACAAAGGAGAAAGCGTTATTTTTCATGCACACCCTTGTAGTTCTTATGTACTGTCTATATATACATATTACTTAGTAAGTAAGTCGGTGATATGCACGCCACAACAAACAACAAAAACAATAACAGAACGCAACGCAACGCAACAAAGTAGACCAAGTGGGTAAAGAAAGTGGCGTCAAGCACAGGAGAAGAATAGCTAGCTAGGCAACAAAAAAGCGAAAAGGGCAGAGGCAGCAAAGATCCTAGAATTGACTCCCTAAAAAAATGTGTACTAAATTCTTTTCAATTTATTGCTATATTCCTATACCTCAGACATTAAGAAAATATTCGGAACTGGCAAAACAGTGGAGAAGTTATGAAGGAAAGCTGAGATAACTAACTAACTATTCATATGAATATATAACTTATTACAGTTATCAAGCAAAATCATATTATTCATGTAAAACAAGATGAGAAAGTTTGAAATGAAAGAGACTTTGTTAAATTGTTGAATCGCTATTAAATATATTGTATTTAGTTCGATCTACTTGGGCCCCTAATTACTAATGTAGTAGGTGGAAAGTAATACTTTCAAGGTATTTTGGGAGTTATTTTATTTGGATTGGAAAACTATCTAGGTTATTAGCACTAACCGGATGTAATTCACAAATTTGGTTAAGCAGTTGCTTTATTTACGGAAGTTATAGAAAAATCACTATTCGGGAGTGCACTCCCTCTCAAACAAATTTTCTTATTCTTTCAGAAGAACCTGGATAGCAAGTTTCGTAATTCGACCTTTTAAAATTTCCGAGATCCTTGCGTTCCTACAGACAAACATCATTTTGTAATGCTTATTCTTAGTCTCTCTCTCTTCCTCCCTCTCTCTCTAGGTAACATACATTTCTACTTAATTAGTATACCCTTTTAACCCTTGGGTAGAGTGTAATTTTATATGCTATTGGGTACAGGGTATTCAAGAGTTTGTCGTGCTCGACTCTAGCATTCCAGTTTCGTTTTGAATGAGTTTACAATGCAGATACATATGTATATGTACATATAGTTTTGAATGGAGAATGGGGGATATAGAGGATAAGCGCTTCGGATGCCCGAAGACTCTGCATTAATTTGGTTTGCCTTTTGTTTAACAAATGAAATACGGAAAAGGAAAAGAACGAATAAAGGAAAAACCAACACGCACGCGCACACACACAAACTTACCTGAAAAGGCCACACTTTGAAACACTAGATGTTGATTGGAACGATAATTTAGATGGGTTAGAGTCTTACGTACAACAATTTGACAAACATTTGCGTTACAGTTACAATTGGTTTTGTTGCTATAAATAAAATTGCTAAAATATATTTGTACAGCCGCTACTGATAAATGGACAATGATGTTGTTGTTGTTGTTCTTGTTGTTGCTCTTGTTTTTGTTGTTGTTGCTGATTTGTTTTTGTTGAGAATAGTGTTGGAGTTTTTCGCGTTCGCGTTCAGTTTACGCTTAAGGTTTTATTTACTGGGTTGGACTGGCTGGACTGGATGTTTTCTTTTTATCAATTTTAGGACATATTGGATTTACAATGGTTGTTGTTTTTTTAAAGGTGTAGGTAAGTGAAATGATTGTTGATATGCGATCAGATCAGATAAAAACTAACAAACAACCGTAAAAAATGAAATATACTAAAAAATAAAATACATTATACATGATGTGTGTGATTCGACCTTTCTGGGTAAATGAATGGATGTTCGTCTGTGTTTGTCATTAGTATGATACTATGTACAATTACTCTTAGATAGTGATTTAGATCGACATACACACTTATGATATATACATATATATATATACACACGCACATACACAAAAGTATTACGGACGACTTAATAGAAATCTGGGGAAAAGTGGACGCAACTTTCTAGAGAGTAGACTGGTTATGTCACCTGTTCGTGGCCCCCGAATTCAAACTGAACTCCCCCCCCCCCCCCACTCACCAATTGCGAGCCTGTTGTGGCACATTGACATTGCAACTGCAATTTGTTGCAACATCTGTTTGATATGGATCGGATTGGAATCACATTTGTCATGCAAGCCACAATGATATTAATACACACACACACACACACACACATACACACATTACATGTACGGGTGGTTTTTATGGTTTATAGAAAATTACACCATTAAGGAAATTATACAAATAAAAAGAAAGGAAAAAGAAGAGAAAAGGAAAACCATGTAAATAACTGTGCACATGGAGCTGCTGCACTTACTGTGCTTCTTCTTCATCGGCAACGGCGGCGGATCGTCCATGTGCCGATCGATCGTGCAACTGGTCACGAGGCGGGCACTGAGCGGCGGCCCAGACAGACTGTGGTGCTTCGCATGCCACGGATCCAGCTCCGACGAGAATTTGAAAGGCGTGTGCGACGGCATATGGCGCAGCAGGGCAAGCTCACTGGAAAGCAATTGAGAAAGGCGATCAATTCAAATTACTAGACAATTAAGGTAAAACGAACTGATGAGCTACAAATAATACCTATAAGGTCTATATCAAACGCGTTTGATTTGCTTGATTTGCCATTACTTAGGTACTTGGTATGAGAATTGCGGAGGACAGCGAACACAATATTTTTATTTAATTTACCCGAAATATCTAAATTGAAAGCTCGATTTGCCATCACTTACGTATCTGGTATGAGAATCGCAGAGGAAGGCGACTACAATATTTTTATTTAATTTATCTAAAATTTCACAATTTAATTCTCGATTTGCCATCACTTAGATACTGGGTATGAGAATTGCGGAGTACGGCAGCCACCATTTTTTTATTTAATTTAGAATTACCAAACTTGGTATCCAGGTTCCCCTAAGCCCTAGGCAGGTCAAGTTTATTTTTTTATTCTGATACACCGTAATTTCCAAAATTGAATACCCGATTTGCCATCACTTAGGTACTTGGTATGAGAATCGCAGAGGAAGGCGAATACAATATTTTTATTTAATTTTTAAATATCAAATGTCAGGTTCTAGCTGCCATAATTTTCGTTTAACATCCATCATCCGGACTATCAGAGCACACATTTGGCTAACTGGAGGCTTTGTGTTAAAGTACATGTGTCCGCCATTTAGAAAACTCTTTCAATATATAGACGGCTTACTTGGCGTAAACACATTAAAGCAAAGAGAAGTCAACTGAAATTAAAAGCTAATCTACATTGGCTTGTAAACGTCTCCGTTTAGCATTAAAACTGGAGTACAAAGTACAATATTCTCAAACCAATTTGGACATATGGCTACGAGCTATGGGAAAACGCTTGCATTAGTAATGTAGAAATAATTCAGAGAGCTCAATTGAAGATGCTGAGAACTATCCCTGGGGCACCATGGTACGGAATGAAAATATCCATAGACTTAAATGTTTAAGTGGAAATCGCCCAGGAGAAAGCAAAGTCCCAGCTTAAGTTTCAGGCTTATCCTAATAGACTTGCGAAAGTATTTAACTTGGCATACTAGTATACTACACGACTCCGGTGAAGAGACCTCTCCACCCAGCAATTAGGGCCGTACTCTAGCTGGCATTATCTTCGGAAATGCAGGCATTTGAAAGAACAGACGGACATGACTTGGGAAAATAGCATAAATTCAAGCTCGTTTTATCTAATGAGGCGAATTAGATGATGCATATTAGTTAATTGATATATGCTATAGTTTATTTATTTTAAGAAAACTGTTACTTCAATCACAAACTTTATATATAGTTCTATATATAATATTTCCTAGACGAAAGGCGTTTAGACTAACAACCGACTCTATATCATCAACCTGATTACGGTTGACAAGTTAGTACATAGATATATATCTATCTATATTATTAGAGGAAGTCGAAATGCTTTACTGGACTCACCTAGTAGTGTCATCCCGTTCATCGGCGGCCCCACAGAGCGTTGGTTGTCGGGTCAGTGATTTGGGGGGCAAAGCGGGTGCTATTGCCCGCCCTGAGAGCAGCTTCGAATGATTGTGCTCCGGCGATGCATTAAGTGATGAGTGTTCAAGCTCACTATAGCTGGATGTTGCAGTTGTTGACATTGTGGTGGTGCTGCTGCTGTTCATGTTGCAGATGTTGTTTGCCAGAGAAGTCGTTGTTGTTGTTGCCGCACTTTGCCGCTGAACGCTGGACTGATAATGCTGATGGTATTCACTGCTTCTCGTAGAGGACGTTACTGCCGCTGTTGTTGTTGATGATGCCGTTGTTGTTGTCTCGCTAATGCCAAATGCAATTTCGGAATTGCTGCTTGATGACTTGGTTGACGACTGCACGCTATGATCGGAGGAGCGTTTCGAAACACTTTGCGTAGAAGTGCGAAATGATTTCATGGAAACGAAACCTGTACGAAATTAGGAGAAACAGGGGTAGAGAAAACGAGAAGAGAGAGAGAGACCAGATATTAGAATGGCTTGAATTCGCGAATACAGTTAGGAGGCACAATAAACAAGTTGCAACTACGCAAAACTAGGCGGAGGACCAGAAAATGTGCGCAAACAAACTTTGTGGCCCACAACAAGCAAGCAAACAACATACATACATAAACGGAAAAAAAAGGTATATAGAAAGAGAATAATAATACCAGGCGCAATTTAAAATGTAGAAAGTTAAGCAATTTAGGTGCCGACACACATGCCCGTTTTTATATTTAACCAGAACTTTGACAACTTCTCCACTCGCAAGTCGTAGAGTCGTATAAAAGTTATCTTTTTATGTCTAAGCTGTGGCAACAAAACAGGCATGTATATTTGGATACCAAAAAAGAGACTGAAAATAGATTTTGGGAGACAGTAGGGTGGGGTGGAGAGAAAACGATAGATGTGAAGCGCTTATAAACAAGTTGATGAGCGTTTAGTACCCGATTCATTTGAATGTCGATTGCTGGTCAGCGCTGCGGCTACTTTACGGAGCTCCGTGTTACACTCACCGCCGCTGCCCTCGCCAGAGGCGTTTATCAATGTACCTGCAGCAGGGGGTTGCGTTGCCGCCTCCTCCTGCTGCTGCAGTGCAACAGTATCCACATTAGCAGTAGCAGTATTTGCATCCGATTGCGATGCTGCACGGGTGGAAATGTTGGTTGGTGGATTGGTTGGTCGGTTGATTGGTTGGTTGTTTGTTGATTGATGGGGTAAAAATGTGAATGCCCATAGGGTAGAAAGAACATGTCAATATTTAATACTTACTATAGCTGATCATCTTGTCTACATCATCTTCAAGCAGCTGAGCGTCTTCCAGTTGCTGCTGTGTTGGTTGTTTCTGCGGTTGCTGCTGTTGGTGTAGGTGTTGATGCTGCTCGTCCTCGCGCGAATGATTCAGCGCCGAGTCAAAGGAGCATTGACTAGAGTTCTCATCGGGGGAACGCGAACGCACGGACAAGCTGCAACTATTTGTAGATTATGAGTCAGAGAAGGGGGCTTTCAAAAATCCCTAAAGAAACAAGTAGAGAAGCTAAAGTCGGGTATCCCGACTTTGAAATACTCTGTACGTATGTGTAGTATAAATTTGCGTGTATGTTTGTATGTGTCTGTGTATGTCTCGTGTGCCTGAGCAAAGCAGTAACAACAACAGCTGCGGGCACTATCCCAGTATCCTAGGTCTTATATTCTCCGAGATATAGGCGATTATACGAATGGAAAATCGGGAAAACCCCCATAGGGGGGAAAATCAAAAAAATAAAACAAACTTGCACAGCGTACACACATAAGGCATCTTTGTGCAAAATTTGGTGTCTCTAGCTCTTATAGTCTCTCAGATCCAGGTGTTCATACGGACAGACGGACAGACAGGGCTAGATCGACGCGTCTCGTCATGCTGATCATGAATATATATACTTTGTGGGGTCTGCCACGCCTCCTTCTGCCTGTTACATTTTCAGCTCCCGCAAACCTAATATACTTCTGTACTTTTTATGTACAGAGTATAAAAATGTCCCTACGCGGAAAGGAGCTTGACACGAAAAGTAACGCTGGGAAAAGCTCAAGAATACTTTCAAGAGTATTTGCTAATCAATAATATTTGTTTATAGAGAAAAATTCAGACCTAAAAACAATGAGCTGTCAATTCTTTTCTTTGCATTTCATTTATAGAGTTAAGTATTATAGAATAAATTGGCTTACCGATCCACGCCACAGCTCATAAGCGAAAAGTTGGAACTACAATCAAGATCTGAGTTAACGCTCATATTGTGGGACTGCTGGTACGGCTGCGGACTGGCCTGTGACGGCTGGCTACGGCGCTTGGGCGGCAGAGGCGGTGGATTGCTGCTTCGGTTCGGCAACGGTGGTTTGGGTGGCGGACTCGTATCCCGCAATATGCTTTCGGTGCTGTGGGAGGCGCGTATAGGATTGGTATTGCTCTGTTCCAGTATATCACGTTCTTTCGGCGTTAGAGCAATGTCAGGCAACGATGTGCGTTGCACCACCGCGTCGACGGGCGGTCGCATTGTGGCTGTGCCTGTGGTTGCTGCCGCCGTTACGGTCCCCATGATGTCAGCGGCTGCACCAATGCCGCTCAGCCCAGAGCCACTGTACCGGAAGGTGCACTGATCCTGCTCCTTAAGCTTAGTCTGCGCCAGTGTGACCAGATTCTGAAAGGGCATCTCATCTTTAGACCGCCTATCCGTTGCTACCTTGATTGTCATTCACTTACGCGTACTGCTTCCTCCAACAGGTCAATGACTTCGCGCACGTTCTCATCGCTTAGGGATGCACACTCGACATCCTCCTTGGTCAGCATCACCTCATCGCACAGCTTGATGAGCTTGCCCAGCGACTGGTAGACCTGTCGTGTGGCCGAGCTCATTATGGCACTGTTCTCGTTCAGTGTGTAGGATTGTATGACTGTGGAGGGCGCACAAAGCAATACAATTTTAATTACAAATCAATTTCGATGTCTCGTTACTATATATGCATCTAATGAGGTTGTCAATTTTGTGAATATCGCGTAAAGCCAAAGTACAGATGACGGATAAATTAGCACCCAAAAGTCGTTTAATTACATACATGGGCGCCACTGCTGCCATAATTTTTTGGACAAAAAAAGCTAGATTGTCAAAAATTAAAGCTAAATCCTAGGCAGAATAAGCTTTTAAAAAAACTGGTTGTACAAAGACTATTTTCTTGGTTAAATTTAAGGAAATGTCTGTCTTAATGTTTTCATATTAATTCTTAACTCTTATTTCATAATTTATAATAATAACAATATGAGATTCTTGTAAAAATAAAATTCAAATTATAGATAAAAATGTATAAATCTGTAGTTGTTTTACAAATTTTTACTGCTCGCAATCATTTTTGAGGCAATGTATATCTGCCAAGTACAAAGCTAAATGTCTTTTTACATTTAAATTTCGACTTCTTCAATACTTGAAATACAAGTATATGGTGAAACATAAAGTAAAGCTTAAAAACGGCTAAATAATTTTTTTTAAGCTAGAATTCCTGTAACTCGCTTTTTTCGAATTTTTCCCGCACTGGCATTTAAAAGAAGTTAGATCTAGCGGGAAAAAAGCTAAAATGGCAGCACTGATGGGCGCTAGCTTGATTGCTTCACCTAATGTGTAAATATACCGACTTTACGGACTCGTAGGATACTATAAACACGATGTCCTTTCTATTGAATTAACAATGGCAAGGATATAAGCTTTCATAATAATAAAAAAAACATGTTATTGGGACTTCAGTACAGCAGCGATTTATGATTTCTGATTTATGTTTCCCGATCGTATATTTTTTTGTTTTTACTCAAATGAATCACAAATCAGAGCGGTCACAAAGTGAAATCAGTAATCAGTAATCGCTACAACCTAGTGAACGCACGCAATGATTCAGTAAAATATTTCAACGACGAAAAATCTGTCTATACTAAGTATACTATATGTTATAGATAGATATACATTATATGACTGTCTGCCTGTTTCAATCACGACTGTAAGGAAATGGTCATCTACAGCGTGGTAAGACCTAACTGCTGCCCTGGCATGACCAGGTTAATGCGACCTTCTGAGAAGACCCAAGAAACTTCAAAATATAAAAAAAAAAGACTGCCTCATAATAATCACATTAATAATCACTGTTGAAATCCCATGTAAACAATTAGGAATAATCGAAATAAATCTAGGATATTGCCTACCTGAATACAAACTCGCAATAGTCTCTATGATGATGGTACCATTGCCTGGGAGTACCTCGAGCTTCTTTTTCGAGATGACATCACGGAAATGCTTGGTCGCATTATATATGTCCTTAACGTGCGTCTCCAGCGTCTGTGTGGATTTTTGCACCTCCTCGGTGGTGGGCGGCGGCTTCAAAGCATGTTTGTTGCGTGGGCTGTGGGGCGAGTGTGACCTGCGAGCGAGCAACAATAATTCTATATTTCTGTTCTGTTCTCAACTCTGTTTGTCTCTGTCTGTCCCTGTATGTGTGGATGTGTGTGTGTGTGTGTGTGTGCTGATTGCGTCTATATATTTAAAAGTAGGAGTATGTCTGTCTTGATTTCTGCGATATGTCGCGTCGTCATCTATTTATAGCGAACGCGTTCGTTCAACTCGCTCAGCTCAATATTTACGCTTACCTGCCCAGCGTGTTGTTTGGGGTCCGCATCAATGAGATTTTCTCAATCAGATCGTCCTTGAACGAGCGCGCACGCCGCGCCAACTTTGTGCCCTTCAGACTGTTCTTGTGGCCAGATGTGCTGCCGCTGCCAGCGTTGCTCTCTGCGGCGGGCGGTACGGGGGGCACACCCACGCCTACACCCACGCCTTTGTTGCCCAGCTGCTGTGACGGCGACTGATGCTGATGCTGTGGATGATGCTGATGATGGCTGTTGGGCGTCGTGGAGAGCGGCGTGTAAGCGGCACTGTTGATTCTGTTGTTGTTGTTGCTGTTGTTGCTGTTGCTGATGCTGCTGATGCTGCTGCACCCGCCCGCTGAACAGTTCGGCGTGGATGGAGAACTGATGCTGCCATCTGTGGAGAAGACGAAAAGACGAGATGGAGAAAACAAGAATGAGTTGTGGGTGGTTACTAATGCGGCAGTGAGACAATAACAAAAGTGTGTATTCACAAACGCTTTAATTTCCTTCTGCATTCCTCACCAAATCCACTACAAATCCCATTCAATGGCATCTCATTACTACTCATATGCTAATTAATGCCTCGAAGAGAAAGAATAAAATCTGTTATTCATACAGAGATTTTGTACATATATGTACGAGTTATGTACATACTATATATGTACATATATAGTATAGTTCCTCACATATCGAAGGAATCTCTCTCGTTTTAACAATGATTGTCAATTGCTCTTTAACCAAAGCAGCTGCAGAGTCAAGGATAATAATATCCTAGTGGGACAGATTTGACATTTGACGAAATGAAACATGGTTACAATACCATCTGAATATCATGCCGTATAAGATGTCCGATTCGACAGCTGTGCGAACAGATTTCCAATACTTTGTAAAAAAAAGCAGAGTGTACTCTTTCAAATATTTCCTGCACTCTATTAACTTATACAGAAATAAACGGAACAGAAAGTTCCCACCTTAGCCTACATATTGTATAGTCAGCTTAGTGTAATTTTGATTTGTTATTTGTCATTTGGTTTATAGATTTTGTTTGGAACAGCTGACAGATGCAATCTAAATAAAACACAAATCACTGCCACTAACTCCACTATTAAGTCACACTTACAGGCCATACTCATTTATTTAAATGTAAGACGATTAAATTCGTTAATCGCTTAGCAATTGCTGTCTTGGAGCTGAGCTAAATATTGAATAGAAACTTAAACAATTTGCAATTACAGTGAACTTTCGAAACAAGTTAAATGAGACAACTTTTTTTTAGTAATGTTTTTATACAGAAGCAATTCCCCAGTAGCTTACAAACTTTTGAACACTATATCTTTTATAAGCGGACAGAATGTTAGAGTTTAGAGTTCCACTGCTCCCAAACCAAGCATATAGCTCATTAAATTGTTGTGATTTGAACAGAAGAACGATTTAAGCCTGTAAGTGCCAAAACAGGCATACCGAAGAATACCGAAGAAAAATAAACATTTTAAATATGCTTTTTAAAACAAACATTACTTCAATTTAGCCAATTGGAGTATTTTCTATTTAAACAAATTTATTCAAGTTGTGTGTGGACATCACATAAGTATTCCGTTTAAAAGGGATGTACATATGTATACAAATTGGATAAATCATTCAGCAAAATCGTGCTCCAAGCTAATTCGATGATTAACCTAAGTATTCCCGCTTGTACGCCCGCTTGTATTGCTACCGTGATCTATATAGTTGGCATGTCAGCCGTCCCCAATGATTTCCGATGATATTCCAATCGATGGCACTGCAAAGTTCAGGTCACATGTGCGTGACAAAAAATTCATTGGCCGCCTTCTTCTTGATTGTTAGTCTTTTTATATGCTTAGCATTTTTATATGCACGACTGATAGGTACAAGACTTGCCTTAATACCACATTTTCCCTGATTTTTGACACATTTCCTAATACATATAAGTCGCAATTCCGTAATACTTAGTAAACAAGACGACTTTCATGTTTTTTCAAAAAATATCGATATTCATATAATGTTGACTTTTCGGGATTTTTTTTAGTTTTCTTTGCCAAATGATAGTCCAGCGTCCTGTAATTGTGTTAATTGGAGCACAAATGTTATTTTTTGAAAAATTCTAGCTTAACCGGACACTTCCCTTGGCCGGATAAAAGTTTGCCGACGGTGAGTGACAAACCAATAGAGGTTTCACTGTAACAAAAGTACGACTTATTGCATAAACAACAATTTTGTGCCACCCTCTTTAAGCTGGAGGAAATCTTTCTAATGACTGTGACGTTCACCAATTTCAGAGCAATTATGACTTTTAATCTTTTCCTCATAATCCGAGCAATGCGAATGCAGAAATTAACCCTAAAATATACTACTACTTGACATACATACATATGTATGTATGTATGTATGTATAAATAGATGCTTGGACATGGCTTATGATCAAATTATTAACACAATCACACTTCGCAGATGCACACAAAGAAACAAAATATGGTGAATTTAAATACCAAGAATTCTGGTTTTATAAATTCAAGTGAAAAATGCAATCATTTGAATGCAGGCTTAATTCATTCATTGTTTCTGCATTCAGTTTACTCTGCATTCGTATTTGTGTTTAATTCATGTTTTATCTATGCCATGCACTCACTCACTCGTCGACTGATCCGATTAACGATGGTTGAGTGCTCGCATTGGTTTGACTTTTTGCTTCAGAATTGCACCCAAATGCGGCAATTTGTCAGTCTGGCTGTTATGCGATTGTTTGTTTGCTTGGGCGATTAATAATGCAGATATTAATATACTCGTACATACGTATGTACATATGTATGTATATGCATATGTGTGCGTGTTTGTATACGAGTACACGGCTGGTTGGTACACCTTTGTTGTTTTATCAAAGTAGATTAAATTTGTATCAACTACGGGCATGAAAGAAATTTACGATAGCTAGCCACAAGTTATGCGTTGTTGTTTATGTTTACTTTTTGTATCGCAGATAAACCCGAAACAGATTTAAAAAAATAATAAACCAACAGCAACAGCAACAGCAACGATAACAATCACAGTAATGGAAATGTGTTGATTTGCATGAGCAAATGTAAAACTTTAAACGTTGAATGCTTCAGTGACGCCCATTCCTGCCAGCACCCCCCCGCACCCCTTCCCATGGACGTCAAACCAACGACAGCTGCGTCGACCGCACTGCCGTAACAACAACAATAACAGCAATAACAACAAACACCAAGAGTAATACTAACAATGTTTAAATTTCATTTGCAGCTTTCACTTACAGCGCACCACATTCTTGACCAGCACACATGGAGGCAACGATGGCGATAGCGATGGCGATGGAGAAGGCGATGGAGAAGGCGAAGTCGATGGCGATGGCAACGGCAACGATGCCAAACGTGGCAATTTTTTATATTTGCGTCGTCTATGGAATTTGATGTTATGCAGAGTGGCTTTGTGGCTATTGGCATCATCACCGCAAGCTTTGTTATTGCTGTGGGTATTATTATTATTATCGCTGCTGATGTTGCTAATGCTGCTGCCCATCGGTTGATGAGCCGGCGGCAGCGAGTTTGGCTTCACCTTCGACTTCGATTGCGGCTGATGAAGCGTATATGAGTAGAAGCGCCAGCGTTCGGCTAGCGCGCAGTCGCTTAAAAAAGTTTCATCAAATTGCGGCATTGCATAACAGTAAACACATAACACCACAGCTAACGATAACAGAGCTAGCAGCCAACAGCCAGCAACAACAACAATAACAGCAACTACTACAAACTAAAGATGATGCGAAGAAGAAGCTGTCGACAGCAACAGCAACAACAACATCTAGGTTGCGCTCGCATCGGCTTTGGCTTTGGCGTCGGCGACGTTAATGATAATCAGAGTAAAGTGCATGCCTCCTCCACCTACATAGCGTAGCGCATTGGCATTCACTTTTTATTATTGCTATGATTTGTGTTTTTTTTTCTTTTCTTTTCTTCTTCTCCTCCTTTTTTCAAGAGCAACACTGTCAGTTAATCGCTTTAAATTTGTTGTGTGGTGCAGCACCTTTACGAACAGATGCTCAGATGTTCAGTTTTTGGCTTTCTGTATGTTTATACATATGTACATATGTATGTATGTAAATATGTATGTCCATATGTACATATGTATATATTTATGCACGGCACAAGAGATGTGTGGCGCGACGATGTTGCCGAGAGTCCCCAAGAGTTTTAGAGTCTCAGGCACTGCGCGGCTGCTGGTCGTCGTCGTTTCGCGTTGTCGGCTGGAAAGCGCACTGAACTATGAAAATCCGCAAATGGCAGTTGGCAGCGTGCTAGCGGCTGCTACAGCTACAGCTAGCCAAGCAGTTAGGCAGGCTAACAAAGCTCACAGCTCGCAGCTGGTAGCAACAGCAGCGGCAGCAGCAACAGCGCCAAAAAGAGCAACACCAATAATAGCGCATCAAATGGTACTCGCTTGTTGCTCAAAGCGTCGCCAGCAACACAAAAACAGCGACAACATTAACTGATAGCCGTCGCTGACTGCTCTGCCTCTCTCTCACATTCTCTCCTACTCTCTCCCACTTTGAAAGCTGCGACCAGGTAGGCTGGCTGGCTTATCAGTGTCGTCAGCCACAGCTACTATTTAAAGCGATGGCGAGAGAGGATGGTGGTGGTGGTGGTGGTGGTGGGGGTGGGGGTGTGCTTGGCCACGACCGGTGCTTCCTCAGTCTCAGCCTCAACCTCAGTCTCAGTCTTCGAGTCTGAAACCTCAGGTTTTTGTCATTTTCTTGCTCGTTTGTCGCATTTGCAAAAAAAGAAGAAGCTTTTTGTTTGTTTAGTTGTTGGGTTGTTTGTAACTCGACAACTGCTTGGCCGTTTTCTTCAATTTGCAAGTGCGACTCGTGACTTGCCTTGAAATGAGTTGAAGAGCGGCCATATGTATCTGCATACATACAAGTACATATGTATGTACACATCTATTTTCAAATGCATACAAATGTATGTATGTACATTTGTAAAAGGAAGGCACACATCAGACATAATATGGGCAGGTACCTCAGTACGAGTACATACATACATACATACATACACGTATGCAACTGAAAAAGCGAAATTGAGCAACAAAGGTGTTCAACACACTGTGCTCCATAGGTTTCGAAAATGTATAACAAATTTCACCCAAATAAAAAGTACAAATCAATTGAATGAAAAGTATTTCAATTTGAATACAAAGAGTATTTGTAGAGAAGGGGAAAAACATTTGAAATTGACGACTGTATTGTTCCCTATTGTTGCGGTTTTTTTTTTATTAATGTTTACATGGGTGTATGCATGCCTTTAAATCTGGCCTAGGCAGATAAGACGTGAACAAGCCCCTAAAAGTATGCTCTTTTTTAAG